TATGACTGAAGCAACCGAAATTGGTTTTCAGAAAACAGTTCTTCCATTTCTCAATACTAAGTCTTTCCACTCTACCATATGTTGAATATGACTAAATCGGAGCAGATCAAAGTACAACATCCACGTCCATATCACACCCTCACTTATGTATCAACATAACAATGTGCAGCCAACTCTTCAGCAGTAGTCGCTACGGCCAGAGCCACCATCAGTGCAGCCACCGCCGCAGTAGGTGATGAAGGAGATATCACCGTTCATACCACCATTGCAGTGGAAGAGGGATTCCCGGATGTGCGCGTCGTCGGTTGGCTGGCCGGCGGCCTCAAGGGCGCCATTAACCTGGGATCCGTAGTTGCCTATACCTCATTAGGTATATTAAGTTGGGATGGGAGTGGCAGGTTCACATACCAATGTTCAGCAGGTTATAACCACAGTAGTTCAGCCCAGTCTTGCAGTTGTCTGCGGCGGCAAAGGGAGCCAAGGCAGCAAGAACAGCAAGAGGGAGAATGGCGAATTTGACCATGATGACGATAATATAATATATGTCTAAAAAGACAGAGATGTTGCAGATAAATTGATCGGGATCGGGATTGGAATCAAAGTGAAATACTGATGAATTGAGATGAGATAAAGGGACAGGATAGAGGCGGATTTGTCCTCCTTCTTATACCCCAATGTTCTCCTAGTTCATTTTTGATCACGGCGGATATTCCCATTTTAATGAAGTAATTAAGGGCTGATCTATACATCATGGCACGCCTAGTTGGACGCCTAACGCTCTTGCCAACAACCTCTAATGCCTGGAAACGTGAGGCATTTGTTGTTGCATTATGCCGCTCTCTATAGAGGTTCCACCTTTAATTCTCAGCTCATATGGCTTATGTCATGTAGTGTAACCTTCTGAGACATAATGACTATAAATATCAGAATTTGCTGCGATAATGGAGAGGGCCTCCTATGCTTGTCGGTACGATAGCTAGGCAGATAACCCAAAAGCAATTCCTACACATTCCCCTTCCCAAGTCTCTCGTAATTGAACATCCACATTCGTGCGTCAAGTTGTCAAGTTTTCCAAATGTGCTCTTGAGGTTCAGCTACCACCTAGCAGCCACCACAGCCTCAATGCTATAAAATCAAACGCTGTATGGTTCTCATCGCTCGGCGATCCCTACTCCTAAAAATACATTACTCTTGTACCATTAGCAACCGTCTAGATACAGGCTCCAATGACGCTGGTGCTAATTTTGTGGGGACTGCAACTGACATCGCCAACTTCTTGAATCTAAATCCGTGCCTCAGCTTAGGCCTCCTAATCTGGCTTACAATCTGCATTAGCAACTTAGAATGTAGAGCTCTGACGTTGCAGTTATAGTATGGTGCCACATGCGCGTGCCAATGTAGTGTATTAGGCCCCTGCCTCCTCCCCAACGAGGACGAGGACTGATGGGGATCCCACCGAGACTGCGTCAGGCGCCCTGTCCCCTCCAATCCGCCCATCATTTGCGCCTCTTAAACGCCATAAGGCCCCCTTATCGACGTTGACATGGCGCTGTTCAGACTGGTGTGAGCAGTGATGTCAATACATGTCAGATTTCGGGATCAACGACACCGAGGCTAAGACTCGATTACACATATATGAGCATGCAGGCAAGAACTGAGATGCCAAGTCTGCCCACAATCATCATAATTAGTCCGAATGGGTAAAAGAAACAATATCGGTCTTTCAGCACTATGCGTAACGACCATCATTTTCAGTACTGTCACCTGAATATATAAAACTAAAGTACTCTGTGAAGAAGAGGCGCTCACCGCATCACCCGTGCATCTCTCTGCATACGCTGACGTCTTTTCTTTATGTAGAGGCTACTTGTGCTTGTCACCAGTACATCTTTGGAGATGTCTTATAGAGCAGCTTTTCATAAACAACTCCAGGCCATACAACATCAGTGGACGACATGAACCCCGCTAACAAGGAGACTGGGTCACTAAACAATCCAATTTTAAACCTTGGAATAACCGAGCACGCGACCAAATGCTTTAGGATTTAGGGAATGACTAAACTACCCTGGAAGGACTAGTCGGTGTGGCAGTTACAAGGGTAGTAGAGGGAGGACTGAACAAGATGTACTATTATCACTGTATCTACCTAGTCTGTGTTCAACAACATATCACTTGAGGATAGATTCATTAGTAGTCGTTAGTTACTGCTTTAACAACTGAAATACACTTAGCTACCCTCTGTTTTGTCCATATTGTTAATTATTCTTATCTCTTGAACTATTCAGATCGTGGTCGGAGCATCCAACTGAATATTTATGCATAAAGGCATAGTATAGTGGCTTGCAAAGTTACGCTGGATATATGACAGGAGATCTGGAATAATCCCAGACCATGAAACTTAAGATAGATTATATTTAATATTTTTACACCCTCTTCAGCCCTACTTTAAGATAATATTAGTTCTACTCCGTACATGTCTTTAGTTTTGCCCTTTTCCTGACATATGATATCGAGCTCACCCAATATACAGACTAGAAAATAGCACTCTAGGTCTCCTAGCTAATCAGTCCAATGGGTACATTTACCAGGCGCGAATCAAAAGTTCATCCCTCCATTGAAGTGACCGTTTGTCCGTCTGAGGTTTGGTGCTCGCTAAGAGGAAGAAACCTCGTATTCGAGAGGCCTAAGCCTTCCACTATACTCTCTTCAGGCCGAGCGCGTGGACACGAGACTGGGGACTGTGGAATTGAGGGCCGGTTATTAAAAGCGATCATCGCACCTGAATCCTTTTATTCATCTTTCTACCCTGCCACCAGGGCAGACCCACAATGATCACTAATACGCAGAGCTTACTTTGCTCAAGGCATCATCCAGCCTAATCAGTGTAAATGGCGGATGTCGCTGAGTTGGCTTTTGAGGTGGTGGGTGAAGCCCTCCTTTCTGGGTCAGTAGATCACTATGTTTAAGGTGCAATGCAACAATTAACACAGTAACAGAGACCCCCTCTCCGCCGCGGTCAAACTGCTCGTTGGGGGAGGAGTAAAAATTACCCAGTTCTACCTCGACCGCCGAGCCTGTCAGCAATTCCTGGAGGAGATCCAGACGCTTTTCGTCCGCCTGACTAAGCTGGGGTATCTCGCACCGCTGATGCCTGCCTCGCAGGAGGAGGCCAAAACAGCCAGGGTCGGATGGATCATGACTCCAGCCGGAGTGGAGAAGTTGTTCTTCACCGCGTACACAGACATCAGTCGTGCGCGCGACCGATTCGGGCTTTCAGCCGGACGCCTCAAATCATTCGGATTGCAGGAACCGGTTATCGTAAATATCAACTCCCCGTCCAAAGGCGCCGCCATCCGCGAGCGCCTAGGAGCAACGTGGCCGGCGGAGTATCGCGGATGGATGCTGAAACGCATCAACCCCTTTCAGTTTGTGCCGACTCTGGCGAAACATGTTCTGGGCCGGTATGCGCGGAGCATGGTACGCAAGTCGTTGCGCTCGCCGGCGCATTATGATCTCCTTCTCGCCCGGATCCTCGGCCTGGCACAGTTCTGCGGTCTGGGGGAAGTGAGTCTCGCCGACCTGATTGAGCTGATGGCCCATGCTTGTTACTATGAACGAGTGGCGAGACGCTATCTTGCTGCCATGCTCGGAGTGCATTACACTGTCTTCACGGGGTACGCGTTGGCTGACAGCTTTAACGGACAGCTGTTGGGGAGTCTGGAAAATCCGTTTGAGAACTTTGCCGAGCTCGCCGCAAATTTCTACGATTCACTGGTAAAAGTTGGCGTGGTGGAATACGGCAAACCCCGACTCACCCGAGCAGAGGACATGCCAAATGTAAAGTTCAGGATCGACCGCGGAGCAGGTCCCAAGCACGGTGAGCCCATTTACATGATATCTGGCTGGGCCGAAGCGCTTCTTCGTCGGCCGCGGAATCATCCACATGCCCGCTCGGTGGCCAAGGATCTCACCATCGGACTCGCAAAGGACATGGGCAAGGCCTTCGTCCCTTCGCCGCTGCTCAGGAAGATGGGCAATTTGGGGCGGGATGTTTTGAAACAGGATGTGCATGGGAACAACTGTTATTATGCTGCCGAGCTGGAGACGATCGCCGTCAGTATCAAAAGGACACCAGGCGGCCAGCTGGTGGGCAAGGTATCGCAGTTTGGCGACTTTCGGCCGACTCCCTATGGTGGGCAGGGGGTTTTCGGTGTGCCATGCGGGTGCAATCAAGCCGATCCTAAGAAGGTTATCCAGCGGTCCAGTCTGAATGGTTATCCACTGGCGAATATGTACAAGTATCGAGTGGACGACAAGCTGCACATGCTGTACGATGAGACGGTCTACCACTGGACGGCCGGAGACCTGCCCATGATCCTCTTCTGGGCAGACAGACACGTTACCGGGACGTATATCCAGGTTGCTGGGGAGTGTGTCTATTGCGCTACCAGTCGAGCATTCGGAACGGGGTGTAATCTCATCATAGCAGGAGGATGGTGAGCGCAACTGAAGCCATATTTGGAATCAATCTCCGAGATAGACGATGTCTGAATCGGGACCCAGTACAGGGAGTTCGGAGAGAGACAGAGACGAAGAGATCCTGGCCACTTGACCGCAACTGCATGCGCTGCATACATATTCTTAACAAAGACGAAGTCTGGTACTTTAAGCTTCAAGTTGACTCTAGGCCAGTTTCCGCTGGCTATTGAGACTGGTGGCTTCGACAGCGTCGACCATGGCGCAATGGCTACCTGCTAGATTAGCTTGTTCATAATACTGACATCAGTCCCCATACTTTTAAGTATGGTGGTTCGATTAAAGCAAGGTTGGCGTTCTCTTTGAAGTGGTGGATGCGGGTATTGCCGAAAGGGGGGCTGTGAGTAAGTTATGCCTCTAAACTATTTTGGTATCCCAGGGAATTCATTGGGGGGTGGAGTAAGATATGTTAGCAAAAGTTTCCGAATGAGGGTCTTGCTTACCAATCGAAACTTCCCCAGGATATGTCACCTAAGAAAATCAGATTTGTTGCACGACTTGCGCTTGACTCAGGTGGTCTGATAGTGCGAATGCAATTAGCTCATGTACTGGCCTATGAGTTTTTCGCCCGTGAGCGCAAAGACCCTACCAAGTCCACATGGAGTGTAATCATATGGATGTAACCACTTAAGTCCGACGCCGACATGGGTCATACATAGTTATAAATATCATAACAGCATCTCCGCATATGAGGGTTTGGTCTAGCAAACTGAGAAATATAGCCTCATTCTATCTGTACAGCATGTCTGGGCGAGCTGGGCAACCAAGTCTTACACTCTCTTGCTCGGCATCCTCATCGAGATAGCGCAACTATTGCTGTTTTGCTACGGCCCTCGAGCATCGCATCCACCACCCCCGACAAAGTCAAGGAGCTCGAGGCACTGCGCAATCTGAATGTGCAACTTATTCCTGGTGACATTGCCAAAGATTCCGAAAAGTGCCTTTCCGACGTCTTTGGTGAATACGACACAATCATCGGCTGTACTGGCTTTGCAGCTGGCTCTGGCACTCAGCTCAAACTTGCGTGTGCTGTCCTGGCGGCTCAAGTTCCGCGATACGTCCCCTGGCAATTTGGAGTCGATTACGATACTATCGGACGGGGATCCGCGCAAGATCTGTTCGATGAGCAACTTGATGTGAGGGATCTCCTGCGCTCCCAGGACCGGACTAAATGGGTGATCCTATCGACCGGCATGTTCACTAGTTTCTTGTTCGAGCCTTGGTTTGGTGTCGTCAAGTTCAAGGACGATACCATAGTGGCCCTTGGGAGCCTCGTTACCAAGGTGTCTGTAACAGCACCGGAGGATATTGGCAAGATTACTGCTGAGGCTGTGCTTGGCTCGAGAGCTGACTCGGGTCTTCGGTAACAAGCCAATTTATATTGCTGGAGATACCTTGACTTATGAACACCTGGCGCGGTTAGTGGAGAGGATCACTGGACGCAAATTTACCAGGCATATAAGAACTGTGCAGGCTGCTCGGGCTGACCTTGCAAAGGACCCTGACAACACCTTGTTCAAATATCAGATCGTTTTTGGTGAAGGGCGTGGTGTAGCGTGGGATTTGTCCGAGACGTGGAACTGTCAGGTTGGGATCCATGCTTTGACTGCGGAGGAATGGGCACGACTTCATTTGCAGAATATTATATAGTCGTCAAATTATGATTTATCACAAAGGTATACATAAGACTAGTGCCACTTGAATAAGTCCTAGACTCTGAACCCCGGCCGCTGAAGCGGCGGGACCCATCTCTGGCTGGCAGATTTGTTTGCAAATATTCTAATATCCGAGGATCCTGCTACGTCTCCATGTAGAGCATCGGCCGTGGCGATGAAGCAAATATTCTGTGCACACTTGGGCCATATTACATGTACGGCTAAATGCCGGCCTAGGCAGACTGCACATACGTGGTTCTCGTATTGCCAGCACCACCATATCCACACACGCCCTGTGAGAGACAAGGATGAGTCAGAATGGAGTACGGTCAATGCACAACACATGAGATATATTATCATCTTTACACCTCTGCTTTTGAGATTATTCAGTTAGTGAAACACTAATAATCCAACATCACAACACTCACAATGGTGAAACTGGATACATTTGAGATTGATCATGTAGGAAACCGCAAACTCTAGCAGTGATACAGCCCACTGATTTAGAGCGCAATAGTGGATCCTGACTCGCAGTCCTGGAGCCAGACACAATCTGGCCCATTCATATTCCCTTCCTGTCACTATCCAGGAGCTCGGCTCGCTAGGTACCGACCCAGCTGAACATGTTGATAACCCCTTGGCCACGACTCTGTCACTGCCAATGAACTATGGTCCATCTTTTACCGGCCTCGAGAAGCTGCGCATGAAGATAGCTGCATTGTACGCCAGTGAATCAGAGGCTGTCGTATCTCCGAGCAACATCATCACTACACCTGGTGCATCGCTGGCAAATTTTATCGTGTTCTTTGCCCTGATCGGACCCGGAGATCATGTCATTGTTCAATATCCAACTTACCCTCAGTTATACTCTCTTCCATCCTGTCTGGGTGCTGAGGTGAGTCTCTGGCAAGCAAGCGAGGATAATCATTGGCAGCTGGATTTGGAGGAACTGGAGCGTCTCATCCAGCCCAATACCAAGATGATCGTCTTGAAGTAAGCGGTCTTCTTTCTTCTTGAGGCCCAGTCTATTCATTTGACACTCTTCTCCTCCAGCAACCCTCAGAATCCCACAGGCGCCATCATTACCAAGTCAAATCTTGGTAAGATTGTCGACCTGGCCCGACGACACTCCATCACCGTCTTCAGCGATGAGATCTATCGCGCCCTGTTCCATTCAATCTCGCCGACTGACCCCGAATATCCCCTTCCCTTCTCTCATTTGGATATGAGAAATCAGTGGTGACGTGCTCGCTCTCCAAGACCTTTTCCCTCGCCGGCATTCGCGTGGGCTGGCTAGCTTCTCACAGCTCTTCCATTCTCGATCTCTGTCTCAACGCGCGCTCCTATACGGTTATCACTGTTAGCCAGATCGACGAGCAAATTGCTGCTATGGCCCTCGAGCCTGTTCGTCTGCGAGAGTTGACGAAACGCAACCTAGGTCTTGCCAAGCACAATCTCGAGATTGTGCAATCATTCATTGACCGGCATTCTTCGGTCTGCGAGTGGGTTCGTCCGGTCGCTGGACCAGTTGGGTTTGTCAAATTTAGCCGAAACGGCGTCCCTATCGATGATGTTGAATTCTGTATTCTTCTTCTCGAAAAGAAGGGTGTGCTACTCGTGCCGGGGCGAAAGTGCTTTGGAGAGATGTTTAAAGGTTATGTCCGACTGGGCTTTGGGCAAAGTACTCGGGCTTTGGAAGCTGCCCTGGAGGCGCTGGCAGCCTTCATTAGCGAGGATTATGATGCGGTGCCCTTGGCTGAGCGGAAATGACCAAGTTGAAGTCTGCTGGCGTCAGAAGACAAGTAATATTGTTTGACATGTCCTCGTTATTAGTATCTATATATCATAAATCTAAAGATTACACATTATATTTATCTGGTGGCGTCTACTTATTTACTCCCTCCAGCACCATGGTCAATAGAGAGGATTATGCACATCCCGAGCACCTCGCTCAATGACCTCTTCTACGTTCCAGCGTGGGGGACTGATTAATTTCCGGGCATCTCTAGCACTCAGTCCCGGAGGCAGCGGTTCTTTCAATCCTCCAGCCACGCCTGTGGAATATTTAATGCCCAAAATATTGCCGATCTCGTCACAGACTCGGAGTATGCGGTCAAGATCATCCTTTGTGTGAGCAGCAGACACACATAGTCGGGCCCGAGACAGCTCCAGTGGGGTGGCTGGATAGGTCACCACCACGACAGAGATCTTCCGTCGTAGCATCTCATGGGAGAATGCCGGCATCTTGGCTGGGTTGTACAGCATTAGCGGCACAATGGGCGAATCATCATGCCCGTAGACTATGAAGCCCAGCCGTTTTAGGCCCAGTCGCAAATATCGCGAATTGAACCCAAGTCTTTGTACGCGTTCAAGTCCCTGGCCTGGGTGTAGGGGATCCTCATCGGCGATCAGTCGCAAGGAGGAGGAAATCTGTGCCAGGACAGCGGGAGCAGGAGCCTCGCCGAAGATTTGTCCAGCATTTGTGGCTCGGAGTTTCTTAATGAGAGCCTTGTCTGCCGCAATATACCCACCATTGGCACCAAAAGACTTGGTAAATGTACCCATGAGGATATCCACCTCGGCAGGATCGACCTTGAAGAAATCGCAGACTCCCCGCCCACGAGGCCCGACCGCGCCGATGGAGTGGGCTTCGTCAACGAAGAGGTAGAATTTATATCGCTTTTTAAGCTCTAAGATGCGAGGCAAATTGCACATAGTACCTTCCATAGAATATAGGCCTTCGACCGAGACCAGGATCTTCTTCCAGGGCCGGTGGGTGCGCGGTTGGCCTTGGGAGATTGCCTCTCGAAGTCGTCTCTCCAGATCCGCCATGCTGTTATGCGAAAAGACCTGGATGGCAGCACCTGAGAGACGTGCCCCGAAACGAATAGACGCATGATTGAGTTCATCCGAGAGGATCAAGCATCCCTTCTCCATGAGGGCAGGGAAAATCGTGGCATTGGTTACAAATCCCATGGAAAACACAATCGCATCTTCCTTGCCCACGAACCGCGCAACCTGTTGCTCAACCTCTGCATGAAGCTGTGGCGTTCCGGGTTCGGCAACTGAGCCGGCCATAGTGATCCCATTTTGACGAATCGTTTCTTCGGCGAGATCAGAACAGGGACCTTCGGACTGGGCAAATCCCAGATAGTTGTATGAGCTAAGGTTCAACGTGTCCGTGGTCGCCCCTGTGAGCCGGAAATGGAGGTTGTCTTCCGATTGCTGATCCAACAACGTGATATATCTTCCTGGAACCCCGGTGGTCGGTCGCTCGAAACAGTCATTGATCCGCCGCTTCAGGCGTCGTGTATAGAAGCTCTCGAAATCACTGTACAACGAGGCATAGCCATTTTGCGGGCGGAGGTGCTTGTAGGTGTGAGCCCGGAAGTACTTGTCGCAAAAGTCATGGAAGTGGCCGAGGAAGATCAAAATGAGGAAGCTGATGTAGGTCGTGAAAGCGGTAAAGTACGGCGGCTCATCGAGCACCGGGTCGGGGATTTCGCCCCCGCTGTGTTTGCTCACATAGAGATGCGACGGATCGCCGAGGGGACCAAACTCGGCGTGCTGCTTTGCGAGTCTCTGCGCTTCGGTTGCATTGTAGATCTCACCGGAGACTGCTTGAAGAGAGGTCAGGGCGTTTGTGTGAGGTTCCGATGGGCTCCGTCCGTTCTCGCCAGCTGTTGTCGATAAAGCTTGCGGGCCAGTCGCGCTGGTCGAAGGTTTCCCTTTGCGTTTCCATCGTGGCATGATGAAAGACCAAACGAGATCGTTGGGGAGAGATCAGATGCCGTGGTGGATAAGCAGAGTGATGGACATTTGTTGGAGTTTGGGTTTGGGAGGTGGGAATACGGGAATACCCGCCCGTGCCGGGGGAGAAACCTGAGGCAGCAAATATCCACCTGCCGGCTTCCGAAGTTCCGATGCTTCCGTCTGATTGGTTGAGCGGCACAGGCAGCAACAAATCCCTCAGGAATCAGGCAATGAGGCCTCCTATGAGAGTACCTACTCCGTCCTCCGAATCTCAGGAGGTAAGTTCCAGGGCAGCGTCGGGTTCTCACCCTGGTCTATTTATCAAAACCTGCAATTCCATCTGGATGCTACTATTAGAATTTCTGGGGCCCATGATGGCCCATGATGGCCCATTAAGAAATGACCGACTGAATCAACCAGGAACCACAATATATATTGCTCAGCATAATCCAGATATGCCTCTACTAGCAAACATCAGATCAACGAGAGTCGTACCTCATGTTCCAGTCAGGGGAAAGGTCAATATTAATGGCTCAAATCTCCAGTCCCTGGTCGATAATCCATGGACTACTTCAAGCTGGTAGGCTATGAGACCAGCTATGCTGTAATGCTAGTACATTAAACTGTATAACCATCCATTCAGTGTATCCTGAGCATCAACACTGCTTTATAATGCATTTTAGTCCACTGTACAAAGAAATATATCTCGTTCCCTGCATCCAAGGCAGCAGCAGGTATTCTATTGGTCTAATATCATGCAATAATCAATCCCACTCTCAGGTCCGTCGAGAAGTCGGACGTCCGGCGGAGGGCAGTGGGTTAGCACAGGAATATGGGTCCATTCGCGGCATCAGATGTAACATTAAGAAGACTACCTTAGTAAATGCTTTTGAATGTATCGCAATTACAGGATCGGCTCACCCAGTCACACAGTGAAGATCGTCATCTGTTGTACAAGCTTGCCAAGCGGGGCGAAGCTTTTACTCCACATTTCTTGGAGTCGTGTTCCCCAATAGGAGGGGATACGAGTATTGCTCGCAAATAAAAAGCATGCACTTTCCCCAAGAGTAACTGCTGAGTTTGTTTGTCAATCACGCCAGAATGCATTTCGCAGTCAGTGCCATCACCTTGCTCGTGGCAAGCACCACCCTGGCCCTGGAAAATCCTCATCGCAAAGCAGTCAGACCAATCAAGGTAGATCCTGGCCATCTAAAGCCCCGGGCTGTCACTGGCGCAGATGACGGAGGCTATAAGTATCTGAATAAGAAGACGCAGCGTGCGTTCAATCCACCTACAAGTCTCCTGGTCTAATGATTGTTAGGTTTTCTGGTAAATGGCACGGGCATTCCCGAGGTGGACTTCGATGTGGGGAATCTTATGCCGGTACCCTTCCCAACACGCCAGCTGGGAATTCCAGTCTATTCTTCTGGTTCTTTCCATCTCAGAACCCGAAAGCACATGACGAGGTAGATGGGGACCCAGCATAAAAATTGTTGTACCTGACTGACAGTCGGCAGATCACCATCTGGTTGAATGGGGGTCCTGGATGTAGTTCTCTCGATGGATTGCTGCAGGAAAATGGCCCTTTTCTCTGGCAGTCTGGCACATACAAACCCATCCGCAATCCATACTTGTGGACTAACCTGACCAACATGGTCTATGTGGATCAACCCGCCGGAACTGGCTTCTCTCCGGGGCCGTCCACAGTCAACAATGAGGAGGATGTTGCAAGGCAGTTTAAGAGCTGGTTCAAGCACTTCGTTGATACCTTTAGTCTGCATGGCCGCAAGGTGTATATTACTGGAGAAAGCTATGCTGGACAATATATTCCCTACATTGCCTCGGCCATGCTGGACGAGAAAGACACAAAGTACTTCAATGTGAAGGGCATCCAGATCAACGATCCATCCATCAACGACGATTCTGTGATGATATATGGTATGCGCATCTTCCGTCATGTCTGCTCATAATTTTCAAGGCTAACATATCGAGTAGCCCCCGCTGTCAGCCATCTGAACCAGTACCTGAACGTCTTCTCTCTCAATGATACTTTCGTCAAGCATATCAACAAACGTGCTGAGGAATGTGGATACAACAAGTTTCTGGATGAGGCTATTACCTTCCCGCCTCCGAAGAAATTCCCTGTCGTCCCAGACCCATCCAAGAACAACTGCGCTCTCTGGGATGAAATTGTTCAGGCGGCCTACTACGTCAACCCCTGCTTCAACTTCTACCATCTCACCGACTTTTGTCCGTACCTATGGGATGAGATGGGTTTCCCTTCCCTGGCCGGAGGCCCCAATAATTATTTCAATCGCTCGGATGTTCAAAAGGCCCTTCACGTCCCTCCGACAGACTACTCCGTCTGTGGAGAAACCACGATCTTCGCTAAAGGCGATCAATCGGTCCCCAGCGCCCTTGGTCCTCTCCCGAGTGTGATTGAGCGTACCAATAATGTCCTTATCGGACATGGATGGCTTGATTACCTGCTATTCGTGAACGGATCTCTCGCCACGATCCAGAATATGACATGGAACGGTGCACAGGGCTTTCAGCACCCGCCTGTAGAACCCCTTTACGTTCCCTATCATTATGGCCTTGCAGAGCTCTGGACATCTACTGCGCCGAATCCATACATTTTGAACGCGGGGGCTGGCTATTTGGGTACGGCGCACACTGAGCGTGGCCTGACATTCTCAACAGTCTACTTGGCTGGCCATGGTAAGAGAATCAGCTATAGCTACATGTTACGTGCTGACACCGCGACAGAGATTCCACAATATACACCTGGAGCAGCTTACCGTCAGTTCGAATTCCTGCTCGGTCGTATTGACAACCTGTCATCGCCTGGAAGCTATACTGCTTAGGAGACCAGGTGTCATCATCCACTATCCCTGCCGATGTCCAAGTGGAAGATCAACAGGGCGCCAGATGTTCTATCCCTGGCATAAATACATTCAGAGTTTAGGAATTGTTAGAGTACCAAAATCCATGGAACGTTTACGAAGAAATATAGAAAATTCAATGAGACCATAATGGTGGGATGTCTGATGTCATTGAACCGAGGCCATCCCCACACTCAGGAAAGTCTCCACATGTTGAAAATAATTGCCAACCTCTTTAGAGTATATGATGGTAGAAAGTCTTAAATAGAATGAATTCTTGGAAATACATCAATATCTGCTGGCTCTTTGCATAGCGTGTTCAGAATGAGTACGCCAGGTCCTCTATTTATCGCCCAGGAAGCCCTCTGTTTCTATCCCATTAGCACCATTTATGGGTCTTGTCCGCGTTATCTCTTCTACGCTCTTCTTCTAGCCAGCTGTGTGACACGATGGACAGGATGGCTGGCCGACGTCTTCCTAGGTGCTGCAGCAACATACGCAGGAGTCGCCGCCATCCAGGCGTTCATTCTTGTTTCCAGTCCCTCGTCGCCTGTAGTCCCTGGGCCGGTAACCATCTCATATCTCCCCCGGAATACCAGCCTCTGGGGTAGTTTCCCTCAGCTCATCACCGAGAGAGACAATGTGATAGTCCAGCCAGCCGCTGTGGAGTTGGATGCAGACGCAGTCAATGCTATTGTAATCACAGGCTATCTTGTGTTTCTGCCCTTGCAATGCTGGTCCCGCGTCCTCTCGCAAGAGCGCGTCCGGGTTATCCTCTTCTACCTCTGGAATATCCTGATGTTCGCAGGTTCTATTTGCGCGCTGATTTACTCAAACACTGCAAAAAACACACCGACCCAATACATGTTTTGCTATCCTGACCTGCCTCCGCTCGACGAAACATCCAGCGATGGGTGGCAAGCCTCGTGGCGGACATCCACTTGGAACAATAGTGTCTGGAGCATATTCTCCAATATCACACTCTGGAACCAACTCGGTGACATCTGCTTCAACCCTTGCTTCAACACCAGTCAGATTCTTCGCCAGCGGACGTCTTTAGACGTGTGGGTTGCGACCAGTCGCTCGGAACTGGACCATCCGCACTCATTCTGGAACAAGTTTATATATTCGCGGCGTTACATATACAGCCTTCTTGGCGTCACTGTCATCCTGAACATCATCCTGCTTGTGTCAAGATTCTTCCCCTACAGTTCTCGCATCCCGTCCGTTCAGATGATGGTTGTTTGGCGAGAACGCAAGGCCATATGGACCAGCTTTCGGGAGGGATTCTGTCTATTGAAGGCAATTGCATGCCAGGACGATTTTCCATCACGCAAGAGCTCTACTTGGCGCCGGGTCCGATCCATCCTAAACAGGCAATTTGCGAAAGAATGCCTCCGTTTATTGGCAGACTCACTAATTCTCGTCGGACTGTTACTGAGCATCATCATCAGCCCGTTGACACTGATCGCATTTGTAGTCTGGATTGAATGGTACATTCACAACGACGGACCGTCCCAAGAGAATCCTCAGCAGGTTGGACAATGGTCGTACCTGGTTTCCATTGGGCTGTTGCTCATTTCGGCGTTGATCCTGAGATGGAAGTATCGTGTTGCCTCGACTCAAGAATTGGATGATGAGATATACGCACTCAGAGAGCGCTTGGCGGATGTGGAGAGCAGAAGGTTGTTGCGTGCAGAGGCCAGTCATCGAGCTTAACGCAGCACGCACTCTGTCCGCGATCACCAGGTGCTTTCGAATTCGGCTCCATATCTCCCCCGAACTCGGGACCTGGAGGTTGGAGACTGTCGTGAAATGGTCCTTCCAACTACTCGATCTGATATTGTCGCTGCCGATGTAAGAGTATCTGGTATCAAATTGACGAGGCTGGTTGGGTCATCTTGGAAAATTGGCAATTGCTTCATGGTTCTCTTGCTGTGCATTGGATTTGTGAGTAGAATCTTCACTGCTGGGCTCAGTGAGGTGTCCCGAACCATGCTGTGGAAGCAGTCCATTACGATCTTCAAATCTGGCAGCGTCCTCGGGTTGTCAAAGAGAGAGATAGTATCGATGACACAGTAGACGGTAGTCTGCGCGGAAAACTGTGCTACAAGATGGTACAGCAAATCGCATAGACACGACAAGTCGTGGTTTTCGAGCCCTTCAACGAAGTCCCAATCGTCGATAAAACTGAGATCGGAGCATTTCATCTCCAACAGCCTGACCAGCAGCTGCATTGCGAGAAAGCGAACCAGTCCATTTGGCCCGTACCATGCGTCCTTAGGTAAGAAGTGCTGGCCGCAGAAATGGAAAACGACGACATCCTCCGGGTGTGCAGTGACCATACTGGTAACCAGGGTGGCACAGAATACGGACAAAGGGGTTGTCTTGGGCATGCCGGGGTCGTCGATATTTGCATCGACGAGAATAAGATCGGATTCTGGGCGGTTTAGCCATCCCAGAACTCGGTTGTTTCTCAAAACAGACTCTTGCACCTGCCCCTGAGTCTCTGTATTCAGCTTGCCCTTGTACGAAAGGCATTTTTGCAGGTCATCATTCGGTCGTTGGAGCATTTGTCTTAGGTCTGCTAGCTCGTAATTGTCGGAAATCGGCAGCCCTGTGAGAATGTAGAGGAGTTGATCACCCTTGATGAGCTGTCTGGACTTGCGGGTGTAGCGAATCTCTCGCCGCAGCCTTTCAATCTCGGTACGCTGTCCTATTGTTCCCACGATCAGTGACATATCCCTAAAACAAGGGAAAAGATCCGTCCTACTCTTGGACTCCAGTAAAATCTGGAGGACTTCATTTCTTGTTATAACCTGACCAGTCTCCTGCTCCTTTATCCTCAGGCTGTTCTGTCTATTGCTCTCCCTTGTAACGATATTCTGTGTATCTGCCCTAATTTGATGGAGCATGCTGTAGAAAGCCTCATAGCCCCTTTTGTAATCCTTATCCCGCTCGTCCTGCTTCTCACTGAACACCCTGAGGCTCTCATTTGTCTCCAGAATATTGCGATGCATGCCGGGCAATCTCATCGCCATTGACTGAGTGAGAAGCCCCGTACCTTCGATGACATTGTCCCGTACCAGATCGATCACGCGCTCGAATTCCTTCCGAGCCTCTTCCAGCTTGCCCAGAATCATGTCAGGATCCGGTGGTGGCGTTCGATGCGTGAACTTGGGAGCAGTGGCCAGTTTCTGTCTCCACGAGGTCTTTTCTTTAGAGGTCAGTAAGATCATATCCTCGATGCACTCCACGATACACTGGTTCAAATGATCCGCAGAAACGCAGATCTCCTCGTTACTCCGAAAGCTCCTCTTTGCCGGATCGGCCCGAGTAAGTGCTTCTAGGATGGCTACGAACGTCTTTTCGATCTTTTGTCGTCTCTCTGCCGATTTTTCGGCCAGCTAAACAATTTTAGCCCGTAGACGTTGGCCAGACCGCAAGACATACCTTGAAAACCACTGCCAGCCCAGTCTTGACAACTGCCAAACCATACTCATTGGGAATGAGGGCAACCCATGCATCCAGAGTATCTTTGGTATCGCCTACATGGTACCATAGCGAATGCCAGAACGTCTTTTGGCGGTCCATGTATCGAGCCTCAGTATTTGCGAGCTTGTCGGCTAACTCCTCAAGTTTCTTTGCGTCTTCCTGGAACTGCAAGCCCAAATTCTCGGGCAGGTAGCGTTTCAGAAGTTCTTCAAGTGACCTGTGCGAGTCTGTCAGCCTTTTCTTCCCAACTCATCATTCTACAATCAAACACCCACTTGTGAAAGTTCGGCGGCACAAATTGGTGCTCATTATCGTCATATCTCGAGGACCCCGCCATTGCAACATGGATATCAGGACCTTCGGCGCTGATAAAAGCGGCAGCGTGTGCGGTTAACCTGCTCGGGACAGGAGCTGCTGCCATCGACGTCATGACTGAGGCTCCCAAGTTGGGTTGACTTTACGATGACTGTTCAAATGGTGGCCTGCGAGGTGCGGAGCCATCATCATATAGATACATGGACAACATGGTGCTCATTAGAATAGAGACCCCGCCGGATCTGACCTGTTCAAGCCGACGTGGACTGGGGCGATTGGCGCAGTCATCCAAACAGCTGCAGGATGCATTTCAGCTCGTTTCATGTCATGGCTCGGCAACAATTCAGGCCAATAATAACTTCAAAAATAACCTGTCAGCCTCGCGAATTTACACTAGCAAGAATCAGCCCCCTTTTAGCGCGCCACATGCTGCCCGTCAACCCGCAAAGCTGACCAACAAAATCTGGGCGGCTAACAGGAGTCTGTGAAGAAGGAGTGAGCTAGGCTCGAATTCTCCTTTATATTCACGCAAGCCTGTGATTATGCGCGTGGTTTCCCTGCCATGAGATTTTATTTTAGAATCGGCAAAGATGGCCGCAGCCGACGCACCAGGCAGGGAGCTCTCCCCAGGACCCCAGAGACTGTTACGCAGGCGCGCGACACAAAGGATCCTGGCCGATGACTTGAGTTTTGAAGAAGATGAGCAGATAAAGAAAGAAAGGCAGGAGAAATGGGAGAAGCGACGCCAGCAGATGCCGTGGAAGGTAGAAGTCCAAACCCTGGACTACCATCACTTCAAAAACCGGTATTCTCTCGATGATGGGCTGGCTATCATTGAGGTCCTCCAAGGCCATCACAGCATCTACAACGAGGTGTGGCATGAGAACAATCGTCGTCGGTTGGGATTTATATACCCAGAAACACCGGTCGAGTTGGAGAATGAAGGAACCTGGATCCAGAGGGTTCGCATACAGTCGCCCGAGCTTCTCCTCCTGCTTTCTCGACTAACCGGCCATCGAGACCTGTGGGCCAAGCGAGGCCCCCGCGTCTTCTTCCGGCCTTTTACAACATTGTACTACTATCTTCCAGAGATGAAAGAGTGTCTGGCGCTTCTGGAGTCACGCTGGGGCGGCAATGTCGATGAATCACATCAAGACCCGATCGACGCGACACAATGGAACGCCAAATTTAAGTCCTCCGGCCATAAAGATATTTCAGAACCGGAGGATGAGAGCTTTCGAATCAGGACGCCGGCTGAGTCGGTCATTGGGCCCATCGCAGATTCCGTGACCGCGCTGCGCCACGTTCGCCTGTTTGTCAACTTTATGGATACTGAGATTGTCCCCTTGTGGAAGCGAGCTGCCGGCACGACGCATCGTAAGATCGCTTTTGCGGACCTATGGATGTCTTATCAGCCTGGCGAACTGCTCTATGTGCCATCACCCTCGGAGACAACCCAGGATCAAATCTGGCCGGAACCCCTTCCCATGTCGCAGAATATCTGGCGGCTGCATACAATCAGCCGCGACCAGTTCCAGGAATTGTTTAATTGCGATATGTCTGCGGCCACCGGCCAGGAACTAGATCTCTGGAGCTACTATATCGATTTTAACGGGGTGTCGTATGAGCCTTATACTCGAAGGTTCAGTATCAAGGCGTATGAGGGGCTAAGGGACATCACCACAATGCAGATCTACCCCTTGCGCTTTCACAAGGATGCGGAGAAGCTGCTCGAGAGCCGCCGGGAGGTGGGACAGCTGTTCCAAAAGGCACTAATGGAGAAGCATCTCTACTATGAGGGGTGGACTCTGACGCACGAGCCCACGCAGAGTCCTCAGTTGCAGGATCGAGGGAATTCCGAGCATATCGAGGGCCAGGTGATGATTGATTTTGTCGAGGGGCACAAGTCGGACAGCGATCTCGCCTCGAAATCCGATCAGACCCTGACTGGATGGTCAGCGAATGACTGGCCCGAGGGAGAAGACAGTGTCGCCATCAACCATTGGTATCAGTGGACCAGCGAAGACGAGGAAGGGTCGGAAGGCGAAGCCGCAGACAATGGCCATGAGAAGACATGTGAGCCTGGTTTTGAGCTCATGAAGGAGGAGAGTGACTGCTTGCAGCTTTACGAAGACTTTGCTGGGATCATCAGCGACCATGACTTAGAAACCAACGACTTCCTCCGGTCATACATGGCAGGCAATGCGATGCAAATTACTACTGAAGACCTTGTCCTGCTGCCGGGTCGCGTTGTTGCCTACGCCTTTCGAGACCGGCGGTTCGTGCGTCTGGACGTGAAATATTTGCAGCCAATTCCTCCCTCCGAGAATGTCTTCAAGAACCTGCGAATCAATGAAGAGCACAAGCGGATGGTCCGGGCTTTGGTCAAGACGCACTTTCAAAAGCAGAGGCTAAACCTGGACCTAATTCGGGGCAAAGGCTCGGGGCTGGTGATTCTCCTGCATGGCGCGCCAGGAGTGGGCAAGACAGCCACCGCAGAGGCTGTAGCCCAGGCAAACAAGAAGCCTCTCTTTTCCATCACTTGCGGGGATCTTGGATTCCAGGCCCAGGACGTGGAGACAAATCTCAAGGAAATCTTCCGGCTAGCGCATCGGTGGGACTGCGTGCTCTTGCTTGACGAAGCCGACATCTTCTTAACTCGTCGAAATTTGAGTGACCTTGTCCGCAATGCTCTCGTATCAGGTATGTGATCTCTGAAAGTATGTCTGTGAGTCTCATGTTCCTGAAGATGTCGATAGTTTTCCTTCGGATGCTGGAGTACTACAGCGGGATTCTGTTCCTCACCACGAACCGGGTAGGGATCATCGACGAGGCCTTCAAGTCGAGAATTCACGTCAGTTTGTACTATCAGCCGCTCGACAGAGAGCAGACACTCGCCATCTTCAGGAACAATATCCGCAAGCTGCGCAAGGTCGAAGCGGAGAAAGACCGACAACGCGCCTCGGATCCCGACGGCCCTCAAGGGCCAATTCTGGACATCGACGAGAAGAGTATTCTGCACTATGCTGCGTGGCACTATGACACCCATGTGCAGCACCGATGGAACGGTCGACAGATTCGCAATGCGTTCCAGATTGCCTATTCGTTTGCGCATTTCGATATTCAAAACGGGCCGGACACGTGGCAGAAGGAATCGGAAGAGGAAGGAGATACAGATAGCGACGAGGGGAAACAGGTTGATTTCACTGTGACCAACCCAGTCCTGGATTATCGGCATTTCCTTCTCGTCGCAGACACCATCAGACGATTCGACAACTACCTTTGGGAGACCACAGGCGAGACGGAAGAGGAGCAGGCATTCAACTGGAGCCTGAGAGCTGATGATTACAATCCGGACGAGTGGGACGATGGCCCCGTCTATCATCCTATGGGTCATCAGCCTCAACGCCGGGGATACGGCCCTTCGTCCCGGGGGTCGATGAGGGGCAGGGGCGGTCCTCGGGGAGGAGCATTCAGAGGCAGCATGCCGCAGGGCGGACGTGCTGTCCAAAGAGAACGATCTCCTGTCCCGGAGTATCAGCCGCCGCTCAAGGCTCCACTGTCTCAGCAGCAAGGAGGTCGAGCTAAGCCCATGCCCGGAGCAGAAGTACCATCCTACGGTCGACGGTTCGGTCCGGGTGCAAACTCCGATAGACCTCGGGCACCTCCTCAACGGCGGTCAGAGCAGCAATCGCCGGCGTGGAACGTCCATTCTAGCAAAGAGGGTCATTTTGCGTATGAGGAGGACTACGAGGAATTTGAGGAATATGAAGAAGAAGGGTACGATGAGTATAGCCAGAACGTCGGTCCAGCAGGCCCAGCCCGTGTGGGACCTATCCGAGGATAGACCGTTAGAGCCATAGTGTGTCATGGGGCCGATTTTTAGCTATCCTGCAGCATGCCTTTAGGTCCTTGTTCACATCTTGTCCAGAATATGTACATTCTGTCGAGTCAACAGGATTCTTCCATGGTGAAAGTAATTAGAGAAACGAAACTTCCATATAAGACCCTAGATGCCTGTAACCCATCGGTAGATATACGACACGGGAAAGTGCCGAGATCGGAGGATTCCCGCCGCATCAACGTCTTTCCCATCACAGCGGCCCTTCTCCTGCAACTTGCATCAATTCCTTTCCCAGAGCCATTGGAGATCGAACGCTAAATCAGGATACTGCTCGACTGCTCGTTTTAGTTCGTACCCAATTGACTTTTATGTCTTTTGACGGGGATTGAACAGCCCTCTGGATGTCATTTACGATGCTGTCTAGGCCCCTCGGACGGCTCGTCCACCTCTCTAAACCACGCCACCAGAATGTAAAAATATACCCACAGTTCATATCTAGCACGGCTTCATTATCCAAAAAACAAAGCAGCATTCCAGCAGCGTATTACCGCGGGGGACGTCGCGCGCCATCTTCTTCCGAAAAGAGGATCTCCCGTCGGAACAACAGCAGTGGGATGACATCTTCCGCGGCACCATCGGAAGTCCCGATCCATATGGACGCCAGCTAGATGGAATGGGAGGTGGCATCTCCAGTCTGTCCAAGGTGTGCGTGGTCAGTAAATCCGACCGGCCGGATGCTGATGTCGAGTACACCTTTGTTTCGCTAGGGGTGAAGAACATGGATGTCGATTATTCCAGCAACTGTGGGAACATGATCAGTGCGGTTGGGCCATATGCAGTCGATACTGGTCTCTTTCCCGTGGCTGGCGACGCCAATGACGTTGTCTCTGTCCGAATATTCAATACCAACACGGGAAAGGTCATCCGATCTACGTTTCCTGTAGTAGACGGGGAGGCAGCAGCAGCTGGTGATTTTGCTATCGATGGCGTGGCCGGGACAGGCGCTCGAATACAGCTCGATTTCATTGACCCTGCAGGCTCAAGGACGGGCAAATTGCTGCCAACTGGGAAGGTTGTCGATTGCTTTGACGATGTTCCCGCATCATGTATCGATGTCGGCAATCCATGCGTTTTTGTGCGCGCTTCTGACCTGGACGTCCCAGGAAATCTCGCACCAGATGAGATCGACGCACATCCTGCTCTACTTTCGCAATTGGACTCTATCCGTCGCCAAGCTGGCGTCAAGATGGGACTGGCTGTAACACCGAAAGAAGTGCCTGGGAGTGTTCCCAAGATCTGCCTCGTTTCGTCACCGTCAGATTCTTATACGTCGGGAATGATGCAGACGTCAAAGGATGTCGATCTGGTGGTTCGAGCTCTCTCCGTCGGCCAGCCGCATAAAGCCGTTCCCATCACCGTCGCTTTGGCCCTTGCGACGGCCGCCAGAGTGTCCGGCACTGTTGTGGCCGATGTGGTAAGCGACAAACCAGTCGATCCTGCGGGTATTACTTTAGGCCATGCCAGTGGTAATCTGCTGGTCAGCGCGGACTTCGACCCCAGCGGTCGTTTACGCTGTGCGACGGTCTATCGAACAGCGCGTAGGATTATGGAGGGGCGTGTCTTCTGGAAAGATACTTCTGCTTGAACACTTGGAATATATGAATTGGTGTGAATATGGAGTTGCCCGGCTGAGTTTGGCAACTTCCACATTGCCAGGAGATTTGTATATACTGGTTAAAACCAGATGTGCGACTAGTGAGATTCTATTGCACATATATCCATTGCATACTAGCACATATATCCATTGCTTACTATCATAAATGGAGTTTCCTTGCTTTATTTACATTCTCCGCACAAAGTAGACTGTATTTTCGGGGGCTTACTGAAAAGAAGGTTGTGTTCCCTGATGTCAGGGACTTCATATTCTCAGACATGGCACCAGTTTACAGAGCGGCCCCGCAGCGGTTGGCTGCTCAGCTTCCACAACTTAGAAAAAATGATCATAGTCGCTTAAGCGACGTGGAAGAGCGATGACTACGTCAGTAACATCTGTGCGCATGGCTTCTGAAGAACACAATGGAGCTCGACGGACCACATCGTACATACAGATCAGCAATCTATCGGCAGTATTTAACTTCTTTCAGCTCTTTACTTCGTTGAGCATCCTGACTAGGACCTTCTCCAACCGTCTGACTCCCTCGGTCAAGTCCCTTTCGTGCTCCCACGCGAAGCAAAGCCTCAAACATTGATGTTGAGATGAAGATTGATCACCAGGGACCACAAAGATGTCACCATTCCCGACGATCAGATTCTCGTCCCGCAGTGCTCTATCAGTGACATTGCAAGCAGTGAGTGGCTGAGGCAATCTGATCCAGACAAAAAAGCCTCCAGCATGCAATGCATCACTTGCATCCGTATGTATCTCGACTCCGAGGGGATATAGTCGCTCCTTGATCGCCGATACTATAGTATAGTGTCGACGGGAGTATGATGGGATCAACACCTCCCTTATATGCTTCGTAACAGAACCATCTTGTAGCATTTCGTCAATGAAGGTCGACATGAGTTGGGATGGAGGGCCGCCTGACACTGTAGAGCCTCTGTGTGATTCCCGTTTAGCCGAGAGGACAGTCATAGTTGGGGGCGGAGTCTTACACTTGTGACAAGCCATAGACTAATTGAGGCTCTCCCTCAGCCCATCCCACACGACAACCAGGGGCAACGATCTTGCTAAAGGTCCCATTACTAATGACGTTACCGAAGCTATCCCGTGGACCACCATCAAGCGTCCGATCTAGATCCAGGACGCGAGGGATCTTGGACCCCCATGTATTCCCATTACCTGGAGAATGAGCGACAGACCAGTGCAGAAAGTCGTAAACGTCGTCGCAAATTACTAGAGCATTGAATTTGCGAGCTAAACGGACAAGAACTTCCCGCCGTCTAAGAGACATGGTGACGCCTGTGGGATTGGAAAAGTTAGGCACGCAGTAAATGACGTGTTTAAATATCCTTCTGTAATGTTCCGGACGTTTGTATCCTTCTGCCTATAAAAATTTAGCTTTCCTAGCTTTTGAAATGCTTTCTTCAGCTCACCCTCTCTGCAACTGCCTCGTCATTAGCGAGAGCATGTTCAAGATACTCCATGTCCATCCCCTCCTCATCCTCAGGAACAGCCCTTAACCTCCGGTAGAACCCTGCATCCTCAAAGATCCTGAATGCGAGATGATAAGTCGCCTGCGGCATCCATATGTGCCTTGTTTGCGATGGATCAGTAAAGACTTGCAGGATATTCGACAAGTTCTGGCTCGCTCCTCCGGTTATGCAGATGCGATCCGCTTGAATCGGCTCAGAGGGTTTGTAGTATCCCGTCAGCCACTCGGCAAGGTGAGCCCTGAGGGGAAAGTGACCCTCATCCGGGCCATAGTCCAAGCCGGTTACTGCGACTTCCGGCTTTGACAAGGCCGATACCGCTGCATCACTTAGGCGCTGGGTGGGAAGAAGAGCCGTAGAAGGCGACCCTTTCAGCAAATCGATACGAGGAGTTGAAGACATTGAAGATCAATGAGAGAGGCAGAAACTTGTCGAATACGAAGACCAACAACGGCTCGGACACATTTTATACACTGATGACGGAGTTGGGACTGGGCCCTCACTTCCGTGGGGATACAGGATTTCCGTTTTGGGTAATGAAGGCGATTCAACCAATCACGGCATGCCAAGCAATGGATCCGACGGGAGGCACCAAACGATGGGTTCTCCGTATGTCCTTCAGACCATTGCAGCTGCTTACAGATACAAATTCTCCTTCCTTCTTCTCTTCCACCTTCTTCTTCATTCAGAGTCAATTGTAACTCATAATCCCGTATAAGACAGCAACACAATGGGACACATCAAAGACTTCGCTGTAGAAAAGGCAGGTAAAATCAACGTCAGGCCGCAGGAGTTGATGGCTGACTTTCGCAGTGGATGGACGAGCATGAGACATGGGCAACTCATAATCTCGCTGAGACCTGCTGTGCCTCCGTCTCACTCGACGATATGTTGGCCTTCGCCGGGAACAAGGACAGAGCCAGCCTTATCGACTTTTCCCAGAAGCAAACCTATGGGGCAATACGAGGCAGTGATGCCCTGCGCTCAAACATCGCCAACTTGTATCGCGACGAGCAATCTGAGCCATTGTCAAAAGAAAACATCCTTGTCACGAATGGCGCTATCCAGGCCAACTTCCTGGCTCTATATACCAATGTTGCTCCGGGTGACCATGTCATCTGCCACTATCCCACCTACCAACAGCTCTACTCCGTCTCCGAGTCCTTCGGCTCGGATGTCAGCCTTTGGAGAGCAGACGAGCAGAATGGATGGCAGGTCAACTTGGAGGATCTGAGATCGCTGATCAGACCGAATACCAAGGTCATCATCATCAAGTGAGTACTCTAGCAGTCACCAAGTTACTCCGACGTGCAGTGAAGGTGGGCCTAACAAAGTCATAGCAACCCTCAGAATCCAACCGGGGCTGTCCTGACCCGTGAAGTGCTGCAGGAGATTGTAGATATTGCGCGCCAGCATGGCATCATCATTCATAGTGATGAGGTATACCGGCCGCTTTTCCACTCCCTGCAGGACGGGCAGGAAGAGCCGCCTTCCGTACTTTCCTTCAATTATGAGAAGACCGTTGCCACGAGCTCAATGAGCAAGGCTTTCAGTTTGGCCGGGATTAGAGTGGGTTGGATTGCATCCAGAAGCCGGGAAATCATAGAGCAGTGTGCGACAGCTCGCGACTACACTTTGATTTCGGTTAGTCAGATCGATGACCGGATTGCTACATGCGCATTGTCGCAGCCAACTGTGAGTAATATTCTCAAGCGTAACCTCGACCTGGCAAGAGGCAATCTTGATCTGCTCGATGGCTTCGTGAAGGAATTCGCCTGGGCTACGCGATGGGCCCGACCACATGCGGGCACCACAGCTTTCATCAAGTTTGTGAATAAGGACAACCTTGCAATCAATGATGTGGAATTCTGCAAGCGTTTGCAAAAGAAGTATGGAGTGATGTTCGTGCCAGGCAGCAGGTGTTTCGGAGAAGGCACGAACTTCAAGGGCTATGTCCGCATCGGGTATGTGTGTGAGCGCCAGGTCTTGATTGACGGTCTGGAAGCGTTGCGGAAATTCATGACCGGCGCTTATCACTCTCTGCCACTGGCCGTTTGAGGAGCATTAAAGTAGATAGACGCAACTGCCAACTGATAGAGCGCAACAAGAATGACAAATCTATGCACTTGCATCAAGTAGTGAAATCATCACAATGTCACAGGGAATGACATCTGTTGTCCATAGTTTACCAGTGAGATGGTGAGACGAAGGCAGTATAAAGTGTGTTCAAAAGAGAACTAGTTCCAGCCCAGACTTTGCAAAGTAGACGTCCCAGCGCGAGGATGCGCCCGACCCCCAATAACGAGCAAGAGCATCCCTTGCTCTAGTAAAGTTCCCCATGCCCATGGTCTGCATATTCAACATCCTTGTTTGGATAGCTTGGCGTTCTCGAAGATCATCGGTCTCACAACCGGCGCTAAAAATAGGCCACAGGATTAGGACATTTGCCGGAGAGAATGGTCTGATTGCCTGAACGTTGTCGAGAATGGCCGCAACCTGCGCCCTGACCTTGGTATGACTTTTTGGAAGCAGTTCGACTCGGCGATAGAGATGCAAAAGTGCGGAGTGGATGAAGGTGAGATGTGTGTTGTGCAGTTCAGATGCGAGAACTTGATCATGGGAGGCGAGCGTAGCGGCCGATGGAGCCTGGTTGGCAATGGAGAGTATTCTGCTCTCCAGATCCTGTGCGTCGTCTGTCAATTCCTCGGAAAGGGCAGAGGATGGCTCAGTAAAGGTTTCTAATATAGACTGCTCATGCACGTTCCGCCGCGCCAACTGACCGATTCGCGCCAGCAGAGGCATTAGCTGGGTTGAGTAGCCACAGATCTCATCAACGTGGCCATTGCCGCAATTGGGATTCCGAGTCAGGTTCCAGTACTGCCCATCGTTGACACATCCTTCATGCGTACCTGAGAGGCCCGCCAGGATGTCGAGAGTAGCGAACCACTTGAGAAGACACAACGAAAACGGGTCAGTATCAACGTCAGCTGTCCTCTGCCTCGCAAGCAAGGCCGTGAGTAATTGCATTACCCCAGACAAATGGACCTTCCAAGTTCGAGCGTTGCCATTACACACATCATTGGTACATAATACCATCGCTGTCATGGCGGTTTCGGGCTTGAGAGTCTCGGCAGGATTAGCCAGTGCAGCACGGAGACCCGTAACTGCGAGGTCGGTAAATCTTAAGATTGTCAGTTGATTAGCTGAAGGTTCCTGGACAAGTCGAGCGTGGTGACTGCACGAAGCTGCGAGAAGTGCGTGTAGAAGATGCGGCGTTTCCACCGCAGTGGCCACCAATGTCTGACCAAAAACAGGCGGGGCAAGAGGGAAAAGAACTCGAATTGTCTGAGTGGCAAAGTGATGCATGAAAAAGTGAGAGTCGGTAGGTGTCAGACACTCCAATGGATTGAGCGATGCTTGGAGTTGTATGACGCTCCTTTCGGCTGGTGATGGGTGTCTCGACTTGCCACGCACTGGAGATGGTTTTCTACAGTGACTCCGAACAGCGACAAAGCTGGAGTCATACCTGCACTCTTTAGGGAATCGGATGCATCTAGAGCACACTGGCCTCCGGAGGTCACACTATTGTAGATGAGCGAGAGCAGCCATTTGAAAGGAGTCACATGGACATACTTTCACTTTTTTGCGTCGGCATTCGGAGCAGCCATCGCGTCTGCGAGGCAAACGGAGGCTCTGAGAGGTGTCACCGGGACTTCTGCCAGCCATTAAAGGGCAAGATGATGGATTATGGATGGTTGACGGCTGAACGATAATTCTGGCAGTTGATGCTGGGAGAAATTAAGACGGCGCCCGCGAGAGCAGAGCACGTGCCAAGGAGACATGCATTGATGCCTCAGGCAATAACAAGCAATTCTCTCCTTGACACTTGCGCACTCTTTGATAGCATTGTTTTACGTATACTCGCCGACTGTTCTCTGAATAGCCAGAATTACTGACCGACCTTCATTATCAAGTCGGATCTCGGGTACACAGAGTAAAACCAGAGCGCGATTTGATATCAGATCGATTCACTTTGCATCTCAATCATCCTATGGTGGAAGCATGCATGAAATTTCATAGTCCATACTTGGCCTTAGGATCATCATTCGGCCATCACGTTCACTCTTGTCACCGGCCCTTTATATACCTTTTTTGCATGCAACTGGTAATACACCAGAGAGAGCAGAATGACACCTCCGAAAATCACCACGCTCCAGTTCATTGTGGTTGGATTGACCTGCTCGGTTAGAGGGAAGAAGCTAAAGACCCAGATGATACTCAGGACCAGAATCGAGACGGTATCGACAAAGGGGGTAAATCTCCCCATACTCCAGCGGGCGGGAGGTAGAGGCTGGTTGCGCCAGCGACGTAGGCGAACGCAGGTGATGGAGATGATGTACGAGGAAAGGAGAGCCGCCGTGCCTAGAGACATGATGGCATTGAAAGCCACGGACGATCCGATATTGATCAGAGATAGCAAGGAAACAATGACCAAGCTCATGCATAGCGCATTCAAGGGAACGGTGAAAGTCGGGTTGACCTGCGAGTTGTCGTCAACACCATTCCAACATCCGCTGGGAATAAGCCCACCTTTGACAGAAAGTTGGAGAATGGAAGCCCCTTGTCGCGCGCAAACGCATAGACCTGGCGAGATGTGGTGGCGACATTGCTGATGGCAGCGCAGAACTGCATGACCATGATGACCACCGTCATCCCAGTGGCAGCTCTGACGGATCCTGTCGAGTTGAGGAAGACTTGAATGAATGCAAAGCCCGTCTGGGATTCCAGTACATGATCAATATCCCCAACGCAGAAGGCGAGTGTAACGATCATGACGAAGCCTGTAGATCCGTTGAGAATAAGGGTCCATATCATGCCAAGGGGGAGAACTCTCGATGCGTCGCGGATCTCTTCGGCTATTCATCACATCAGTTATCAATATCCTGTCGGGGCTCGGAATAGACCTACACATGTGGACGGCTGAGTCAGGGCCTTTAAGTTGCACTCACTGTCAGCAGATCACACCTCGCGTATCTTGGAGTGTCAGGACGTACCGATCAAGGCATAAATGGGTCCGACCAACCCAACCAGACAAGCAAGGCCGTTATTTCCCCAGCCGCCTCGATCTTCAACGGATCCAAAAACTTCCGATGCGGCGGGTCTCGGCGAAAGCACCCAAAGCGGTATCAAAATACCAAAGAATCCAAAGCAATGGATAACCAGGATGATCCCCTCTATCAAGGGCAGTTTCTGCGCCAGCAGGGTGTTGAACAGCAACGCAACCAGTGCCACTGCAATGACCAACAGAGTGACATGCCATCGCTCGTAGGTATAGGTATCGGGGTAATTGATGGCAACCACTCCGACGATCATGTTGGCGACTGTATAGCAACATCCGGCAATTCCTGTGTGCCATCCAAGCACGCAGACCCAGCCGGTTATGTAGCTCAGTATGCACTGGCAACTGGGAGGTGCAAATTCGGATACCCAGTGATATTGGCCACCCGATGTCGGAGCCCTATCAGTTTATTAGCCGTGCGCCTGTGTAAGGCGAACCGTTGTAGGGTAATACATGGATGCCATTTCAGCCATGGAGAGAATGACAAAGCTGAACCCGGCGAGAGCTCCTAAATAGGTGTATATCATGCCTCCCTTGCCGCCATTGATCAAGCCATAGGATGCACCACTATTTCGATCAGTATTCCTCCCATCTCACGGTTTTAGAGCTGACCGGAGAGAAACAGACAAGAGAACTGCTTCCCAGGTACACATCAACACCGCCGTAAACCCCAGAACTGACAGAAATCGGAAATTGCGCTACTCGTATTTTAGCCAACATTCAGTTTTTTTAGATGTTGTCCCATACATTCAATTCCTGCTGCCTTCCCACTCGCCGCATATCTTTACGATCTTGCGCTGTTCCCATCTTTGCAGACACCCCATCTTCATGGGCAGTGGTATAGACCGCTGGCTTGTTTTCCACCCACATCCTGATCGATAGGCAGCCAATTTCGACTGAAGTCGACCAACAAACTAAATAACCGCGAATGGTAGTTGTGGATGTTAAAAACAGAGAATAGAAAATAGAGGAATGTTCAGGGGCGCCAGATGGCGGTACAGAATTAAATTGAACCACCATAGTGCAGAACTTGTCATCACCACGCTTAATTGTGCTAAGCAAGGGTATAGTGCTCGTCGTAATATCAAGCCGCACAAATACGACTCCAAGTCGAATCCTGAGTCTACTCTCGTGCAGGGCCTTGCAGGGGTCGTGCTTGTGTTTTCACCCGTCCCAGACATTTTATTGCACACGCAATGACCATTCAATATAAAGCCAGCTAAGGGTTGGCTGAACCCCTGCCTAGTCTCCGGGACGGCGTTGTGATGGCCCCTCTTCTTGTCTGAACAGTGGCTATTTCGTTCTAGGTGCGTCCTTTACTGGGGATTTTTCGGTCCAAAAAAGGCCGATCACTCAAGTATTTATCCGGAAACTGCATATTACAACCCCTGTTAGGCTGTTTGAGGAAGACAGCTCGAGGTTGGGCCGCGATTCCCACGACTTTCCCAACCCTGCCCATCGTATCCAAATCCGAGGACACTCATTCTCGAGAAGGGATATCATCCTTGCAATGGCTCAAAATATCAAAACTCCATTTGTACTTCTTCTTCCGGCCTCAACCATGTCTCCTTATACTTATATCAACCTCTCGCGCGGTTTGCGTTTCTGTTCCATCATAGAAGACACCCAATATGACGGGTGACGCGCCCTTCGTGATAACAGCAACTGATAAATCCGGTTCAATTGCGGTTGCAGCAACACTGTTCATGTCATGGATGGTCATTGTCTGCTTGATCCGTCTCTATATGAGACTCACCATGAATGGGCCATTGGGAATGGATGACTGGGCTGCTTTCTCTGCCGGCGTAAGTCAAGCCTCGAAGTTTAAATTTGGGCAGACTGAAGTGTACTAGACGCACTGACGATCTTGCGACCAAGGCTATTGGGATAGCCCATGTGGTGATGATTATGAACGGTCTGTCCCATGGACTAGGCAGATCGCATCAAGCCAGTCCCGACTCCGAACTTGAAAAGGCTGGGGAGGTGTGTTTGCCTACGTTGTAGATTTGCAGAATATTGCGAATCGCTCATAACTTACCTCTGTAGGCATTCTATACGGCAAATCTTCTGTTGTTCGCCGGTCATGGTTTAGCGAAGATATCAGTTTGCAGTCTTTTACGACGACTGGTCGAGAAAAGGTGTATCTGCTTGCTTGCAAAACCAGCCTTCTTATCACGAGTCTCTGGTGCTTCGCTTCGATTCTGGCAGTAGCCCTGAGCTGCCCCGCGAAATACCTGTGGTCCACGGAAATTCACTGCCGTGATCTTGTAAGCTCTTCTCAAATGTGGCCGGACATCATGGACAGAGCTGAGAATCATGACATAGAGTACTGCTTCGAAAGCAATTACGGCCTTTGACGTCCTAACCGAGGCTCTCCTCGTTCCTCTTAGCGTGTCCCTCGTATGGGCCCTTCAGCTGCGTCGAAAAGACAAAATGACTGTTGTCTTCGCTTTTGGTACTCGGATAGTGTATGTCAAGTCTCCCAATGCGCTGGACTAAAGAATTAACCAAATTTCCGTTATTGTCAGAGTGATCATTTTGACAATAGTCCGCCAATCCTACCTCAATACCGCGCTCCAAGAGCACGACCATCCCTTGTCTCTGGCCCCCGCACTGATTGCGACAGAGGCTCTATTGCACTTTAGCATTATGCTAGCAACGGTTCCGTGCCTGAAGCCATTTATTGTTGCCTTTAACACGGGCTGGGGGCAGGGTGTCGCAGGGGCTCCTGGAACTTCGTACTACAAAAAGACCGAAACAAGTGCATCGCAAGCACATCTAAACACCCCAAACGAGGAGAATGACTTGGACGTGGCTATGACCACACAGTCTCTAGAGAGTTATAACTCACAACAACTGATCATCCATCAAACGCAAGAGTGGAGTTTAAGGGAAGAGTTGGAGATGCGACCGATAGGAGGCTGATCTGTATCCCTCAGATAGAAAACAAGACAGATCGATTCGTCTATATCTTCGCTTATAAATTGATATTTTCGTGAGAATCCTCCCTTCGCAGGACACGCCAACCTTAATTCTTCAATTGTGACTCTCTAACCATCGGAAGAGCCCCTTGTAGATCGACCTCGACATCCGTTCGCTCACGGAAGCCGAACTTTCGATAGAGAGGAGCAGCAGCTTGGTGCGCATCCACATAAGCAGGAACCCCTTCTTCGTCAGCCCGATCACAGCCCCATTGGATCAGCATAGATCCAGCGCCCTGTCGTCGGTAGTCTGGGTGAGTCGCCAGCATGTCAAGATCTAATCTAAGAGGTCAAAATTTGTCAACAGAGTCGGAGTCGATCACCTACAATAGAACTGCTTTTCTCCGAAGAACTTGTTTCGCTCTTTTTCGAGCATCCCGAACAGCTCGTTGCAAGCCTGATGATCGGATTCCTCATGCCAGGGGGGAAATCGCGGTCCACTTTGCTGCGGATTCAGATCCCATTTGGCATATGCGACTATAACACCAGGTGAAGCGACATCTACCACCTTGAGATACCTTCTGTGTGGGTTATGCAGTATATCCTGCCGATGTGCTTCATTCCACCACTGCCGGACACCTGGGGTATCTGGAAACATCTTCAGATTCTGCGGGATTTTGAAGGCATTATACCAGATCTCAGTTATTGCGGAAATGTCCCCCGGCTCAACGAGCTTGATATCCAAGGTGGATATCGGGGGATGCATGGTGTCTTTGGTCACCCTGATTTCTCTAGTGTCCCCAATGAAAGTGTGACAATTCAGCGGGAGGCTAGTCATTTATCAATCAGTTTTCGCACACCTGGGTTAAATGTCCGCTAATGACAAGGGTCTGAGACGCTAAACCTAACTAATATTTCTCTTCACTCCCTGTCTAGCTCTGGTGTTTCTTGGCTCAAAAAATATGAGTGCGATAACAAGTTATGCCGTGCCAATCCTGATACTTCTTTCTCCCAGTCGAAAAGGTATACGCGATCCGAAGATATACAGATTGTCTACGTGGAATAACCCTCAAAGCGGGTATTCTAACGTCAGATGGGCCGAGCTATCATCATCAATCGTTATCAACGATAGTAACTGATTAAACATACGCCACAGGAAAGGCAACTCGATTTTCGAGATCTTCTGAAACTTCTACCAGGATGGACAAAATCTGCAATCCCCAGTGCAAAGGGTCATTGGAACGTCTGGTGACTGACTCGGAACGCAGCCAGGGAACTCTAGGAACTGTCAGCAGCCTATGCAGATAGCTATGGCTGGAATGGACGGTCCAGATGGCGTCCATCATTTGAGTTACCCATCCATGTTTATGCACTGCATGGGAATGGGTTTCGTGTGCACCATCCAGAATGGATAAAGGGCAATCTGCCTGACTGTATGAACAGTTCAGGGAGTTGGCTGTGCAGCGCCCATTTTCATGGGACTTTGGTTCCCAAGCAGAGCCGTCCACTCGATCAGGACTGTTTCGCAAGAAATATAGAATGATTATTAGCCACGTTCGCACTAACACTCCATAGTCACAAAGATTCCGTCTACGGACTAAGTATTCCAACCAAGACCATCTGCTCATGAACACAATTAACACTGTCAATCTGGCTACTGCTGGTGTCGTCACAACCACTGAGTTTGCCATTGGGCTGGAGATACTGAGAGATCGATGGGATCCACTGACTCGGCGGTGCGGGTTCCACAGATGCTGGTGAATATCGGTATTGTCTGTCGAACGATGCGTATGGGCTCTGCAGAAAGAATGGCTATCACCCAAGTCTGGAAACACCCCACAATGTAGAGATACTCCAGTCCAGCAATCGTCAAATGCCTCGATGTGTGCTGAACGTCATCCGGACTGATCCCCAAGGACATTGATCTTTTGAATTCTGTTCCTATGTAAGCATCACTGCCGAACACACCCCGATTGACCCGGCCAGATGATTCCCATTGTTCCTTGATTGGCGCGCCACTTGGGCCTTCCACCTGTAAACTGTCCGAATCCGATTACCCTGTTGGGAGGACTGACCCCCCTGTGGAGGCGCTGGGAACAACTGCTCCAAAGCATGTATGAGGTCCATGAATAGTACCATGGGTGAAACAGTGAAGCAAGGATGGACTCCGCGCAGGCAATTATAGAGGTGTTTCGACAATGCGGCAAGGCAAGGGTCGCCATGGTCTGATCTCAGCGTATCAACACGCCATTGTCTCTGGACGGAGCCAGGACCGATCCTACCCGGACTGTCGAGAAGATCCTCATTTAGTGGTGACTGGACGGTCCCACCAGTTTCGGCTGTTGCCGACGGAGAGGCCGCCATCAAGGTATGAGAAATGTAACTATTCTTGTCATTGTTATAAAATGTCGGTAAGAAGAATAGTAATCATTAGCAAATAATTGATAATCCGGTAGGGCATATACGGTGGAATTTGGACGGTTGAATTATCGGTCAGCTGGTCAGCAAGGGGCGCCTTGGGAATACCGCCACATTGATGGCTCTGTCATCTTCGACGGAAGAACAGATCGGTATGTTCTTCGCCGCTTCGGTTCCAACCCTTTGTTGTAGGATCAAAAGAGTCAAAAGTTTGGCAGCAAGCCGGGGATATACGGAGACCACTCGAAGAGAAACGTGTCTTACTACAGCCTACTCTATATAGACTAGGTTCGTGTCGTCGTTGTTATTTATGACAAAGAATGGACCTGGCTGCCCTGGTCACCTGAATAATAACAAGCTGCAGATCTGCGCAATGATGTCAACCTGGAACATGTCAGCCAATCAGATCGTGCTTTGCTATAACCGAGGCTATATATAGGAGTGTCAGTGAGAATCATTTCCTGTCTAGGTGTAGACAAGTTGCGGGGGATGTGGATAACTGCGGATCTCATTGGAGGATTAAAGCATTTAGCCATGACGTACAGAGTAACACTTGACCAATCAGCTGCTATTCTTGTACTTCGCCCAGGAAGACTGAAGAACGTACTTGGAAGCAAGAGAAACCCATGGGGAGAGAACCACCCTTGAATCATCATATCCAACCTCAAAAGCTCCAAGTTAAGACTATCAAGCAGCAGAGGCAAATCATGTATGTCTCCCTGCGGGTCCCCTAGTACTACTGTGTGGTTTAAGATCCCAATCCACAGTACGACTGAGAGTACTCCGTGGATAGTGGATGGAGTACTTCAGACCAGCAGAGGCTTGTCTCACTTAGGTTACATCGACTAAAGGGCATCAATATTCCCGGTGCACTCGTACTGATACTCTGTCATAGTATAAAGACAGCATCTCCCCATCCAAACCTCTCGATTCTCATCCTCATCATAACATCATCTTTTCTTTCTACATCCTTGAAACTCCAGATTCCAATCCTCACCCACACCACTACATCCATCATGAAGCTCTCTACCGTCGCCTCTGTTAGCTCTCTCCTCGTTGGAGCCCACAGCCTGCCCACTGCCCCGGCCAGTGACAATGGTCCCTTCCAGGTCATGGCCCTCCGGTCCGCCTCTCCCATCCACTTCCTCGGCATGACCGCTTCTCAGAACAGCTTTTGGTTGGGCGGCGAGACCACAACCTACTGCCCCGACGTCGTTAAGCAGCAGGGTGCCTGCCCCGACGGCACTCAGACTGTTCTGTATACCAACGCTTTGGTGAGTCTTCACCTTTCTACCATGGTATTGCTACGAATCTTGCTAACCTTTCATAGGATGTCTCGGTCCCCGGTGGCCAGCAAATCTACGTTGACCCCTCTGGTGCGGTCAAGTTCACCATCGCTCACTCTGCCAACATGCCCCCTGGCTCCACCGTCGAGGGATTCTCCTACGCTTCCGGTGACCCCTTCGGCCACTGGAACTTCAACGGCCAGGGCGCCACCGGCTTCATGGCTTGCCCTACTCAGGGCGATGCTCCTGCTCCCTACCAGGTCTTTGCCGCCATCAGCTCCGCGACCGTTCCCACTGGCAATGTCGCTGACTGCCTCGGATTCGATGCGGCCGCTATTGCCTGGACTCCTTCTGAGGGTCAGACTGCTGCCGCTTGGCAATATATCTAAGACTAAGACGGCATCTGTATGCTTTGTTGATAATATAATGGTATGAGTTATTGTCGCACAGACGGGTCCGACTGTAGAGAAGGGAGGGTGTTTTGTATATACTTGCATCATGGATATATATCTTGCTTCATAGCCTTCATTGCGCGATTCGAATAATACAACAATACGAATCTCTCGACTACATTTCTAGCTCTTTAACTGATGTTTATTTTCAGAATTCTACTCAACTAATATCCCCAGGAAATGAATTACCCATGGATACACAGGTACTGCGTATATTGACATGGATCCAGAGATATCATCACGTGGCACTGGAGACGCGTGACGTCAGCGGAGAGGAACCATCATCAACAATCAATTCAACAACTCCCAGATATCATCTTGTTCATCATTTCTCAAGATTACAGCTCGATAATGGCAAGCTCGAATCGGCAATGATTCACAATGTACCCAAATGCGGCGTCTCCACTGTCGCCTTCACAGTCTCCCACCACCTCCGAAACCTGGACCCCGGCTCGGAGACCCAGCCTCGAACCTGAACGGGAGATCCTATCAACACGGGGCCATAATCTCCCGGGACTAATTCGGCAGCGATCGCTTTCAGTTCCACCTGCTACTGCTCGGGATGAGTACATTGTAGAGCATGGTGATGGCGCGCCCTTCCGGAATAGACGTGAAAGTCTGCCAGTCTCTCTCAGAGGAATGGCCTTGATCGGAGCAAGCAACCCGATGTACCAATGGTACGAGGCCTCTCATCTCGAAAACAGTGCCATAACTTTAACTGGCAGGACAGGCATCGCTATTACAAATCCCCCGAGGAGCTGAAAAGCATGAAGAAACACATGTACGTCAACGTTCGTACAGCCTCAACATCGTCCGGCCCAAACTGACACTCGCAGGCGGAAATACTACGAACGCACCAATGAGCTCGTGTCACAGTATCTATACATCGATCAATTGCTGGACTCATCGCTACCACACCAATTGATAGATGAATACAATCAGGATCACGATAAAGTCGCCCAGGTGTCGACCAGAGGCCGGGAGCAGAATGGTGAGGGACCACCTGCAGATACCTCAACCCGGAAGATCAAAAGAACTCCACGCAATTTATACCGTGTTCCCAGCGAACGGTCACCGCTGCTACCGCCAACCGTCGAAGAGGACGCCCCGTTTCCCGAAGTCCCTTCCCCTGATGCCGACGATCACGTCCAGAGCGGCGATCGCATCGTCACCGTCGCCATCTATATCAACCTGTTCGCCAATGTGTTCTTGCTTGGTGCCAAAATTGCCGTCATGAGTTTGACGAGTTCCATGTCCGTGTTGGCCAGTCTGGTGGATGGCGCACTGGACTTTCTGAGCACGGTTATCGTGTGGACGACAACCAAGCTTGTTCAGCGACAGGACCGGTACCGATACCCCATCAGTCGGCGGCGACTGGAACCTCTCAGTATCTTGGTTTTCGCGGTGGTGATGGCCACCTCGTTTGTGCAGGTGGCTATCACCTCGTTGGGGCGGTTGCTAGGTCCAGACCACCGACTGGTGGAGCTCTCGCTACCAGCGATTTTGATCATGGCCAGCACCGTTGTGGTAAAACTTCTGTGTTGGTTTTGGTGCCGACTGATCAAGAATACTGGTGTGCAAGCCCTAGCGCAGGACGCCATGACGGACGTGGTGTTCAACTTTTTCAGTATTCTCTTTCCACTGGGTGAGTCGCATGTCTCTATTTGCTGGCGACGCAAGCTAACTGATAATAGTCGGTTTCTTTGCCAATTGGTGGTTTCTGGACCCTCTTGGTGGTCTCCTGCTCTCGGTCTACATCATCTGGAACTGGAGCGGCACCGCAGCCGAGCATATCCGCCATCTCACCGGCGCCGCTGCCTCTCCCACTGATCACAGCGTGCTGCTGTACATGACGATGCGGTTCTCCAAAATCATCACCAAAATCCAAGATTTGAAGGCCTACTACGCGGGGGATCACCTCAATGTCGAAGTGGACATTGTTGTCGATGAGAGGACTAGCTTGCGCGATGCTCATGACGTCGGCGAGAGTCTGCAGTACATGCTGGAAAGCGTGCCTACTGTCGACCGCGCATTTGTGCATCTGGACTATGATCCGTGGAATATCCCGAGCCACATGAATCAACTGGAAGCATAGTCTGTATATTCGCACGATTGCACATATCTTCGACAGTATTGACGAATATATGACCGGCACCCTTTTGTACATACATTATCTGACGCATAGCTGGTATGTGAGCTGCGTTGATGTGATACGGTATAGACACCAGACAGCCAATTACATATTGAGCGCATTAGATAGAGAAGCGACATATGAGTCTAATCGCTTTCAAGTATGAAGGGTTTACATCAATCTAAGCAGGCGATGAGCTTTACAGGCAGTAGATACTGTTCGCGTGGGGTCCTAGTGTACGTCTCTAGCATTCCGGGCATTGTCAGTCCGCATGCCAGTGTAGAAATGCGTGACTGAGGAATGTGGCGAATATATCCGACCTTGCACTCACGATGGACAGGACTTCTATCTTCTGTTTCTGTCAACCACGTGTCCAATGACAGGCGCTGACAGCCTGACAGGGTACTGATCCTCTCCACTCAAGAACCAGCTTATGCAGACTATGCTCCATGTTAGGCACGCAGCGAGCACCAAGATCAGATCGGATATGCCAAGGACTTCGCGAGTCTAATGGAATGCGGCTAGTGCTACTGTTTACTGTTCGCTACAAGCCAAGTGATGCTGTCTCTGCTTTTCGTGGTTCCAAGATACTTCGCCGCCTACTGCAGTTCTATGGCTTCTTTTCCGTCCTGCTTGAAGAAGGATAACCATACTGAGCACCTCAACTATAGACGATGGACTTTGAATGATTTATCGAATGCACGACTCCATCGCTGTTTACCTCTCGCAGAGGTCCGAGCGTCCAACATTCGCCACAACACCTCGCATTCTTCTCTGTCTCACGAGTTGTTTATGCATTCCACACAGACGAGAAAGCTCGTGATTCGACTATTCGAATCCAGCAATGATGGTGAAAGCCCTGTAGGTGGGCTGCCCCGCGCGAGTACATAATTGCGGGACTTGTTTCCTCTAAAGCGGACGCCACCTAGTGGCAGCAGTCCAAGTTCCTTGGTAATTTCGCGCTCTATACTTGCAGCCACAGACCTCATCCTGTTCACTATATATAATGGTGCTCGGAACACCGTTTCAGACACCTGCCAAAAGAAAAGAGCAATGTGCGAACAAGAAGCCGTCGCTAGGAATACGCGTTCCGGTAATCTGCCTGATTCTCTCCATCCCATGCTTTCTCCATGCTTCCCCTGCGGCCGGGTATCTCCCCCCGTCCTAACTTTGCCAATAGGGGCAGAGGGCAGATGTGCGACGACCCACGGATTCACAAAAGCGACCGTCTCGTGAACAATTGACTCGACAAGTGAAAAAGATCAAGTCAAGCCCACGGCAAATTCAAACACCTCGGCGGCAACCAGCAGTCCCAAAGGTTGATGAACGGCAGCTACCGGGGGAACAGGCCCCTCGCGACCACCAGGCCTGTTATCCAGCCCATAGAGAACGGCCTGGGGTACCTCTCCGAGACGATACATCGCCCTGTGCTCGTGCTGCCGGGAAGAAGGACATTTTCCGACGCCGCGGACTGGTGTCGAAGGCGAGGAGCAAATTCAGTCAAGCACAGCTGGGAATGAAAGGGACCGGGCTTCCTCAAGAGCTGTCAGGAAAAGAGAATGGAGGCAGCGAGTCTGTGGGATGAATTGTCAATTTGATGGAGTTGCTGCATTGAGAATTAATTTATATAACACTGAGAATAATTTTTTTTTTCAAAGTAATTGTACTGGCCATTGACATCGCCTAACAGAGGCAGCCGGTGTAACAGGCAAATGGATAGCTGATTATGCCAAGGACGTGACTCCCTTCATGGTCGTCCTGAAGGATGCTAAGGTCAATACAGCAAGCTGTCTAGAGAATTAAATAATGGGAGGATTGTGTGCTTGAAGGCCCTGTTGATATACCCATCCCAGGATCCCCCCATGTATGTCCCTCAGAAGCTTGTCTATCTCAACGGGTTGTCCAGTTGATCAATTCAAACGGGGACAAGCTCCGTCGTCACTGGAAGGGAAAGATGAGAGTTTAAATAGCTTGATTCCTATTTATTCTCCCCTGGAAACATGCCATGGCCAAGATCTAGGTCAAACGCACTTCCAAGCATTCTCATCAGTGTACTTGCCAGGCCCCACGTATCGATTCCGCTTGGGATACTTGCAGTGCTTGCGGCGGTACTCTATCTTACCGTCGCTGGACTTCTTGGCGCCACGCACATACTCAGGCGCAATGCCCTTTTCCACCCACTGCACCATGGCCATCAACACGTTATCTTGCGGGTCATCGCCGACATACGTAGAAGATCCCTGGCCGATGGAACCAGCACCTGTCCCCGGCGCACAATGGCCCATTCCACTAATCGGGAAGAAGCGATAGAACTGGTCCAGCTCCGACGGACCCAGGCCCATGGTATCAGCAACATGCTTATAGTACGCCTTAGAGCTATCGGAGGTGATGATCGGATCTTCCAGGCCGTGATAGTGCAGGACCTTGCCGCCTGCCTTTTGAAAACCGGAGATATCTCCGTTGAAGGTGGAGATCTGGAAGGGATCTTGCGCATTAGCTGCCGCTGCGTCGGCGAGTGTCCAGGTAGAGTGGTCCCAGTTGCTGTTGTTGTAGACGACGTATTTGTACCAGTCGTCTGAATACTTGAACCCGTTTCCGCTGTAGTAGATGGAAGACGCGGCGAGCTCGGAGCCAGGCTGCATGCGCGGGTATAGCCATTTACCGTCCAAGCCATACATCGCGGAGAACACCTCGTTGACGGTATTGGCCTGCACACCCGTCAGGCAAGAGGTCTTGTTCACGGCCGTGGAATTGCAAATGAGGGTTTCGACGATGGGCTGGCAGAGATCTGTATCCTCGATGATACCATCGACCGCGCCATCGAGAGCATCGCACTGTTGGATAATCTCATTGTGGATCATGGACCACTGCGCGCTGGTCACGAATGTATCTGAACCTGGCGGTCCGGTAATTTTCAGGAATCGAGATCCCCAGCTGCATAGATTGAGAAAGTTGAAGGCCGGTGCTCCAGCCACCACGCCGTCAAAGTCCTCTGGGAACCTCTGGACAGACTTCCATCCTTGCCGGCCGCCTGTCGAGCAGCCCAGGTAGTAGGAAGTCTTGTATCCTTGGGGATAGAATAGCGTAGTCAGTTCTTTACCCACCACTGTCCCGGTGTGCAGGGCTCGGTAGGCAAAGTCCTCGATGACTTCAGGGTTGTTTAGAAAGTATTGGCCAGTGTCGCCAAAGTGGCCATTATTGGTTCCGATGGTTGCGAACCCGTATTGACTGGCATAGATCATGTCGCGGTAACTCACGCCTGTTGTGTGGTCAGTAAACGTGACCAGATAAAAGACAAGTGTCACGAACAGCCATTCAACCCTCCATTGCCTGTACTCAGGAACCTTCCAGTGTAATTGTTGGGTAGCCATGCCTCCATGAAGAACTGGCTCTTGTCCGAAGTGGTCACGTTCAGTGCAACCTGGCAGAATTCGATCGTGCTGATGGATGAGCTAGGGGTTCGGCCGCAGATAGGTGGGTTATAGGCCATGGAGATGTTGGATCCGATGGGAACATAAGTGGTAGAGTGGACGCGCACATTGTCAAGGTGGATTTTCTTGTGAAATTGTTGACAACGAGACTCAAAGCTGGCAGAGCTGCCTGCTGCAGCGGCCGAGGCCAGCCCGATCAGAGGAAACAACCACATCATGACTGCAGCAAAGGCAGCAGAGAGAGTAATATTATTCAGGGGCAGTAAATTCCTGATCAACGAGATCGCTTGTGTGCATATTTATAGTTCCTTTTCTGTCCCTGACCCCTGCCCCACTTCCCCGCATTTACTGGTCCATGGATGCATCATCTCCGCATTCTCAATGGTGGGAAATCCGGAGACTAGAAGGACATACTTCTCCATCGGCAGATCTTCATCATCTCCTGCCGCCGTGCCTAGGCTTTCGGTCTCGGGGGAGGACTCGTTGCCGTGCCATGCAGCCGATTCGACAGTCGGCGTGTCCTCCGACGCCCTAATTAGGCGGACCTTTATCCGTAAACGGGGATTGATTCGGACTTTCATCGTCATCCCAGTTCTTTTTTGCCTAATTGCAAACTAGAGGAATTGTGGTCCTGGCGCGGCACTCAGTTAATGGCTAGTTTATTCCGGACGTCCACTATATTGACTCTGTTTATATTCCAGCTATGTAGTGCCTCAGTAGAATATGGTAGGAATAGAGCTGACTGCGACTCAATTAGTCAAGAGAATAAACCTTATGCCCTCTTGTCCTTTTGCGTCTTGTGCACCCAGACATAAACAAGTGGATAGATCGTCTCGGGAATGAGAGTGACGATAATAATCCCAATGCTCCAGGGCGTCCAGACATACGCCCAGTTCTGAGGGACATTAAAGTATCGCCAGAGGAAGACGCCATAGGCTGTAAAGCAGCCCAAGTACCTCGTGAGCCTAATCATTAGCAAATCATCTTTCGACCTTATACAGTGAACATACCATATTTCAAGAGAATGGCCCTTTGTGCTATGATCCTTCCACAAATGATACAGACATATCCAGCCAATAGGAAGCTGCAGGATGATTCCAGTCCAATACGCGGTGACCTGCTCCCGCTCATCCGGATATCTCCTAGTCAACATCCAGAGGAATGCAATTGCTGCCAGACAACCCAGGATCATATTCCGACAGAGGACTCGTCGCTGAGCCGGGGTATGAGCCTTCCGAAGCGCAACAATCACAAAACTCAGATCGAGCTCAAACCAAGCCAGAAACGCCAGCTTCTCAAAACGAGTAGATGTTGTCGTAAAGGCGTAGAAGATCTCATACGCCATTGTCAAGCAACTGTCACCTGTCAATCATTGTATGTCAATGCATGGGAGTCGACGTACAGGAGCTGGATACCTCCCCAGCGCGCACCTGGGTAGGTCTTATCGGAATAGGTTCGTATCATGCAGAATATGTAGCAGAGTGCATAGAGCACACCGCAGCTGATGATGAGGCCATCTTGGACGAAGAGGTAACTCTCGGGTGGGTTCTGTCGTTGGTCGGCGGGTTGAACGATGAGATGCCGAACCTTTTGTGCCAGTTCGAAATTAGACATGATAGTTTTGGTTGATTCTGAAAATATAAACAGAGAATGAGTGCTTTATAAACCCAGGGGGAATTTGACTTTCTTTGTTCGATGATCGGATGTCCGGACAAAGGAGTCGGGATGACATCAGCCCTCTCGGCGGGTCTACGAGTCAGTATGCATCGGGTGATGAGGCGATGCCAATATCCTCACTATTACTAATCCGGCTATAACTAGCCATTCAGGTAATGCTAGGCTGATCTAATGAGACTATATACATGGGAATCTTTGTGGCAGTGTCTGCCTTCACCTATTGATTGTACCACTGCCAAACCAGTGCCGCCGTCCGGTTACTTTTGAAGATAAGTGGATCAAAGACAAAGAGTTTCGCTATGCCCATGCTCCAACGAGGCTCATGCAGAAAGCACCCATGAACACTAGTAGACATGCAAAAACACGTTTGCGGCCCCTGAGGACACGCCAGCTTTCGTCACTGAGGAAATCTTCCGACATCAATTCGACTAGCGAGGCGAAGATAAGAAGACCAGATGAAATTGCGTTCATAGTGCCCACCAGGAGCAGTCCTACTTCCGAATCTGGGCTGTAGAGGGTGTGTGTTGCGAGGCCTATTGCCTGGCCGATTGGTGTTCTGAAGAGAAATCAGTATTTCAAGCAAACCTGAAGGAAGACAAGATCAAGAACTTACGTGCATCCGTATGCCAAGGACATAAGCCATGGCTGGATGGCTTTCTCCGGCCAGTCGAGGGCAGCGATGCGAGAGCCCAATGCGAGACCCTCGAATGTTTCTATCTGATGTTAGCTGGATCTAGAACGAGAATTGAGAGGGGAGGACATACGATGGAATACGATGGCAATCAACAGGATCACAAACTCGCTGCCTACCGACACACTGAGTGACATGCCGATGAATACACTGTGAAAAAGAATCCCCATTTCCAACAGGAAAACCTGCACGACGGCTTTTTTGTGTTTTTGCTGTGGTGTGAGCTCGAGATCGTCGCTTCGTTCCACGTCCTCGATCGGCCGTACTTTGCTTTCTTGAAATGTTTGCATGCCATCAGGAGCAGAAGCGATCCGTATGATGCGATCGGATTCCTCACCCATGCGGTTGATAGTCCGACTCACGCTAGTTTGCCTGCCAATCAATGGGCCGAGGTCACGCAAGTGCGATTGACTTTCGACCCTGGTGCAGACAGGTCTTTTGACCTCACCTAAGTATTCTGAGTCTCTGGCGCCAGGGACACGGGAGTTGCAGACACCCCTTTCGGACCGAGATGTCTTCTGCTCAGAGACTTTGAGCCCACCGCGGCAGACATGTCGTGCGGGACTAAAGACCATTTCGACCACAGTCACTAGAAAAATGCCGGCGAGGGCAATGGCTCCGGGCATGGCGGGGTAGTCGGTGGTCCAAAAATCCGACAAGCAGGGATTATTGAGAGAAGTAAATGCAGTCGGGAGCAGATGAACAAATGCGGTGGCAATGAGGACGCCCGTTCCGAAATGACTGACCGTAAAGAGAGCGGATGGAGGGATGCGTAGACGAGGGAACCATGTTGCCAGTACGGGGAACGCACAGGCCAAGGTAGAAACGCTCAAGACAATAAAAAGCGCGCTGATATGCAGAGAGGTGTTGTATTCACCGTTCTTGACGCCTCCCGGGGCGCATGTGGATCGTTTGATGAGTTTTGCTTGGGTTTTGACTGCTATTCCTGGTCATTATTATCCGGACAGTCAGGAAAGGGAACACTGTTTACTTACCTGCTGTATCAGAGACCGAGATGGTAGAGCTGAAGTATCTTCCCAGGCTCTCATGGGAGATGAGCGCAGAGGTGAAGAGAACCGATAGCAGCCACCAGGCCCAGCTCTTGATCTTTTCAAGTGACGATCGATCAAGATGGCAGATACGATGGATTTGACTAGCAATATTGTCGCTTTGAAAGTAGTGGGGGCGTCCTTTTAGATGTCAACAAAGATGGAGGATCTAGTGAGTTCATTCGAACATACCTGACGGTGTCAGTGACACCCCAAGAGACCTTGACTCTTTCCCAATTGGAGTGTTCCGTCGTTCAGGCATAGTTTGGGTGTCGTCCCAGCTGGTCAACGAAGCGGCACCCAGTCCAGAGCCTGATCTGTGCACGCGGGCATTGGTGATGCCGTTGAAGTCTTGGCGAGTGGTCAAATCCGGCGCCAGAGAAGGGGATTCTGATTCCATTCGCAGTGTAGAAGAGAGTCGTCGGTTCGGGAGGGGCAGTTCATAATGATAACGGTCTAAGGCTTCTTCATGGTTCGAGTACCAATGGACAGCGGTAGAATTGAGTGAGAATCTAGAGAATCCTGCGAGGCAAAAGTGTGCAGAACAGCCATCTTAATACGTAATATAATCGGAAGGGATTGTCTCTTGGCTCCCTCACCACATGGCTTGGCATCGGGAGTCAAATTCGCCTTCAGATCAGAGGCAGAAAAGATCCCATATCTCTTCCTGCGTGCTGTAAACTCTCTCGGGCATGATTCAGCCAGGATCCCTTGCGCAATCTCATTCAGCTGGAGATGATAGATCTCAATCATGCCCGGCACAATGTGTTGTCGTACAGCCATTTGCTCTTATTTTCTTCTGCTTCTCTTCTAACCCGAGGTTCTTGGCGTCCCACTCCGGTTTCTCCCATACCGGCCGCTCACTTTCGCTGGATTTCCCCACAGTTCTCGTGGTGTGTGCGTGTGGTGCTGCCTAACATTTAAATATTGACTGTGGTGTGTCTGTGGGATGGGGCATGTTAGCCTGGAATGGAATCACTGCTTACTGCATCTTCTATTTAAACTGCTGTAGGTAAACAAATCGTTTAAATAGGTGTCGAATCAGCTGACGGTGGTTAGCAACGGAAAGGCTGGTTGGTGTTGCGCTATTCATTGAGTCATCTTCGGAATCCGATTCCAACAGTCCACCATTTCCATAGCCGATTGACATTTTGAATATCGAACTCGCACTTAAACCAAATCACTTATGCTAGGAAACAAGAAATGGCTGTTGTCAAACATCTGGAATGATTATGACATCTGGCATTTTCAGCCACCCCCCACTTGCCGGACTCCATCCATGCCGTTGCCAACGTAAATACCTGTCAAGCTCCACAAGATATTCGAAACAAGATGCAGTATCACGGACAGTGCCTCGTCGACGCAGCAGCGACCGGTAAGCTGCTTCACGCCAATGTTGGGCTGAGTTTCTGGGGCGGAGTCGACTTCCAAACCGGAGAGATCATTGACCGCCATCACCCTCTCCGCGGACAGTCGGTCAACGGTCGCATATTGGCCATTCCGTCCAGCAGAGGATCATGCACAGGTAGCATTGTGCTGATAGAGCTGCTGTTGAATAAATGCGCCCCGGCCGGGCTCATCTTTCAAGAGCCGGAGCAGATCATCACACTAGGGGTCATCGTGGCCAAGACACTCCTCGACCTCTCCATTCCAGTACTTGTCCTTAAACCAGAGGAATTCCAATCGCTAAGGGGACATAAATACGCTGCGATTGCAGGGTCAACACTTCAAACCGGAGAGCACCCTCTCCCATCACCACCCACCTACGAAGCGCCGTCGTCGCCCCCATCAAAGACCCTGGATCTGTCCGAAACCGACCAGGCAATCCTCCATGGTGCCCGTGGAGCAGCCGCCCAAAAAGCAATGGAGATCCTCCTGAGCTTCGCCCAGATCCAAGGCGCAACGAGGCTGATCGACATCTCCCGCGCCCATGTCGACGCCTGCATCTACACGGGCCCCGCCAGTCTGCGGATCCCACAAATCTTCCTGTCTCTCGGCGCTCGCGTCGCCATCCCGACCACACTGAACGCCATCTCGATTGACCGGCGCCGGTGGAGGGAAATCGGCATAAAGGAAGAAATGGCAATCCCCGCCGATCAGCTGGTGGAGACCTACCTGGCCATGGGCGCGGCGCCCGTCTTTACCTGTGCGCCGTACCTGCTCGAGTCTGCCCCCACGGCAGGGCAGGATATCGGCTGGTCCGAGTCCAATGCGGTGGTGTTTGCGAATAGCGTTCTTGGTGCGCGGACGCAAAAGTATCCGGATTTGATCGACGTGTGTATTGCGTTGACGGGGAGGGCTCCCTTGGCGGGCGGGCATGCGGATGAAGGACGGACGCCATCGGTGGTGATCGACGTCGCGGATTTGCCGAAGATCGATGATGGAGTATGGCCGCTGTTAGGATACCAGATCGGCCAGCTGGCTGGGGGCGATATACCGTTGATTGTCGGGTTGGAGCACACGCAGCCTCGTATTGCTGACCTCAAAGCCTTTGGGGCGGCTTTTGCGACAACGGCGTCGGCCTCGATGTTTCATCTACGAGGTGTGACTCCCGAAGCGACCAAGTTCGACGGGATACGGCAAACAGCGAAGCGGATGGTCGTGCATGAATCGGACCTCGTGCGGACGTGGGAAGACCTGAACACCGCTAGAGGCTCGTCAGTTGGGTTGGTGTCTCTAGGGAATCCTCACTTCTCACTAGAAGAATTTGAATCGCTCTCCCACCTGTGTACCGATCGCAAGAAGGATCCTTCGGTGCAGATGATGATAACAACCGGTCGAGAGACCTACGAGCTCGCGGCTAGCAAAGGCTATATTCAAATACTGGAAGCATTTGGTGCAACCATCATTACTGATACCTGCTGGTGCATGATCCGAGAGCCGGTAATACCCCCACAGACTGTGAATCTTATGACGAATTCCGCCAAGTATGCGCATTATGCTCCAGGAATGGTGCAGCGAGGAGTGCATTTTGGAAGCCTGGCGCAGTGTGTGGTGGCCAGCTGCACGGGCTATTTTGGTGGTGAGCCTTCATGGAAGCAAGACTGTACAGCATCACTGTGATATACATCAAGAAGATTGTGTCGTTATACCCCGCCTAGACCCTAAAGCTGGGTCTGCAGTTCCGTGCCTGGCTACAGTCTCGTTCCACGGATCACGAATCGGGCACCTGTTAAATGCAGTTACCATGCGAGGATGAGTTGTATACTTGATGACGGAAGAATTACCACCACACAGCCCTAACGGGCCAACCGCTCTACTACAAATCTTCGAAACGGGGAATCGATGTATTGCATATAAGCGAAGATAGCCATCAAGAAAGTCCACATCAAGGCAATATTTTATTCATTCGTTTACACTTCGCTTCTACCCTCGATATGCGTCACGGATCAGTCCTCGTAGCCATCACGGCTACCTTGTTTCCATCACAAGTCACGGCCAAGGACGTCCCCTCGGCTCTCAAAGCTTTCTACAACAAGGCCAGAAGCGGCGGCGACTGCACAGGTGCCGACGTTCTCCAAAGGGGCTTCCACAACACCGAATGGAGCGGCGGTCACACAACCTACTGCACCAAGTACCTCCCCACCGGCAAGGGCTTCTACCTCAAGGGTCCCGGGTCCGACCTCGCAAACATGGACATCGACTGCGACGGGGAGCAGAGCCGCGGCGACGGACGCTGCGGGTCGTCAACGGACATACAGGGCCAGACGCGGTGGGGTTTGAAACACCTCGAGAAGCACGGGGTCAGGGATCTCAACGCAAACATCCACCCGTATGTCGTCCTCGGGAATGAAGGCAGCTACAGCCCGACGTTTGACCCGCGCACGGCTGGCGTCGAGCCCCTGAGCATCGTGGCCGTCGTGTGCGGCGACGAGCTCGTCTATGGAGTCTGGGGCGACACCAACGGGGATGACAACGAGCATCCCATGGTTGGAGAAGCCAGTCTGGCGCTGGCGACCGCATGCTATGGCCCGAGGATCAGCGGTAACAGCGGCCATGATGAGGCCGATGTGCTGTACATTGCTTTTGCGGGCATGGAGGCTGTGCCTGCAAGGGCCAAGTGGGATGCGGACAGCTACGAGGCGTTCGAGCAGAGCATCACTGCGCAAGGGGATCAGTTGGTCGCGCAGTTGTATGGCGATAAGTCAACAGCGACCGGTGGCACTGATGCTCAACACACGCCTTCATCGAGCAACAGCAACAGCCACAGCGACCATGACGACGATAACTCAAAGCACAATCACAAGTCCGGCGGTGCACGACGGAGCACAATACCACGACTTTGCCACATCATTCTGGTTGCCTCTGTCGCCTTGTTCGGCCTCGCCTGATTCGTCGATTCGGGATCGATGAGATACTGCAAAAGGCATGCACGATTTACTTTGGTAGAATTGAATGAAATTGAACATACACGGAGATATTGGTAATTACTGGACGATCTTGCTGCAAAATTTTTTTTTCATATGACATGGCTCGGAATGATTTGTTTGCCCGCTATCCGTTTGCTCAGAGAGTCCATAGTTGGTTGATTGATGATGTCTTCATAACATTTCTCGATCTCCACCACATACATCACCGGCCTTTCCGGGCGTGCCGAAGCCTGCAAAATCGGCCAGCAATCTATGATATAATAGACTGCAGCAATAATTATAAAATAGACTCAGAATTCTACTAAGGTCCTCACGTACATATTCTACCTCAGAAATTACCCGTATATAAGTGTAAACAAACAAAATGGGCATCGATTTCACCGTGTACAAAGGTTCCTCCGACGGCTCCATCAAAAAAGCCACCACCCACCGCGATGACCTCCAAGGCGACTCAGTCCTCGTGCGCATCACCCACTCCGGCGTCTGCTTTACGGACGTGCACTACAGGAAGGCGGACATGGCGCTCGGCCACGAAGGCGCAGGGGTGGTCGAGGCCCTCGGCCCGGACGCCAAGCAGCTGAAGAAAGGCGACCGGGTCGGCTGGGGCTACGAGCACGACTGCTGCGGGAGTTGCAAGCACTGCCTGACGGGCTGGGAGACGTTCTGTCCCGAGCGCAAATTCTACGGAGAAGCCGATCACGATCAGGGCTCGTTTGCGACGCACGCCGTCTGGCGCGAGGCTTTCCTCTTCAAGATCCCCGATGCGATCAGCAACCAGGATGCGGCGCCGCTGATGTGCGGCGGTTCGACGGTGTGGAATGCCATGATGGTCGGCAACGTGAAGCCGGTGTCGCGCGTGGGGATCGTGGGGATCGGGGGCCTGGGCCATCTGGCGATCCAGTTTGCGGCCAAGATGGGCTGCGAGGTGGTGGTGTTCTCGGGCAGCGATAACAAGAAGGAGGAGGCGAAGAAGTTGGGCGCGTCGGAGTTCCATGCGACCAAGGGCGTCACGGAGCTCAAGGTCAGCAAGCCGCTGGACAACCTCATCATCACGACGAGCGCTCAGCCGGACTGGAAGCTGTACCTCCCTATTCTGGCGCCGGGCGCGGTCATCTCCCCTTTGACGGTGGACGAAAAGGAACTGCAAATCCCATACATGCCTCTGCTGGCCGGCGGGATCCGGATCCAGGGCGGTATTGTTGCAGCTCGCCAGCTGCATCGGGACATGCTCGAGTTCGCGGCACACCACGGCATCAAGCCGATCATCATGACGTACCCGATGAGCGTGGAGGGAATTCAGGATTGTCTCGAGACGCTGCAAGATGGCAAGATGAGATATCGTGGGGTTTTGGTTGCAGACAAGCAGTAATTAGCAATATCATTATGGCAGTGAATATAGTTATAGAAATTATTTATTGCATTCCATTTGAAGGAATTGTTTCTTAAGGAAAGATATTATACTATGCAGAAGCCCAGTCCGTGGATTTCCGAAGACGGTTGCATCTACATTATATAGCAGAATTTGCCTGAGAATTTCCAATAATGGCCGGTTGGTGTAGTTGGTTATCACGTATCGTTAACACCGATAAGGTCGCCGGATCGAGCCCGGCACTGGTCATTTCCCTTTTTGTCTCTCGACGTTTACTTTTTTTGCACCTATCGCAGTCTGGATCTTCTTCATTTTTATTATTTAGCATATTATTATTGGCGATTGACGATGCTGGATCAGTCCAGTTTCAAAGTTTATTTCGGTGCGAGGTTAGGGAGGCAGTTACTCATGCTGATCCATCACCTCGTTCTTTCCAGCTACCGGTCGAGTACATTGGGTTGATGTGTTCATGAATTAAGCATTGCTGAACACTGCAAACAAGTAATGCAATGCACATTCCAGAGCTTCGTGCGACGTCAATGTCTCCCTTGACTCCGACGATAAAATCAAACCATACAAGACAAGCATGTCGAAAGAAAAGGGTGGAACCATAGACCAGCTTAGCCTTACCCACATTGCTGATCTCCAAGAAAATGTCGACCTCTTTCCCCAATTTCTCGCCAGGGGTCCATATCACAACTGCAGAACGAAAGTCCCCAGAAAATCCTGCGGTTTCAAAAGGTCTAACGCTCTGCTCTGTTCGTTACTAGGTTTCTGATCCTGAATCTAGTTTAGTGGATACTGCAAGTTGGGTCCTCCTATCAATGGCGTCATAAGATTGACGGTGATCAGAGGCCAGAACTTGGCCATCCATGAACGATGAACAGCTTAAGCGGCAAAAAGGAACCAATAGGGATGAGACGTTACGCACGCAGTCAAGAAAATAGCGCCAGAGGATTGGGGCTGCTCTAGATCCTGCTGGAGTCGATGGATGCGGCCGACGCTATAATTGGCTTCGGGAAGGCGCCACTTCGAGGTTATTGCTGAGTGGCACGCGTCCTGCGGGGCCATAGGACAATCAGGCCTGTCTCATTCCTGTTCTTAAAAGCGCCGAGTGAACGTCAACTCTGCTGTCGTCGTGTGGGTGTGTGGATTTTGACAGCCATATGTCCTATTCACAGCATTGCGCTGATGCCGCTTTTTCAGCCTTGGACCCGTCTTCCATCGCGACGGATTTACCTCCTCTCACCTGTCATTGGGCTTCTTCTGGTTTACTTCTTCTTCTGCTTTGACACGGACGTATTTACTCCCCAGGTCGTCGTCACCCCGATCTCACCACAACAAGAACAAGCTACATGTCCCCCACTCCCAGGCATCGAGGATGTCCTGGTTATTCTGAAAACAGGCGTCACAGAAGCACTGGAGAAGGTGCCGGTTCACTTCGAAACAACCCTGCGATGCGTTCCCAATTATGTGCTATTCTCGGACTTTGAGGAGGAAATCAACGGAACCCGCGTGCACGATGTTCTTCGCAACGTCAACGAGACCGTCAAACATACCAGTCCGGACTTTGATCTCTACAACCGTATACATGAGCATGGACGCAGCGGACTCACGCCGGCCGACCTCAGCCGCGTCCCCAACACCGCATTCGGGATGCCCGACAACCCCGGCTGGAAGCTGGATAAATGGAAGTTCCTCCCCTTGATCGACGAAACGCTGCGGGTGCGCGACGACGCCAAATGGTACGTCTTCATGGAGGCGGACACATACTATATCTGGTCGAACCTCCTGCAGTGGCTGGCGAAACTCGATCCGAACAAACCCTACTACCTGGGTAATCCGACGCAGATTGGCCCTGACATCTTCGGCCATGGCGGGTCAGGATTTATACTGTCGCGCGAAGCCATGCGTAGAGCATCGGAACTACGAGCTGAAGACCTCGACGGGTGGGACCGATATACCGGGGAGCAGTGGGCCGGTGACTGCGTGCTGGGGAGGCTACTCCATGACGCGGGAGTACCCTTGCTGTGGTCGTGGCCCATGCTGCAGTCAAATACTCCCGCAGAGTTTGATCACTTTTCCGAGGCGTATTTCAAAAAGCCGTGGTGTTTCCCTGCGGTTTCGTATCACCATGTGACGGCGGAGGATATCCACGAGCTAGCAAAGTTTGACCACAGGTTCATGCACAACGTAAGTTTTCCATTGAATGTCTTGTGGAAATTACTAAAAGGAGTAGAATTCGGTTATATTGCACAGCGATGTGTTTCGTCATCTCGTCCACCCACAGTTCAAGCCTCTACAACCCGACTGGGATAACCTCTCTGATGAGGAGCACGACATTGGTGCGGCTAGCTGTCAGGAGTTGTGCGCGAGCGAACCTGAATGTCTCCAGTATTCGTATGAGGCCGGGAAGTGTCGCACTTCCAAAAAGGCCAAAATAGGAGTCCCGAAGACTGGAGTTTCCTCGGGGTGGATGACTGACCGGATTGACGCCGTTGTAAAAGAGCTGGGCTCTTGCACGAAACCGCAGTGGGTTCTCCCATAGCTCAATGCACAAATTTGTACATACTCGGATTCTCATCAGGCTGGCCCTGTCTGTTTATCTATCATGTCCTTGCTACTCTTCTACATTATAGAATACATACAAAGAGCAAATCTGAAGCCATCATTCATTCTCTCGCTTAGAGGCGACCGGTCTTTCAAAGTTCGATAATGACCGATATCTGATGGCTTCGACGCATCATCCGCACTTCAGTATCCTCCCCTTTTGTCGCAACAGTCGTAGCCATGCCCATTAGAATGGTGCCTCCTGTACACCAAGCGCACCACAGGCGATCGGAAAGTGCCATGGGTTTGACACTGGCCCATGCTCATCATACCTATACTGAGCGCTTTCTGCACAACAAACATGGACCTGCTCAGGGGGCTCGAGTGTCTGACAGAATGCGATCCCTTATTGTTTGCCATGTCGTGGACTTCTCCCGCTACGAAAGTCAGCTCTTTGCTGCAGTTCATGCGTGCAACCAAGGGTAACTTTTGTCATGGTACGGGATTAGAAACTAGCACCCAGCTTCGATGGTACAAAGCAAGACGACTGATGCCATGTGTCGATCCGCAGATCAGCGAGTGCACGGTCCCACGATGCGGGCAAAAGGGGGTGGGACTTGGTGGCTCGTGGCCCGTCAGCACAGACTAGACAAGACAAATAAATCTCGTATAACAATTATGATCACCACCTATTCAGTCGAACGTAAGAAAAATACGACTTGATGTATTCGTAATTTCTCTGCAGGAGTCAGTAGTTCGCCATGTCGCACCGCAGACACTGTAGGTTATGATATATAATGGTACATTTCAGCAATCGGTCGCGTCACCAGTAATTACGGGAGGATCATTACACTTGAGGACACATGAAACCCCTGGATGATAGCATTTCCAAGATAGAAACAGATAGCGAGAATCGTTTGCTTCTAGCAAGAGAAGCTGGTATACTTGATTATACAATCTTCTTAAGCCGGAGTGGACAATTACTGGAAACTAATAATGGACTACAAGCTACGAATCAACTACGCAGGAGTGAAAAAAAAAAAAAAAAAAAAAAAAAAAATACGGCTGATCAATTGATTGATTCCAAATCCCAATTAGAAGAAACAAATTCAAATGGGTATAGCTTCCCTTGAACTCCTAAACTCCCATACACAGTCCTCCAATGACAGGCACCGGTAAAAAACCCTTTGCTTGTAAAACCTCTGGGGTAGTGGACGTCTCCCAAGAGGAAACCAAGCAACAGGAAAAAGGTATGCCTGTTGAAATAATTCGTAGTCTGTCGTATGAATCGTGGCCAATTTGGCATCCATGAGGTAACCAATTTCCGGAGATTGGTATTTTGCGCGACTTGTGTATAAACAAGTCATATGTTGTCATCTTTGATCGGTATTCTGATCTCAATAGAGGCGAGAAGGGGAGATCGAGGGCTTGAATCGAGTACCAGGAATGGGTGTGATTCTTCGGTCCATAATGTCGCGGAAGAACCGGCGAAAGTACGAGTACACCTCGTTTGTCTTTGTACCGCTGTCGGTTCGCAGGGTGGTTCGGTGGAATGATATCTATTGAATGTTGGCGTGCTATTGATGCTGATATGCGGAAATCGGGTATCGTACCATGTCGTTGTCGTCGATCTCGAGGAAGTAGAATTCTTTTCCGTTGGTCGCAACGCCGTGGACCGAGGTGAGCCGTTTGTTTTCACTCTTTCGAGCGTTATGGCAGAGTGCTATAATGGATTAGCAACTTTCCCACATGGATAATTGCGTATAGAACTTACCCATGAATGAGATGTACTGCCAAAGGATGGTCGACGGCCACGGATTGACGCAGATGACAACGCCGATACCATTGCCAGGCTCCGCAGCGTTGTTCACAACGAAATCAAGCTCTCCTTCAATCGGGAATCTGACGCCCAGAGCCTCAACTTCTTGTTCAAAACCTCTACACCGAGGAATGGAAAGGACTGCTGAGGAGCGTTTGGCGGGATTCTGTTTGCGATAGTCGAGTTCCTCCACGTAGCAGTAATTTAGTATTGCTCTGATTCGTTTGCAGGAGGTTTCGTGGTCGAGGTACTGCGGGTCGTTCTTGTTTAATACGGCTAGATTGCGTACTGATGATAGTCGGTCTCCGAGTTTTGCTGATGATAATGAAGGCGTGTTTGCTTGTGCTTACCGAGGCTGATGGGGATGGGGTCTTTTCGTTCTGTTCTAGGGTCCACAACCCACGTGGATTTGGGTGACGAGACAGGCCGAACAATGGATAGAGCGTATGGGAAAGGAACGCTTCCGTGACCTCATCCGGAGTTGGAGCTCTCTGTCGTAGAGGAGGTGAAGGAGGCAAGGGCGCCTTTCGCCCGACAAAGGGCCAGTCAGGGTCTTCCTCGTCATACTCTGAGGGTGGCGTGTCTGTTGGCGTGATCAATGACCACGCCTGCGAGGGCGATGTTGCTGTTGATGTTGCTGCTGACGAGGTCATTCCTGACCATGCTTTCAAGGGTCTAACCATCTTGGCGATCTCTGTGAGGATCATGTTCATAGTGGTGAGTTTGTCGATGACTATGCTTTTGACGTCGATGTTGCTGTCGGCAAGATTGTTGATGACTGTGTCTTCGATTGCCATGCCCATGTTGGCGAGGTCGTCGGCGATCTTATTCCTGAGGATGATATTGCTGTTGAGAAGGTCGTTGATCAGCATGTCTTCGAGGGTCATGTCGATGGAAATGTGTCTGATCGTCATGCTGTTTGTCGTTGTCGTTGTTTGTCGATGTTGTCGATGTTGTCGGATGGATGCATTGAGCAGAAAAGCAGAGCTGGAAGACGGGGTTCATATAGCGCTGCCTGTTGATGATGGGTATGCGATCATTTCGTCTCGTAACCACGGTAGACTCTGTCTTTTGTTGGTTGGAGATCTAAAAATAAGACATTCTCAAAGTTTCCCAGCGCTAGCCACGAAAACGTTTATGAAAATGATGCAAGTATGAGCGTATATTCTTACGGGAATGTTATTTGAGAGAAGAGTTGTTTAGAGGCAGAGGTCCGTCCTCGATAATTTGCATGATGTGTTCAAAATGCTCGTCTGATATCCGTTCTCATGGCAACTGTAGGTTTAGCATACTGTTGCTCGAGCACCGCTGATACATTCTCTATCCTTCCAGAAAAGCGTAATGATATCCTCACAGGACTAGGAAGTTTTTCTTGTGCAGGGCGCCTTGATGAGATCATACCCTCATTCGACTGGTCTAGGCAACAATAGACTGCAGTACCCTCTAGTCTGTCATGGAAAGGAAACTGGGATGAGGGACAGAGATATAAAGAGTTACAATACTAGATGCTGCTCTGTTGGAAACTGCCAAAAATAGGCTCCATCATATCAATTCTCCACAATTTCCGATTAAGGTTATCCGTCTCCCCCGCATATACATAGATTGTCCAACCTTATTCTGCCGAGCAATGTCCCTCCCAAAGCCTCATCTAACACCCCATAGCCTGCAGCTTGGGAGGTATCTGGCTTGATACGCTGTTTTCTCCTCATCTCCACTGGCCAACTATAGCTGCGATCATACGGCCGCAGGAGCTCGGCTGCCACTATCTGGCACTCGGAGCCACCGATGTTGCAAACCCATTGCTAGATGTTGGACCACACTCAGCTTGCCTCACGAGAGTTAATGTTAGCTTGAGACCTTGTACCTTAGGCCAAGTGTTAATATTGGAGAGCTCTAAGCTTAAAAGTAGTGTTTAGGGGTTCCACGCAAAACGAAGCTATATGCTTACTAGAAAAAGGGCCACCTCACGTCTGAGGGCCGCGTCATCGTCACCGGAAAGCAGTATGTAACTCTCTAAAAAGTCTCGAATGTGGATATTGGCAACCTCCAGTATAGCAAAACGACTCGTACTATTCGGTACTATATTCCTCGTAGGCTCGTCCTTACAGGGTGGAGCACGTCGGTTGCTAACGATTGTCAATCCGGCACCATCTGATGACCTACAGAGAGCGCTTGATCCTCAAGCAGTTAGAACCCTACGTACACTCCTAAAGAACGATGCATCAGGCAATTGTTCACTTCGAAAGCCATAATAGAAAGCATGCGGCCAGGCGAGGTTTAGTTCACCAGGCGGACAGATAGGACAGACCCCTAACTAGGAGAATCCAAGGTATAGAATGAGGGAGATGGGCTTCGAACGGACCAGCCCCGGTTCAATTTGAGGTCTCTTTTGCAGGAGTGTATTCATATATGCGGGTGAATCCTCCCATTATTTGCAACTCACAGGGGCAAGTTAGCTGACGGGCATATATTTCTAGGTTGGATACCGATCGTAAAATCACCACATTTACGGTAGTCTCAGAACAATAGCGACTCATGGACGCTTTTCGGCTATTTTTGATTTTATTCCTCGATATCTTTGCCCTCTGCGAAAGATATACCTCGGGCAAATGGTCAGGACTAACCAAGTCCTGTGTCGTGTGCTCGCATTCAGTCTTGTGGATCGACGTTGTGCGGAATATTCTGAGACAACAGCTGTCTTGACCACAGGTATTATAGAGGAGTGGAACAACGGCGAGCCCAAATTACAGTCAATTTTGGTGTGCGAGCGCCGAGCACGCATCCCAATATACCTGCAGCACGGATGATCCTCTGGCCAACCGCACGAGCATGACGATCCAAAGCTCAAGACGACGATCGTCACCGGCGGTGATCATTCCCACCGCAAAAGCAGCAGTGAAGGTTCGGGGGTTTATTACAGATTATTGATAAGAAGAGCTTATGGACTATGGTTTAGGGGTATAACACTGTATTCGTATATATACTAGGTCTTGGGCAGGCCCTAGGTTATAAGTCCCTAGCGAGCCTACTCCTTTTCATAGTTTCTTTTTATAATAGCAAAATTCTTTCTCTACTGCTACTATAGTTAGAGATTTATTCAACTAGTTAAGACATAAGAAATGCGTCTTAATGCTTTAGAGTCTGCATTTAATTTGAATTATTCAAAAGAGAATTGGCTATACTCTCTACAGGCCAACCCGTCTTTTGTCCCCAAATCCTCATCTCATCTACAATCTCGCTTAGCTTCCTGGCATCTTTAAGCCACGGCCCACCTATGATTATAAGCATACCCCATCACCAAGAAAGAAATGCAGAAGTCTTACAGAAAGCTATAGGCCCAAAGGAATTAACCCAAACAGGCGCAGACCTACTCGACAGCGCCAAGGCACATACAATGGTGGCGTGGTGTACTAGTTTGCTTTCCAGGTTGTTTATCCTTTCGATGTGCTGCAGCGTGTTGACCAATGAAGGACAAGGTTCCGCAAGCCACAGGATTACCATCGCTGTATGATAGTATTGTAGTCCGGCAGCTGTTACTGTCAGTAAACCAAGCGGATTCAAATATAAGAGGGATCCGTACCGTGCCAGCCTGAGGTAGTCCACATACTCGGAAAGCTGCTATTGGGGAGCAGATGTGGTGTAAGGATGGGGCCAAATGCCGAAGGAAGCGATGTCCTCCAGTCCTCGAGCTGATCTCTCAAACTCTCCCACTCGCAGGAGTCCAGAGGGACAGCATCACGTAGAAGACAACCGTTGATGACTCTTCCTAGAAGATAAGTGATGCGATTGGCGAGATCATCATCGCATTCAGTCTTCGTAGGCAGAGGCTCCTCCGGAAGCTGAATCATGAGGCTGCGTTTTTCTATGAGTGCGACCGTGATATCCTCTCTCAGGTAATTCCAGAAACCGGCACTCAGCAATCCGGCCTCTAGGTCGATTGGATGGCTCGCCAGTAAGGAATAGGACCCTTGAAGGTGATTTTGGCAGGTAACATTTTCTAAAATCGATCAAGATTAGAGCTTCAGCTGGTAGATATGCATCCCGGGGGTAGTGGTCATACTTACGCGAGATAATTTCGTATGATCGAAGAAGACATATCGCAGCTAAGGTCACGCCCGTTCGGAACCCATCGGGGCGCTTCATGAGAGCCAAGAGTCTTCTCACACTTTCGAGGTGATATGCATCGGCTAGATCTTTGAGGGGAGTTGATCCAGATGATGAGCTCTGGCTGGCAGCCGCGAAGGCTAGTATCGCGCTGAGAAGCAAGGAATTCCTTCTTGCGAGGACAGGAACGATGTCCGTAAAATGACGTCTTCGATCATTCAGATCGTACCAACCAGCTAGATTATTGATATAAGCTCGAAATATGTGAGCTACTCGTGGGTCCTGTAAAGCTTCCGTAGGGTCGCTAGTTGAGACATATTCGTCGCTTCGGGATATCAAGACATCTAGACTTGCTTGAGTACAATAGTCTGGCGACGTTGAGGACTGGCCTTGCTGGTTTGAGGATGCTATTGGCCGGGAAGACCGGCGAATGCCGTCGCTCCATGAACAGGGTCGTGAGCTTCGTTGACAACGTTGGCAACTGGGACGATTTCCATCACCTGAGACGAAAACCACAAGTGAGCCGAGACGACCAAGATCAAGAGAAGAAGAGGCTTACACTTGATCTTTCGCAAGCGACACGGTTGGCTACAGGCACAGTCAGCTATCGGCGTGACAACTTGGAATCAAGTCAGCACGAACCAGCCTGACAAGACGATGTTAGTAACTCTGCGCAGCAATAGAGCTTAGAGGGAGAACGAACGATCTGTGCGAAATGGACGTGGCATGGTGGTTGTGTTTCAATAATGCTTCAAGCTCGCATTATCGAGACACAACGCTTCGCAATTCAAATGCGGGGACGCAGAAGTGTCCACCACTAGCGTGGTACCATATAAGGACCTAAGTATGATTTTCCCTTTCATTTTCCTCAAATTTAGGTTCTATCTTACATATTCCACACCCTTTTCTTCCTAATGGACTCTGTATGAGTGGCTGGTTTACTACCCCACATGGGACTCCGCATTAATGCGAAATGCGAAAGGCGAAAGACGAGGAGATTCAATGACAACTAATTGAGGTCTGAGGTATAAATATGGCAGCTTTGACAAAGTCGAAGTATTATTACCATTATCTCTCACACATAAGGTTATAGCTGGCGATGCAAAGACTTGCATTTCAATTAAGTCATTGGTCTCGCTGCGCCGGCACGATAACTAACCTCCGCCTTCGGGTACAGCAAAGAATGGCTTCCAGCTATCCCACCAGCATTCGCCCTTCCGCATCAGAGATCAAGAACTGCCAGCTCACCCCGCAGAATTTGGAGATTGCCATTCGCAGTCTGCATCATGATGGTCTTGTTGTGGTCGAAAATGCGGTGCCTCATGCCGCGCTCGATCGGCTGAACGAGAAGATGGTGCGGGATGCATATGCCCTGCAGAGCAGAAAGGAGAATAGTCCATATAACTATAACCGGGGCAACATACAACAGGATCCTCCTCCTGTGAGAGAATACTTCAATCCTGACATTTTTCTAAGTAAGTGCCATGCCCCACGACGAGATCAGGCCCTGCTAACAGTCTCTTGCCAGACCCAATTGCCACGCAGATAACAAACACTGCCCTGGGCCCTCGTCCAAAATGGACATTCTGCTCGGGAAATACAGCCATGCCTCCGACAGCGGACTGTCCCCCGACATCGCAGCCGGTCCATTCAGATGCAGACTTTGATCACCCAACGCACCCCTTTGCCTATGTCGTCAACATCCCCTTGATCGAGATGACCCCGGAGAACGGATCGACGGAGGTCTGGCTCGGAACGCACATCGACTCGGGCCTGCATGTCCAAGAGGGAATGCACGGTGACCGAGCAAGTGGACGCATCAAGCTTGACGAGCTGGAAAAGCGACGAGCGATCCGGCCACCGTGTCAACCTGTCGTCCCAAAGGGCGCGGTAGTACTTCGGGATCTTCGACTCTGGCATGCTGGCGTCGGTAATCAGACTGATCAAGTCCGCGTGATGCTGGCGATGAGTAGGTTCCCTAGTATCATCGGAGCATGGTCAAAAGCTAATGAACAGTTCACTTTGCACCTTGGTACCGGAATCCAATGCGACTGGAATTTGCTGAGAGTGTACGGCCGATAATAGAGAAGGAGGATGGTCTTGAGGTGCCGGTTGACTGGGTGCCTGAAGAAGAAGCCATGTCGCGTTATCTGAACCGTGCATTTGGCAATGCATATGACTTCAACCAACAGCCTTAACGAAGGAATCTATCCCAGATGTTGTCGTGTGTTATTTCTCCTTAGCAAAGCCGGGGAGTGAACGCCGCGAAGGTGGTGTGAATTTGGGGGATGTGTACATATCGGAAACAGTCCTACTGGTATGCGAATCTGGAGCTCCAACAGTCCAGCAGTATGCTATTCGTTGTAATGATGTGTTAGATGCGTGCTGGTAACTCCTGTGGCTGCGGTTGCAATGGTTGACTGTCCAGCTCTGGTCGATATGACTGACCCGCCAGCTCCTGTGGCCAACCAAAACCCTTGGGCTGAGTGATATAGGAGGCCTGAATCTCCGTCGGAGAGACAGCGCGTTTATTGAGGCGTGTTGAGCGAGCCCTATAGGTCCGCATAAACCAGATAACAAAGGCAAGAATAGCTAAAGCAACCACCCCTCCGGCAACACCGCCAGCAATTGCTGCTGTATTTGTGGAAGCTGCTGTCGGAGATGGCGAAGGTGCTGTCGAAGCAGTAGACGCGGTCGATTGAATAGTCGTGGACAGTATCGAAGTGGACAATGATGCCGAAAGCGATGTGGCTGTGCTCGTAGACGCTGTTGACAGTGCGGTCGAAGAGGATATTGTCGGCGAAGAAGAAGCGACTAAGCGGCAGTGGCCTGTCAGTACCAGTAATCACATTCTTCCATGAGATACTCACCTGATCCAGACACTATAATTGACAAAGCAGTCTGTCCCTGCGGCAAGACCTCGTCCAGCGGTGCGCAACCCACGAATCCATTCGAGTTGACCTCGAAGCCCTTCGCGTCCTGATCGCAGTAGAAGAAGTCCACCGCAAAATACAAATCCACGGTACTATTTGCACAACGCTTTTCCTTGGGGCCTGATCGAGCCTTCCAGCATTCGTTGCCGTAATCGCCCGGCCCGCAATATGTGGCCATAGGGCAGCAGTTGTGCCATTGTCCCCATGTCTGCCCGCAATCGAGTTCGGTATTCAGGCAGGTGTTATTCCTTCGAACGGCGAATCCGTCAGTCATTGGTAGGATAGAGGTAACTCTGTTGAGCAAATCCGAAAACGAGCAATAACGAGGAAAAAGCATGGAATAAAGCACTTAAATGAGAGGGTAAGCATCCATCTGCCTCCAGCTTAGCCGCTTTTTCACGGAGAACGAAGCGCTTACAAGATCTACCCAACCATGAGAAGAGAGATCATGCAGTTTCACTATCTGCATCCGGGTCAAATCAGCCCCAACTGGTTTTCGCGGGGTGATAATCATCGAGGTTGTCGGCGGCTAAAACGCCAATAACTTCCACAGTCTTTCTGAACGAAATCCTAAGCGCCAGGGTAGAGCATGCCAAGTGGCCTTGCTGATAGAGAATGCAGGGTTTACAGGGGGAGGGGATTACCCACCAATCGACCGTCGCCAACGAGCTGTGGAAATGATGAGTTTCGGCCGTGGACGTGGGGGCCACAAGATATCCATTCCGCGGGTCATCCGCCACAGTCAAACACCTGGCATTATTTGCATACAGCGACAAAGTTGGAACAAAGAATGTTCTCTTAATTCTCTAAAGTGACTGCTTCCCCTCAAGCCTTGGCCCGTCCGACCGTGGAAGGGTGCGATAGCGACGTCCTCGTTTGATTGACTTTGCTGCCCCAAAAAGGATCATCAACAAGACGGCGAACAAAAGTAGACTGCCCAAAAATGTCTCGTTGCCAAGATGTGAAGCCTTTCTGGCAGTAGGTATGATGCTATCCTCGCTTGTGATGGGCTTTGCCGGGGCTTTTGAGGATATAAAATAACCGTGCGATATGGGCCGGTCCTCTACATGGTGCTGTCCATGGCGCACCTCATCACTTCCGTCTAACACAAAGTCATCCGTTTGATATTCGTTTGGCGGTCCATATTGTGGTTGTTCACCGGGTCGGTAGCTCTGGTCTTGCTCCCGCTGCCATCGTTCATAGTCGGTTTCGGGTCGCTTGCGCTTCGACACGTTGTCAGATAGGATTTGTTGTGTGGGTGTGTCTGCCATAGCCTTTCGTGGAGCCATCGAGTGTCCGAGCCAGTACAGACAGAAGTAGAACGAAGTGCAGCTGGGAAAGCTTTCAGACGTCGAGATGATTCAAGATTCTCAGAACATCGGGGACTGCGATTGATAATAGATTGCAATAATGATCATATGTTCCCCGACGATAGGTCCCATATGATATGGAAGGAAGTACTTTTGCGAAGTGAATGCGCGGGATGTATCTCTCCGACTCCGTGATTGAGCTAGGATGTCATAAATTTGTTTCACCGTCGATAGCATCAGCCAGTCCCAGGCTGAGCCCAGCACCTCAGCATGTGCTTACTTTCCTAACTTGGATTAAGACTTACTACAAGTCTACAACACACTACACGGAGTGCCCGGCGGTTATCCAATGAAACAGTGCAGCGATCTTGGACCCTTGTCAGTTGGTAGCGTGAACCAACTGCAGGGTCTGTTTTAGCGGACGCGCCATGTTTGGCAATGGAGATGTGGATCAAGAGTCGGACATGTCCGTAGGCTCTGTCCGATCCATGGAGGAACCTCAAGGCACCGTCGATGTCTCTTAGTCCTATCAACATCGTGTATCTGCAAATGAGTTTTCACGTCCTAGATTACCAATATCGGTCACAAGGGGAATGACGATCCTACCCGTGTGCCCTTTTAGCTCTCTTTCTTTTTGGACTTGGTGCATCTGCCGACCTTTCCGGGCCTAATGCAAGCTATCGTCTGGATTGGCGAATGGAGACTCGTTTCCAGTGCGCCACTCGCAGGGTCCACAATGAAACCAACATTACTCGATATGGTCAGGCATCGGGGCGTGCCGCCTGCCAGTGAGGCTTGCCAGTCTGCGGCGTATGGCGTATACCCAAGCCTTACCAGCCCCTTTTCACGTTCTCGCGCCGGATTCATCGTCATTACTGCGATGCGCACACGCTTAATCAGGGTTAATACAGTGAACTACACAATCTGGCCTTGTTCTTCGCCTCGTCGCGTTAACTGTTGACAACAGAAATGCCTGAAGGCAATGCATCTCGCAGGCATACATGGCAATACTGACTTCGAACTGGAGTGCAGTTCCTGCATGCTGCCCTTCAACACTTACTGTCCAACAAACCAGTTGTCTACTAAATGTCTAGGGCCTCTTTTATAAGGTGAATAAGACCAGGGAAAGACAGCACGCAAAGTGATTTCTCTTTAACAATAAGATAGCGCCCCAGAAAAGGACTCCTTCTCTCAAGACTGCATGAAGGAGGCCTTACCATAACAAATAACCTAGACTGATATTCCTTGCATATCATTCATCCATCCTATGATGCAAATATGCAAGCATGAATGGGCCTTGACGATGTGGCCTGGGAACCGGCCGAGAAAATATCTGACAACTGGCTCGCTCAATTTCTCGAGCTGGACATCTTGAGACCGATCGCGGACTTCATCCTTACTCACAACAGAGGCAATGCGACCGAGTTGCCATACTCAAAAAGGGGTCTTATAACATCACTTTACGGATGAACTACCGAAAAGATGCGACCGTTGTGCGGTTCTCGCAGCCCGGTGCCGTTTTGTTCCCTGAGGAGAAAGTCATGAATGAGGTTGCTGTGATGCGATTTCTTGCAGACCAGACGTCGATACCCATTCCATTTGTTCTCCACTCCGTTACAAAGAAAGAGAGTCCCCCTGGAATTAGGTCCATTTATCATGATGGATTATATCGAACATGAGACGAAGATGTACGACGCTCTCAACACGCCAGAGTGTCCGAAAGAGGAACGGGGTTTCTGCACCCAAACATCAACGAAGACAAGATTGAGATGCTGTATAGTCAGCTCGCGGGTATTCTGCTTTAACTTTGAGCTCCCTCTGTGTCTCGGATAGGATCTCTCAGCCAGATGGATGACTTCACCTGGGAAGTAACACGCCGGCAATTGTCAATGAATATGAAAGAACTTGTACGACTGGGAGGTTTGCCGCGATCAAAACTTCCGGATACAGATACTACTTATAACACAACTTCTTCATATTTTGAAGTCCTTGCGGATCTCAATATTGAGCATTTGGTACCCCAAAGGAATGATGCTGTGGAGTCCGCCGATGACTGTCGAAGAAAGTTTGTGGCGCGACAGGTGTTCCGTAAGCTCGCCCCGGGACAAGCGGCTCACCAATCCATCGCTCGAGAACGGACCTTTCGGAATCTGGTGTGATGATTTACGACCAGCTAATGTACTACTTAACGAGAATATGCAGATCGTCGGAGTGGTGGATTGGGAGTTCACATACCCAGCACCTGCTGGATTTACTTATGCGCCGCCTTGGTGGCTGCTTATTGAGAAGCCTGAGGTCTGGCCAAAGGGCATCGAGGACTGGACACGAGCATGGAGCATTTGAGTATCGTTTGAAGACATTTCTCAGGGCGATGGAGGCTTGTGAAGACATAGCGATCCAGCAGGGTCGGCTGAAAGAAGACCAGCGGCTCTCCGGCCCTATGCAACGGAGCCGGGAGTGCGGTGATTTCTGGATCATGTATGCAGTGTCGCACAGCTTTGCTTTTGATGCAATCTACTCGCAGAAGATTGACCCACGGCTTTTTGGGCCCCATTGAGAGTCCTGAGGAACATTGGAAATATAGACTCGGTCTGCTGGATGAGAAGGAAAGTATGAGATGGAACTACTGGTGGCTCGGAAGCTGGAAGAAAAGAAAACCAGGATCTTGGCGAGAGACCCGGATTAGTATACCGGGGCTTTTCGCCAGCAATTGAAGAGACGGAGAGAAAAGGCAAAGGAAGAGGAAGCCAACGCGGGTGAACCGGATGAAGCCGACAAGATGGAGAACAGCGGAGTGAAGGAGGATAAGACCACCACGCATTTGTCTGGCTAGTTGCGATCGCAGATGATTGAATATCTATTTGTTGTGGATGCCATCCGTGGGTTGATATTCCACCACCTTTTGCATTTCAATTCTATACCCTCCTGCATGTCGATCTCCAACAGCGACTGTTGCCACATCCAGGTGCAGGTTGATACCACAAACTAGAGGAATTGAAAAGGGCAAGTTGACATAATGCAATTTAGCAATAATGTCTCACTAGTGACCCTGGACTGTTCGAATGTTCTGATGGAGGGATCTCATTTTTGAGATAGCGATCGTCACTTTGCGCCGAATATCATAATGATAAATCAGCTATCCATGGTTGACTCAGACAGCTGTACACCAACACGTTGAACTCCAAGTTTCCATGACTGGGAAATGATTGGTAGCAGACGATCCACGCGGAGATGACGACGACTGCCGATGGTGGATCCAGCACATAACTCTAATTTGGGTCGACCGGGGAATTTTGAGTTATTGCCAGGTACATTCCCACCATAAGCAACGACCAATTTTTGGGATCGGCAATTAGGTACGGGAGTGGCTGCCTCTACAAACAGGCAAGCATCCGGTTGGTAATTTGGTACGGACCTTGCTGTTGCTTAGTGCCCTAGTGGTGGAGTGTGGAATGAGGAAGGATCATCAATCGTTCTTTGTGGAACTGGTACGAGTGCATGGAGGCAAGTTTTGATCTCAGTGGGACCAGCCCTGGTAGGGTCTGGATTTTCACCTTTGTTGCAGATCGTTATTCAAATCCACCTACTTTCCATATGCTGCTGGCCTGCTCCACTAATCACAAAGGAGCAGACTCAAAAAAAAGGTACAATCTGATCGTTGAGAATTGGATCGGCCAGGCCTTGTCCTGTCCCACTCCTCCCCTTCAGGCTCAATCTCTGATAGGCCTAAATGGCAATCAACTTGTGGCGCACTTGGGTCAATATCAAAGCCTGAGGTCTTTGGTCTTTCTGGTTTGAGTGCAAGTGGATAGAATGACGGCAGCTCCAACTATCCTAGGCGGATATAAAGGTCCCTACAGCACCACTCCCCAAGTGTAAACCTGCTCATTATCATCCCTGCCAACACATTCTTTCTCTTGAGTACCAGACATATCCACCTGGTCATCAAAATGAAGTTCAGCATTATTGCTCTCGCCTTCTTCGGCTCCGCCTTGGCCGCCCCAGCTACCTCTACTCCCACCCCTTCTTCTACCCCAGCGGCTTCCTCCTCTTATGCGGCTTCCTCCAGTCATATAGCCTCATCCACTGCCAGTCCTTCGGCTACTCCCACCTTTCAGCCAGGCTGCGATATTGAGCACGTGGGCAACAACGGCAAGCATCTCGGATGGTGCAAGAAGGCCAAGCACTACGGCACCTACAAGAACGGAACAAGCATCTAGACCTACAAACGGGTTCAACCCGCAGGTTGTCAATATCAATGCCCTCATTCGAGACCATGCCTCCAGTGCTTCGGTATATCGGTGTGGGCAGAGTCCTCGGATGACATTGAACTCTGGAAACTTCTTTGAATGGAACGAACGCTGTGTGTCTTTTGTTACTCGGAGGATTTCCTCTTCTCTGTTGATGTCATTCCCTGTACTTCAATCTTCTTGCGGTATACTACTGGTATCCAAGGCCTTGCAATCCGGTTCTAGATGTTAATATAAACCACAATAACCGAGATTGGTTCTGCAGATGGATATTGGCCGGCAGTCACGAGGAGCAATAGCTGCTGTAATTCGTGTGGCTAGATTGATGTTTCTCTTAGCGTGCTGCTCAAGTCCCCCTAGACGTGTAAAAGATGACGAGTCGCTGATGTTTATATTGGGACCGTGCCTCTATGCGCTGGTGGAGGGACTGTTTTTGCTGTACCCCGGCCTCAAGTAAGATCAAGGCAATCGCTCAGGAAAAGCCAGTCTATGCCGAAATCTGAATGTTACTTGCTTACAGTCTAGATGTTGCTGTAACTATTCTGCACACTTGTATTAATTTACATCCTCCACCTGATATCTACAGATACAATTCAGCAATCATACAATTACTCCGGGGGTGGTGGAATTGTTCACTTGAACTAGCGAAGGGGAAGCGAACAACGATGGTAATTTCCATGCCGCGGGAGAAGCATCAGCTTTAATGTATGGATTCTGGGGTAGACAATTCGACGCTCAATGTCCTATCCTCATTATATGCCTCCACCAGAAGAAGCAAGCCGGCTACCACAAGTCCAAGTCTCAGGGGTCGCCTAGCCGAGTCGAAGCTCCGACAAACCACAAGTATGATTCCCGCGACACTTGCATGGCGAAGCTCTTGAGAAGTGACTGTTCTGTGTCTGCGTTGATGGGGGACAGTAAGGCACTATGTTATCTCCCTGACAAAGCAACTAGTACACCAAGATCTCCTCATCTTTGGCTCCTGCATCTCTCCATTTATTAAGCACCTTCTTCAAATCCGCCGTGACTTTCTGAGCATAGTCAGGCCCAGGGCCCCCGGTAGGCACATCCGCTGGGTTGCCCCTCACCCAAGCAACAGGTTCTTTAGCAACACCCGTGAACTTCTTCTTAAGTTCTTCAACCTGCTGAGGCTCATAGCCGCGACCGAAGAACACCACACGAGGAGGCCGGCTGTAATCGTGGGTTCCGACATCATTGGGGCTCCGAGACTGAGGATCGCGACCTGCAAGCAGATGCGGGAGCTCAGCCTCTGCGGCCTCATATGACTGGATGAAGTGGATGACTGAGCAGCATTAGCACCATGCTTTTATTCATTTAGGGAATGTATAGCAAGAACCTTCATATTCAGGCAGCAGGTGCTGGGAGACTGATTTCCCCATCGCGGTTATTCTGCCGCAGGCGACTACTGGCATGGGCTGAGTGGATGAAGACATGTTGCGAGAGAGCTGTACGCTGCGGATGAAGGTATTTCGGAGCATTGGAGATGGAGAAATAGGGAGTAAGCTCAGGTCGATCATTCAATTTATATTCCTTGTTGCGGCACGCTCGATCTTGATCAAGATGACATTTGGACGGAGCATGAGAGGCCGTGATCTCCGACGCCAAGCCAACGCATGAACGAATGTGCGAGGTTCAAAGCTCAATACGAGATGGATTTGTCATCCCAGTTAATGTATTTCCCCGGCGAGCGGGACCCCCTCATCAAATTTCAACACGTTTGAATCCTGAAGCTGTCCAAATCAACCATGCCATCAAAACCACGTCATATCTCTCAAAAATTAGTGGAGCAAGAGGTAAGGCTTTAATTAGTAATATCTGCTATGGAAAAGAATGGAATCTTAAGTATTTACTATGCTGCAGAGATGGTCATTATTCCTAAATTTTCCCTCTATGGCTAACCGAATAGACACTAATATTAAATTAAAAAATACACTAATGACTACCAGGTATCTCCTACACAGGAAGAATTATTAGTGGAATGGATACTATCTAGGGATCTATGTGATATGCCACCTAGGCCATCTCATGTGTAGGAAATAGTAAATATCCTTCTCCAAGCAGACAATCCCTCTGGATTCAAACCTGTTAGTGTCATGGGGGCAGACGGCCTAGGGGGGTTGTTGGTATATAAGCATGTTCTAGGCTAATGATTCCAAGGGGGATCATTATTGGAACCGAACCGCTGCGATTTCGAGTCTAAATTTTTGGATTCAATATCTATAGGGCTGAATAGGTGGTGGTTAAGAAATCATTTTTAAATATTATGATTGTTAAGGGTCAGCTGCATATATAGTATATACTAACCACCACTACTTTCATACCAACCTATGACAGAAATGATTTCCCTTATATCTCACCAGCCACTACATATTTTGAACTATTATTTCATATTTAAATAGACCAGATAATAGGCTATCTAGCGATATTAATATTTTTAGAGGAATCTTAGAAATTAGTGATTACTAGGCAAAACAGTTTCTAGCGGTTTAACTGCTGACCCCCTGGATCCGACCCTGACCCGCCCCTAACCCGGTGCGGTTTCTCAATCTAGGAACTGAACCAAACCGCTGCGAGTTCGGTGAGGGTCGGATTCGATTTTAGCGGTTCGGTTATGCAACTCTACCTCTGTGGGTGCAAGGAAGAGTTACTAGGGCAACCATAAAGGGTCACCGCGTTGTCTTGTAAGAAGCAGCTCTAATCCAGTTATAACACTAACGACCCCCAGGATCCTGAAGTATCAATTCCTAGCGCAACTTGACAGCACCCAAAGAAGAAATTAAAACCTATAGCTAAGCCTCTTTGTCATTCACTGGGCGGCTTAGACTTAGTTCTATGTAATTGTTCCCTCACTATCTAAGAGGTCTGCAGGAGAGCCATCCTCACTGTTGAACCTAGTGGACTGAAACTAGCATATTCTCTCACATTTGTTCCTGATGCTAGTCTGATGCTATCTCAAACCCCTCCAGCTACTACTCTGGGGAAACAAAGGCCATATACCTCAGATAAAAACACACTGTTAGTGTGACTAAAGGAAAGAGAGGGTATGCTATGGGCAGAGATTGCGGCACATTTCCCTGAATGAAGTGTGTCATCTCTCAAGTCCACTACTCGACCAAATTACACCGCAAGGCAACCACTGGAGCTGAAAGGTTACGAAGATGCCGATGAGAGGCACTAAACGTGACAGCGCCCATACCGAAAGAGGCGAACAAGCGTATCCAGGTTGTTTGCCTTCCAGCCAAACGACCCTCCTTCCGTCGCTTGGAATTCAAGTCAGGTAAGACTCTGTACACTGTGTGTTTGGAATGTGCATCCCATAGCTAAATGAACTAATATATCTTGCAAGGCAAAATTTGAAACACAGGAGACACATCAACTAGTGACGGAGACACGCGGAGAGTTGAAACAAGCGGAAAAAGAGTGGGATATTGACATCATCGTAGCGCCAGTTTTGTCTTCCACCAGGCCTTGTCTTTACTGGAGAGCCGCACCACATCATCCAAGCTGCATTTCTTTGAGTCTGTAATAGGACAATAGGTCATCAGTGGATGTGGACACTGTTGGAACTATTCTTCTGCCGCAGGTGACACATATTGTCTGAGGCCTTCCCTTAGATTCTTCCTGGGAAAATGAGTCGCCAGGGGCAACTCCCACATCAACCGTTCTGAGCACAATGATCTGTCGATGGCTAAAAGATGCCAGGGTTGAGCAACCAACACCACAAAACATCATTGGTGTCGGGCAGTTTGCTATCGTCCATAAGCTAAACAATAAAATCGTTCGAAAAGTCGCCGTCCGACAGGTTCTACATCTACAGTGTCCAGGCCATTGAGATCGAGGCAAAGATATACGGCCATCTGGGAAGACACAAACGGATTGCTAAGTGCATCCGCTGCGGAGATGACTATATCGATTTGCGCTATGAGCCTAACGGGAACTTGGAGACCTACCTCAGAGACAATCCTTTTAGCAGATATTGAAGCCGCACCTTATGGAAACTCTCGCTGAGGGAACTCCCCGCAACGAATTAGCACGCTATGACACCATACTGGATCTTAGAGGTATGGGAGGATTGACAGGTTACAGGTTACTGGTCTGGATAAGTCTAGAAGGACAATGAGAACTGATTTGATGCGGAAGGTGATGTTAAGCATCCAGCTTTGTGGTAAGCCTTTGGTTTTGATAAAGTGGCATATCGCGCCTCAAGTACTCTGCATTTCTGGCTGGACGAAGTCAGCAAAAGAACCACATATGTGCAGGCCGAGCAAAGATAGATGGACATACGGATCACAACGCTCTAAGCGGATTCCACTCAAGCCCTTCTCTCCTCATCGATCCCCCTGTCCATAGTGCCTATTGAAGGGTACGTGCGCTCGCCAATCGCCCTTCGACGATTCATTTCTTCCACTAGTCTCAGCTGCATCTGCAGATCTTGTTGCTCGGCATCACCTTTAGGAGCTGGGAAATGCCCTGGAAATTCCATCTCACAACGCTCGTGGAGACACTGCACTTGATCGGTGTTCCAACCTTGCGAGTAGAAATGGCGTGAGATAGCTTCTTTCATCGTCTCGATATGAGCGACGAAACAAGAACACTGTGTATCAGTCCATTCTTGGGAGAACAAGAAGTTAGAAAGTCTCCTCTCGGAGGTAGTCAGGCTAGACGGATCGACGGCGTGAGGCTCACTGGAATCGATATCGCGTTGAGAGCGACGGAGGGGGTTTGGCTTGGGTTTGGGAGACTTGTGCCAGACAGAGGAGTCTCCTCGTCTGCGTCAACTGACATCTTTTGGCCTCTTTGTAGCTTGTAGAGACTGGACTGAACTAGGCTCCGAGTTGGAAAGGCTGGCGAAATAATGATTGATAATCAACTGCCACACAAGGAACGGATGTAGTATGAGAACGGAGGTGGGGGCGTTGCTTTATTTATCCGCTGAGATACCCTTGCACTACCACAACGCTTACAGTAACTTACTGGTAGTATTTGTACCATACGGAGTATGACCACTTGGCTTTCGCAAAGTTATATTTCGAGGACCATATGATGTAATACCAAGTATCCATGTTCCTTACATCCCATTCCTTTGTCAAATCTCACAATAGAAGACTATTTCCGGCCGGAAATCTAGGAACAAACGGTAATGCCAGTGCGGAGTGAGTAGTTGCAAGCATTATTCATGTGTGCACTAAGGAGAGCAAAGTCAATTTCCATCGCTGAATGTGACATGCTTAGACTCCAACAGCAAAGCGCCCTGGGCTGTTCTGATCGACAAATCCATCGAGAGTGGAGAAAATGCTCAACAGCAGAACCCGGCACTTATCAAGTGTGGAATTATCTGTGCTTTACACCTACACTGTCCGGAAAGGAGGGGCTCTCCTGGACCTTGAATCGATTACGAATGAAGTGAGTTTGTTAGGATCTGCGGAAGCTCGACGAGGCGTTCCATTTGCTCTGACTCTAAACACCTTTCAGGTATATCAACGGCGTGGACATTGTGTCTGCTGGAAGTCAATTTTGCATGAGTTTTGCTATAATCAACTGCATTCTTCCGCACCTTTATCCAACTGCCAGTTGCAGCAAGACCACTTCAGAACTTGACAAATCATGGGGTGTGTACGATGCCGTTATTACCCTTTTACAGGTGCATTTTTGCCATTGCAAGGATATCATGCTTGTGCTTTGGGCCAATCCAGATTTAAGCCTTTTCTAGGTAACAAACAGAGCAAGAACGCGATGCTATAATGGCTCAACTTGAGAAAGACCTCTGCCGAGCGGACGAGCTCTATTGCACTCTTGCTCAACAGGGGTGTAATTTTTCGATCTTTCCATCTCCGGTAGCATTCGAGTTGTATCTCGACCAAGCCAAGGAAACTGGTGGAGTATTTGAAGAGGGTAGCTCTGATCTCAACCGGGCTGCTGAATCTCGCGTCTGGCGCAGCGTGGAACTAGGTACATTAAAGGATGAAATATCGAGCAGCACAAGCACAGATGGGAAACCAGGCTATTGGATTCGAACAAGCCTCTTTGATTGGGTTGGGTGGGAAAGGAAGGATATGCGATTTGTTTAACAGGAGAGTAAGGGTATGAGTGGTTGGTGCTGAGCATGTACCGTAGCAAGACAAGGGGCAAGCAACGGAAACCATTATATTAACTTTCTAGAGATGACCCTAGGACTAATGGATTTTATTTCAGCGCGCCTAAACCATCTCTAATGCCATGTTTTTCTTATTTACATTTAGTGAAGCTCTGCAATTTCCAAACATATTCTACCTTATAGGCACTCCATCGTTGGAACATAACAGCCGCACTCAACACCACTGAAAATACAACGAGAAGAAACCATAATCTACCCCAGGTGTTCATGTTCAAAGTAGCTCTTCCGGCGGAATTGGAGGTTGACGCAGTCATGTTCGATGCAGCTCTCAGAAGGTCGGAGTGTTAATGTACAAGCAATAGCATGGGTATTAATAAAACCGCAACTAGCTAAGAGGTTTCTGACGGACTAAATGTTCGCGTCATGACACTTATTGGCTGCATAGCAGTGACTATATTCTCAAGGGGCTTGGAAGTAGTCCCCTCCACAATGATGGTCTCAGTTGATATGCTAGTGGGACTTAGGATGCCCGAAGAGCTGAGTCCATTGTTAGAATCGCGTACTGCGATTCCCCTTGTGGCCCATCTAGATGGGCAGTACAGGCCCGGCGAGAAATAAACCTGAGTCTCAAGTGTAGTTGGGTTCTCATCTGAAGTGGTTGAGAGGGATACTGTCCTAGTTGGAATGCAGTCACCACATCCCACTGTGGAGCACTGGACTGCATATTCCCAGACAGGAGCTGTGTTGTTAAGTCCAAGCATATGATTTCCTGTAGCAGTAGCGCAACTGGCGGGGCCCGTGAAAGTCATTGTCAAGGGGCCCCAGTTGGTGAAGGTGTACCCATCAGTGGTGGTGATGCTGGGCATTGTTCTTAAACAAATTCAGGATGAGTACTAGAAATCTTCTTAGGAGGAAGGATGTGAAGATGAAGAGGGGAAATGATTTTGATAGTGTTTAGGCTTCACACTAACTACTCAAACTGCTGCCCCTTGTTCGTATATGGATAGTGATTCTCTACATCTCGGTAGTATTCTTGACATCACGATGAGTTCGCTTATTTTATGCTGTATCACCAACCAATCTAACCTGTTTTGCATTGGCTGCCGCCCCCGCGTGATTTGTTGGCGTCTTCCGCTAGCTGAGGTCTAGGACTCCTCCAATGCGGCGCGTAGGCTCTGCTTCTGTTCTAACTCTTCCTACTTGTACTCGACTTCCCGCACCTGCCTCTTCGTTCTCGATGGCGGTCAACTTGGACCTGTTGGGGGTGGTGGGCACTTGGATAGCTGCTGTCCTTGGAATTATTGCGCTCGCCGGCATCTTGCCTGTCTATGTTCTCTACCGGCAGACGCAAACAGAGCGCCATATTGCGCTCAACAAGGTGCATGACCCTCATAAGACGTACATAACAGCGGGATACCCGCTATGGCTGGGGAGGCGGTTCTTTCGATCTTACAGTGTGCCTAACCTGGTAGACCCTCCAACATGGTCGCAGCTTACAGTTGTTGCAAGGCGACGCTGCGAGGGGTTTGGAACACATGTTTTACGATCTTTGACGGGGTGGGTGAATTTTGCAAATGTCCTGCAGATATACAACATCAAGCCAGCAGGTTCCAAGGGGAAATTGGCCTTTGCCCGTCAAGAAGCCTTACTGCCTGTCCATCGCGGTTGGTTGTTGCTGCTGGGAATAATCGACCGGTACTCGGATCAGATGAACCGGCCCGACAAGGGCCTGTTTGTTGGTGAAGCAGAAGAGGCAGAGATGGATGAGTTTGGGCCTTGGGCCATCTTTGGCATTAGCGGCGTACTTGAACATATTGTCGCTTCGGCTTTGCGGCAGAAAGATGTCGAGTCTGGTCCAGAAGTGGTGGATAAAGTAGTGTTTCGCATGCATTCCGTACAGCACATGGCCAGGGTATCGGATTCTTTTCTACGTGGCGACGATATGGCTATTCTGTCGTTGGTTGCCTTATATCTTGGCTATCTGGTTAGCGTTGATGGCAAAGAGCATTATGACCTTGAGACGCCGGATACCATGCTAACTGTGTATACTTCGGCGCACCGACGTGATTCTGGTGAGGATACTTCTCATAAGATCTGGATCTGGGACCAGAAACCAATGGACAGTCTACCGTCTCAACAAAGAAGACTGATGCAAGAGCTGGGAATCAAACTGCCGCGAGTGTTGAAGCTGAAGGAAGTCGTAGCTCCCAACCAAGCCATCTTCCACCAGATGCCCCGTGATGCTGCTCAAAGTTATCAAGTTATTTCGCACAAGGGGAAAGGAAAAGCCTGGATGACTCGGTCCAGTTTACATACTCTTGTGCTCGCGGTTTTGAGACTTAATATTACTCCGCAGTCGTTTCTTTTCAACAACCCGCCGCTTAACCAAGACATATTGAGCCATTTATTTTACTCGGGAAATTTACGGACCTTCGCCGAGACGACAGAGAAGTTTAGTAGGAACTTGGATGTCCTCACACAAAGGGAAAAACAGGATCTGGAACGATCCTTGCGGAATCTCAAAGAAAATGCACCCGAAGACGGTACCTGGATGGAATGGAGCCGTACAAGAATGGACGCCTGCATCTCACTGGACAAGTTGCTGAATGAGATTTGCCAAAAAAGAGGCAAGCTTCTCTGTTGCGTCATCTCCATCCTGTATATGCAAGAAGATGGCTTTCGATTTATATGCAATAGATACAGAGTATTCGACTACGATGACCCCGAAGTGCTTGCGAAGCAATTCATGGTGGACTTGTCGTCTAAAAAGGTTCTGGCGCCACTACCTTATATTGAAGGCGAACCTGAATTCGAGCAGTTCTATTTTGATTTCCCGACAGTCTTCTCGGACGCCGAGCTACTTGACGTCTGGCCGTCGCCTATGAACAGGTATCCAGTGCCTATTTCGTTGCCGCTCGCCATGATAGCATGTCTGCGGGGACACTTGAGGATGGCTATGTGGGACATGAGACTGAATAGCTCGCCACTGGCCGATTTCTATCGAACGCTGCGCAGTGGTATCGTGCATATTGTGCCCCAGGAAATGCCACCACCAGGCTCTCTCTCGACGGAATTCTTTCCTCCTCCTCGTACTTCTCCTCCTCCCCTTCCTGTTCCTCCTGAAGAGCCTGTTGTCCGTTTCGCCCATTACGAAAGAGGCTCCACCTACGATACATACCAAGATTCCCGAGCCAGCAGCTCTGACTATGAGCCGCGTCGGCGCCGCGTGGATAGATGGATGAGAACCTATGTCGAAAGCGTATATTCCTCGTCTGCTGACTCCGTCCAAACAAATTCCGCCATTACAGCATCATCCTTTCCCCGGAAGGCCACGCCGAGGATGGCTACGTGACCGCTCCAGAAGAAGATGCAGACGACGAGGTAACTGTTGTCATAAGGAAAAAACCACTACCGCCACCATTGCCAGAAAATTATGCCCCATCTTCTTCTGCTTCATCACAACACGCTGACCCAGCTATTCTCTCGCATGATGAAGACCCAAAATGCGCAGTTCGGCTTTCTGTCCTGAGAAACCTGTTGACTGAAGATGAGGCGGTCAGAGTAAAAGCTCTCGAAGACATCGAGAGATCTATAGACAGACAAAGAAAAGAGTGGCAGACGCATGCGGCAATAATAATGCCATCCAAATACCGAGAAGACAGGGAAAGGGCCTTAGCGTACGCTCTTGATCGAGAGTATCCTACTACGAGATCTGGTCAGCGTCGTCCATACAGAGGGTTCCCTTCTGACGGACCTAAGCGCAGGTCAGGGTCGCACCGTGGTGGCAAACAAAAGGACGCAGCTTCGATGGGCATACTTGACCAACGAAATAAAGGAATTACGGAAGAAGTAGTCAGGGGTGTGGTTGGGACAACACGGCGTCACCGGAAAGAGGATAAAAGCCTCCAGTTCGATGATATCCCGGTTAGGGCTCGCCGGTAGTGGGTAGCAATGATGTCTATGCATCAAGAGGGTACATATGTAAATAATTGCATAAATCAATGTCTCTAAAGAATACTGATTATTTTCCGGAGCGTGTGAACTTCTGTTCAAGAAACTCCTAGCAAACTAAACTATCCACAGCGGGATCACCTGTGATTTCCCAGGCTTGTAGGACTGAGCTGGGCACCTTTATATCTAATCAATCTTTATTTCAGCTTGCGCGTGCTTGACAAGCCAATAACAGCTATATATTAACTTCTGCATCCCACCTCCAAAATTAATATTTATGCGATGCACGCCAGGACTGAACTCTATGATATAAGTCTTGCTACTAGGGGTACTGTAATTGATCATGAGCGAATGAGACCCACAAGCTCAGTACCTAACATGGACCACGGTGCGTCTGAAACTATGGATATTTCTATTATGGGGAATTATTGCCGCAAAGCATTATTATTATTAAATATGAATGGCTGTGTCTGGTTCTCAGAGTACACAGAAAAGATACTTATCAGCCTGGGCAGCCTAAGAGCTGCACCAGCCTCCTTAACTATTTAAGTAATATAGAACTTAAGTAGTAGGTCTTTACATCGTGTATGTCTTAATAGTTTATTTTATAGAGAGAGAAGTTCTGAGTATATATAGTTATGCTAAAAGAGAATCATGCTCTGCTAACTATTTACAATAGAGATTCTAGTTATTGGTTATTACACTTTCTTCTAGCGGTGGCATCTACTAGCTACACACTAGTTATACTTAATATACCTCTTATAATAGAGATATTCTATGTGTGCATAGTGTGTCTGTTGACTATTCAGGCTGTAGATCACTATTAAACAGTATCCTGATAAGCCACCATAACCTTATAGTAAGATATAATGATGCATCTAATTAATAATAAAACTTATTTGAAAACAATATGATTATCCCAGCTTTCTCAAAAAAGAAAAGATGATTACAGAGCCAATTATCACTCAAGCGAAGCATACTAGTGGTCAAAACTGTCAAGTAGCTGCTTACCAGAAGTGTAACGACTTGTAAACTTGTTTAGAACTAACGAGCGACGAGTACCAAATTGGTTATGATAGTAAAGATATGAATTTCACAGAGAAGCCAGCAAGTTGGTTGATGTTGAATCCTTCCAACAATTCCTCATGGTCCTCACCCTCCTTTCCACACCGAATCTATACAACGCGAAAACATATCAGTGATGCTGGCCCAATAATCCTGCGGTAGATTGGTCACATACCATTCCAACCCAATCGTAATCATTCTAGCACCTGGCTGCGCCATCATTGGTACCGTGGCATGTGGAAGCATGACAGTCCTGGATCTCTGTCCATTTACCACCTCGGCACTCGACCTTTTTGAACGAATAACCATGAGCAAAGCTGGTCTAATCTTACAGCCAGGACATGTTAACATACCACACCAGTCCTGTCGCAGCCGCAGAAATGCCTATCTCCGTTCGAGGCATTGCAAGGACTGTTCGTACGCCTTTGGTCACCGCCATAGCCAGCACCGCAGGTGTCCTGGACCTGGAACTCGCCTCGAGGGAGTGTGGACGCACTGACGGCAGTGGCAGCCATGAGAGTGCAGAGGAGAGCTGTGAACTTCATGATGAAAGAGTAGTTGTTTGTATATTGAAACGGGTTGTCTTGATTGAATTTGACTGTTGAGGAAGGCTTGATGTCCAAGAGTACTGAGTTTCTAGAGGAAACATGGAGGTATTTATACCTCTTCGAAGCAAAGGTCAAGTCATCGTCCCAGTTGAGTTACATAAGAGTTAACCAGGATGCTGATCACTCCTTCTACTGAAGGGACTGTATAGTATCATCCCTGCATGGCTGTCATGCTCCAGCCTGCAAAAGCACTGAGAAGGAGAAAGTCGAGGTGCAGAGATTTGTGGAGATGAATGCAGTCAGCTTGAGTTGTTCTAACAGCCTGTTGACCACCAACAGCCCGAGTTATCTCAGCACTTTAGTGGATTGACAACCGACAGATGCTACAGTAAGTGCAAGGATCAGAGTAAGCCTGCGGACCGGTGGTCTTGAGTACAGGGCAGTAATAGGGTCGACAAAAGGTACCATTAACCAATTGTGTTGCCAGCATGGACTCGTCGTTATGCAGTCTTTTTTGCCCCCTCTCCGGTATTGCATCTGTTGGTCTGGGTACAGGTCCATCTCTTCTGATATGTGGATTGTCTCACTCGCAGGATACCATCTGCTTTTGGTGCGTACATTCGATGAACCGCAGTCTTTCACCGACAATCAAGCCTAGAAAGAGGAGCCAGACAGCTTCTTGCCATTATGCTAGGAAATCTGGTCCAACTTATTTTATTCGTAGACTTGGTAAATTAAGCATAGATACCTTTATGAATTTAATGCAGTACTTCAGACAAGTGGTACATGCGTCATAAGACGTCCAGCATAGCTTTCTGATTTGCTGGAGTCGTCTATCAGATCTCGTATGTGGAGCGAGCCTGAAATATTGAAGATGCCACGAGTCATGCCATGCCCAGTGCATTGCGCACTATGCGCGTAAGCAACTAGCAAGCCATGGCCCCAACTGCCCCCTGCCCTCTGACTCGACTGAGACGACGCCGCAAGGTACTCGTAGATCGAATAGACGTGGCGTACAAGGCCACCGATCAGGGAGAGTGCCCCCGTGAGCATGCGGGGGGCTGCCATTCTTCTTGTTTACCCCTGTTTCCTTATCCGAGGATACGACCAAACTGGATGGTGATGGGATAGTAAAGGCACTAGGATAAACACAGATCCTTTTACTCAGACAACTTTTATGCAAATTATGGAATCACCTGATCAATTTACACCACAAACGCTTGGATGAATATGTTCCTGGGTAAACATGATCCCTTAATCTGCTTAAAGTAGTATCTGAGTAAAAAGGTGGTGACCGAGAACTGCCAATGGCCCAGGCAAGTTATACAAAAGGATCTTGATCATGATACCAATTATTGGTCCATTGAATTATACATATTAACGAAGAACCTCCTGCGACGGTTGTCGATCACACACTAACCAAGCCTGCCATGCAGGGTTCCCGGCCCTAACTCCTAGCCCATAGTTGGTGGCGAAGACTCTTGTCCTCCATTGCATGATTGTGGCATAGCCCTGCTTGGCATCTGGCCTTCGCATAGGACGGGCCCTAGGATGGGGAATAATCCTCCAATGCGGATCAACATCTTGAGATCGTTAATATAATAAAAGACAAGAGGGTTACATCCGGCGCCTCCGGAACTTATTCCTGTTTGATCTAGAGTACCTAGAGTGCTGAATAACTTGAGCCCAGCCCTAGGCAGGGGGCCTAAGAAGTGGGCCTTGGCTGAATTATGTGCCTTCCGAAGTCAGGCGATGTTAGTAGGGAGCATAAATAAATATCAAGCAGTGAGCTGGCGCTAGCAGCACCTTGACTAGCGCGGCGGGGTACCCCTAATCAAGCTGAAACCAGGGCGGCGCCTTAAACAAAAGTCCCCTACCCGAGGGCACTAGCCTGACCAATAGCTAGGTGCCTACGGGTACAACATAGTTACAGTAGAAGAACCTCGCCAACACAAGCCTCGATATGTCGGATACTCCGATTAGGTTCCGCCAACGCCATGATGAGGCTCAGAATTGAGGAATATGCTGTCCCTCACATGATAGGCCAGGCCAACACAAATACTACTTTGTCTTTTCTTCCGTTGTCAACGATGAGAAAGCCAGTTGGTCCTTACAGGATGACCTACATTTTCTATCTGCGAACTAAGTCCTTCTGATATAAGAGAAGTCTTCAGTGCCAGAAGAAGCCAGAGTATTTTATTACCATCAGAGAAGATTACAGAGGCAGCAAAAGTCCGCTGATTGCGAGGCTGTCGAGTGGCGGTACCATTGGTTAATTGCTATTCTAGGTTAGGCAGTTAGAGCGTGGTGCGTTTCCCGGTCATTGGTCGGCATGTCTGGAATGAGTGACAATCAACTGGGATATCGCAGTATTCCTTGTCCCTGAATGAGACTTACTGCGGCTCTAGCAACGAATAGACATCCAGGAGACGCAAAATTATCCACATGAAGAGGGGATACATGCGGAGAAGGCTGTAGTCTTGGCTTGTCCGCTGTCAATCCAGAAGACCAAGTCTTCCTAGCTGTGTAAAAACCTGCCTAATTTCAGAGGACCCTACTAAGCTGGATCATTGGGTACATAATTAACCAATAAACAAAAGATGCGAGGGCTGCTCAAATGGTCTGGAGATTCTCGCATCATGCGATAACATGGCTCCACTGCCCAGCAGTCAAATCACTTTGTTTTCACCTGCACATTGTCGTGAGAGATGTGTCATTCTTCATTTGTCCCGAGCTTTCCCAGAAAGTGAAATCTCACCCCCTCGGTGACGCCGTTTTCGAAGTACCTTGGCTGATTTTATGATGATTATGGTGAGCAAGACCGACAGAATAATGCTGCATATCATCGAGTAGCTTGTGAGGCCAATATGTCTGGAGTTTGGTGCGTGTTTGCCTTTGCCATTGTCAATGGGATCATCGACACCTTGGACCGGTGGTCCGTATATTGGCTGATCCCCTGGCTCGTAGTGCTCATCTTGTCCGCGAAGCCATCGTTCGTAGTCGGTTTCGGGTCTAGAGAATTTCTTCGGCTTTGCTGAGGCCATCTGCTTTGAAAATCGGTCCACTTCTGAAAGATTCCCTTAGATGTAAGCGCAGTGATGGGCGTGTAGGGAGAGTATTGGTTCTTACCGTACAACAAACAGTTTTCGTGGATTCTTAGATCTAGCAGACTCCTGCCGAAGATATTTGAAGCTGAAGGTGTGGATTTTACTATCCTGGGAGCTGAGCTAGCCGACAAGATACAGAAAGCCCCTCTCCGGAGAGGTCCAGATCCCTGTACGTTATGACGCTGGACCCGCAGCCCAACAATTTCCGTCCTTCAAAACTCCCGTTCCTTCCTCGGCTATTAAAGATACAGAACTGAAGCAGAATTCAAAGCTCAATCGAGCGTTACCCGCAAATGACAGTTGCTGAAACCGAGTACAGATTCGGAATGATGGTACTTTCAGCACTTTTCTTTCCAGCAATCTTGGGGCCAAGGCGCAGCCCTAAAAATTGAGAATCGCGAAGATCCCCAGCAGACTGGTGGATGAGGTGTTTATGTCATTGGATTTGTTTCACCGAGGCATAATCTCGTTGTCATCCGGGTTATCCAAATGCATACATGACACAGCACAACAAGTTGCTTAGCATTATTTAATCTGAAAATAGATACCCTATTAAGAGCTCTTGTTCTAGGGTCACCCTAGCAATAGTCAGCATGCTGAGCCTCCCCTTTAGTTAGCTGGCAGGAGTCAGAATGACGATAGCAGCACCTACAGATCTCTGAAGAGCCAGTTAGATTGGCTTTCTGTGTCGTCCTACCACCGTTGCAGCTAGTCCTGACATGGATCAGTAACCAATGATTAGTAGTACATAGCCGTCAGCGTCATTGTGCATAGACACCTTGGACGCATGGCTAATTTCACCTTCCAGGCCAAAAAATGCAGAGATTCTAACAAAACACTCACCAGAAGTGGTGGTCTCCAGCCTGCCAATTACCCACACGGATATACTGGCCTGCCCAGCCTGTGGTCACGTCCAGGCTACAGGCTAGTCTGCAGGCAATACAATGAAGTGCTTTCATACCGTCAGGTACCGCACTGGTGGAGAGCGGGCAGCGGACAGCCTAGTTTGTATGCAACACGCGCACAACGCTGTACATAAGCTCTGTATATTATTAGGTGGAGGACGCAGCCTTGCCGGCGCATCAGATGCAACCAAAGCCGAAGCTGCTGACGTCTCAGGTCCACTAAACAGGCATCCATGGCTGTGCCGAGAACTCTGTCTGCGGATTATGAGCATTATTCCTACCAAATCCTATACACGGTTTGCCATGAGACAAGATAATGAGAACTTTGGTATTTGTGCACAACTGCCTGGGAATATCAGACGCAAGACTTCGTCAGAGACCCTAGCACAGGGTAAGAAGAAGAAAAGGTTTCGGATATAAGATGTATGGTGTATTGAGCCTGACTGATCTCGGATAAAGTGATGGGTTAAAAAAATCCACTTTCCTGGGTGGCCTTACATACTGCGTAGTCCGCCATGGTTTGCAAATTATATCAGGCAAGGGAAGCACCGTCAGAGCCCACCGTTGGTATCTACTTCTAGCAACCTTCAAAATGGGTTACCCCCGTCTACACGTTCTTTTGGAATACACTGTACACAGACATGGAACCTGCGGGGTTGGCTGTTGTGGTCCTGGGCTTTTTTGCTCTATTCAACTCCTGCTTGGAGGCTGTCGAGCGATTCGACTCTTGGAGAAATTTTGGGGATGACTCACGCTGCACTTTATGAACAATCGTTTGGAGGCCGAAAAATGATAAGGCCAATATGATTACTTTGAGCAAGCCCTTGGTCTATTTTGTTGGTGTATGAGGTAAGTCATGGGAGAAGTTCACTCTGGACCGCTGGCATGTATGCTGGCCGATATTGAGGTCAGTTGCACATCAGTGGTTGAAATATCGGCTTACATTGACATATATATATAAGGCCGGATCCGATGTCATTTGAATTTTACTCTTAACCCTAGTACAAGTCAGAGCACAAGCCACTTCTTATATTTTAGTACGTCCGGTCAGTTCCATATGACTAGACAACAGGACGACTTTCTTGCTTTATCCAATCCATGCAAACCTTAGAGCACGAACCATTTCAAGTACTTTGAAATGAAACAGAGCAAAGGATTCTCCGAGGCCGCGCCGTCCACCCTCTGACATCCTCTTCGATCGCGCTTCGGCAGCTTTGTTTATATATATATCAAAGCCCCACTCCCTTGCAGCAACCAAGAAAATCTGGAGCTTGTTTCAGTGACGATCCTGCTCCGGAACTAGGTGATTACTTAGGAGATCTGAGTATAATTCTGCCTCTTGCAATGTGTTATAACCTGGAGCAACAGGACGCGGCGTTTTCCCCTATGCAGAATCTCGTTCGCGCCTTTGGCTACGATAGCCGGCACCTTGAAGATCATTCAGGGTCTGTAGCCTGTCGACAAGCGCAAACACGCTCGAACCTCAGCGAGTATAGCCGAAGTGTGTATACCCCAGAGACGAAATAGCATCGCGCACATCCCGTAGTCTTTTGATTGATAACACCTTGGAGTATTTCGCTTCGGAGGGAATGGTTCTTGCAAAGCTTTTAGTGCAGGTCCCACCCATCTCGTGCATCCTATCTGTCCACCAGCTTTAATAGTCGTTGATGCGGAGAGGACAACTCCCGTAGGATATAAAAACTGTCTTCATCATGTCTCCAAATTATGTAGAGCCACCGACAACTGAGATATTACTTGAATTTAGTATGAACGGCATTACATTCGGATCACTGTATGCTCCTCCGGAACAGTCACTGTTATTTGGTCTCGGCGACACGAGATCTTCGCTGAAATACTCGTATTATTCAATTATGGCATAGCTAGCCTCGAAGGTATTATAATATAAATGTACATTGCCTAGCAGGACAATAGCAGACCACCAGAGGTATATATGGAGACAATATGGTGTAAGATCCGAAGACGCGCAGGAATTGTACACCACAGAGAGACGTCATCTGGACCTCGCACCCTTCTTACAGGGCAAGAGCGAGAGCCAGTATACCAGCAGCACCGGCAAAGCTGACGGCCACGGCGCCAGTGGGAGCAGCGTTCGGAGTCGAGGTCGGGGTCGAGGTTGAGGCAGCACCGGCAGAGCCCGAGGCCGTGGTCTTGGTGTTGGTGGAATGAGTCTCCGAAGCAGGAGAAGTGACGGCGGGAGTGGTAGTAGTAGAACCGGCGGGGTAGCAGCAGGGTTACCGCTGGCGGTAGCGGTGGGAACAGCACCGCCGAGCTCAGCCATGACAGCGCTAGAAGCCCAAGCCTTGACGCTGTCGGGCAGGTTGCGGTACCAGTCCGGTATCTGTCCTTGCTCGATCTGATCGACGATGCCGGCGGCCTGGGTAGGGTTGGTAAGGGCCGCAATGACAGAGGGAGGAATAGCCGTCATGAGGACGTCGAGGACGGAGCTAGGAATGGAGTCCATCAGAGCGTTCAGGTCATCGCCAGCCTGAGGGGCCGGGGCAGGATTGGCCACTGCCAGAGCGGCGAAAAGGAGGGTAGCGAGCGCCTTGAATTGCATGGTGGCAGTATAGATAGAGAGCGAGCAAAACGGATGGGAATGAACGACGGTAGAGACTGAGCAACTTGTCGAATACAACCGCACGGGGGAGAGATGGTCTGCTTTATTTATTTCTCGGGAAGCGGCTGGACCCTGGGGCCCTTGAAGATGATTAGATGAATAACTGAATACGATCCATCGTCTGGATTACCCCTTTTCCGAAGTTTATCCACCCGTTTGAGCCTCGTTCTCCACCAATAAAGTTGTGCCTTTTCCAGAGCTGTACAGTCTAGATCCCGCGCCGTCTTGAGTTAAACCGCGGTTTTCCCACGCTATCGATACCACTAACATCTAACCTGCTGCTGTGGTCCAATCAAATGTGGCGGTTGGCGTTTCATTAGCTTAAAGGATGAGGAAATGGACAGGATTGGTCATTTTGGAGAAATAATGGGTACTGTGAAATTGTCCAGGATCTCAGGGATTTGGCAGGAACAGAAGGTGATCCTTCACACAATCCCTCTACACTGTAAGGTACGGAGTAGATAGGAGAGGCATCCTCTTATGGCTAAAGACTAATACTGCCCAACATCAGCACGTATTCCTTCGAGAGACAAACATCCAGCAATTCCAGCAATCGGTGGAGGGTTTGCAAAATGTCCTGGCAGAACTGCGAATTGATATGCGCCACTTTTGAAACTATCCAAAATGTAAACCATCGTTACAGATCATAGTTACAGGTCATAATCTTCTGCACATATACGTCATATATACAGCTAGTAGACATATCTGAAAGTCTTATTCTCCCTGTCCGTCAACCCGGCCCACTTGGTGTCATCCTGTGTCTGACCCTCCTGCCCTCCTGCAGCACGGTCCCTGCGCTTGTTCTCCCACACATAATACAGGAAGAGGACGAAGGAGAGCATGGCTGCTGCAGCCTGCGTCGCTAGCACTGCAATCTTAGCCGGGTGATAATCCGGCGCATCTCGCGCCTGGAACGTCTGAGGACCAATGATGTTTCCGACCGAAAAGGAGCCGGCCACGAGCGCACTGGCAAACGCACGCTTGGTATGTCCGGCGCAGTTGGCCGCGGTCCATTGGTAGAGAATGGGGAGGGTGGCGACGATGGCGTTGACGAGGTAAATTCCAATGAGAACACCTGCTTTGTTATGCTTGGGGAGGAAGGAGAGCAGACCGCCGCCGAGGATGCCGGGGAGGGTGGAGGCGATCAGCCAGGCCCAGCGGTGGGAGACTCGGCGGATCCCGAAGCCGACGAGGAGAGTGAAGAAGATGCTAACAATGCCCGAGGGCATATTGAGCAGGGCCGCGTGCGGACCCGAGAAGCCGAATCCGGCAATCAAGGTTGCCGAGTACGAGGTCACCACTCCACTGGAGACGGAGATCTGTGCGGTACTGTGTCAGTGATCGGAAAAAATGCGTGATAATCAGGGAATAGCGAACATACCAGCATGGTGATGATCATGATGAACCACAGCTGAACGTCGCGTACAGCCTCCCAGATTTGTTTTACGTTAAAGTCACTGCTCCACACGCCGGTCTGGTTGACACTGACGTGGTTCAAAAGAGCGACCTTCTCGCGGTCGGTCAGCCACTTTGCCTTCATCGGCGCGTCGGGCAAGAAGATGAAGGTCAGCGCGCCAGTAAGGGACGTGACAAGTCCGAGAACGAGAAACATAACGCGCCACCCTTGGAAAGACGGGTTCTTCACATGCTGGAAGCCAAAGGAGATAAGACCACCCAGGATCTGTGCCACACCCAGTCCGACATACCACAGCGTGAATCGGGGCGCCGCTTCGCTTTTGGTGTAGTACTGACTGCTCAGCAGCATCAGAGAAGGGCCAATCGTGGCCTCGAAAATGCCGAGGAAGATGCGAGAGACCAAAAGAGTACGATAGTCACGGGCGCCGGCACAGGCCGCCGCAGCAACACCCCAGAGGAAGACATTTGCTCCTAGCCATTTGGCTGGAGGAGTCTTTTGCAGGAGAATTACTAGAGAACATCATGGAGATGAGTAGCATGCGGGGCACCGGAGGGATGAGACATACCGAGCGGAGCCTCCGCGATCAAGTAGGCAATGAAGAACCAAGTCGCTGCATTGGAAAAATCATTGCCGACTAGCTTGAGGTCTTTCCTTATTCCCATCACAGCAGCATACTGCCGGAATAATCAGAGAGAAAACTTTGTGCCCAGGGGAGAGAGTGGCGTACATTGAGCATCACCTTGTCGAGGAACTGCAGAACATAGCAGCAAAACATGAAGGGGATAATGCGATAGTCGATCTTGCGTCGCAAAGCCGCAAGATCGACAGTCGCCTCATCTTGAACATTGGCATGTTCATCCAGATAATTCAAGGCATCATCGCGTCGTCCATGGATAGGATGGGAGTCTACATCTGGCCTTTTCTCGGCCATTTTGACGATAGAAAGGCGACGGAGAACGGAGAAAAGAAAAAACGAAGGACGAAAAAGCAAAGGAAAAAGCAACACGTCAGATGTGAAACGAGAAGTGGAGGGTTAGTAGTACAAAGGATGAGGGGAGGGATGCAGGTCACAATGCTGATCAGCTATCTAAAGTACGTAAGGCAGTACGTACTGAAGATGCTCCCGACTTTAAAGGATGGGTTGGGGGCCAAGCGATGGTGGGGTTAGAAGGATGCACCAGTCTTACTTTTTTTTCCTCGCATGTTTTACTTTGACTAGACTGTAGGGATCATCTTGAGCAGTTGAACGTGCAGATATCCCGATCCAGCTAAACACCGGCCGTAGTAGCGCAGAAGAATGCAGCTTTTGGCCAGGGTCCCCGGTCTAGCGCTACAAGCACACAGGTGCCCAGACTCTAGATAGTCATGGCTGGCGCAAAGACTAGAAGCGTTGGTTTCATTGCTCTGAAAGAATTCATTTAATTATCTCGGGTATTTTCCGCGGAAGAAATTAGTTTTCTTGGAAGCCCAATCCTTCAGGAAGAAACAAGGAGTGTAGTCCGCACGGAGATCGAACAAATTCATACTCGGGTGTATTTTCCAGCTGATGCGGATTGGACTTTTAATAAATCTCCCATCATGGATGGTTATACAAAACAATGCGATATATGACTGCTGATCTTATTATTTCCTCATCCAACATCACCTTTATGTGACGCTCAATATGGGCTGGGTACACAATGCTTCGCCGGAGATCGACGCCCAGTCCAGGTATCCCGTCATCCTGGGAGTGTGCATTACTCTGACTCTGTTGATGGTCATCACCGTTTGCCTGCGATTGTTCGTGCGTATCAAGCTGGGGAGATTCGACGCTGCCGACTATGTGATGGTGTTTGGAATGATCTTCAGTGTCGTTTACAATGCTCTTTGTATAGCTCGTAAGTCCATCATCTGGCCCACATAACCCATGAGCCATGACCCATGCTCACAACAGCAGAAAGCCGTTATGGACTGGGGTTACCACTGGCTTTGCGGCCAAAGACAGACCTTCCAACGTACACAAAGGTACAACTCATCCGTTCATACTCGATTAGTTCTTTCTGACCAGTAATGCAGCTCAACTACGCCGGTCGGCCATTCTACCAGCTCGGAATCGCCGGTTTCAAAGCCGCACTGTGCATCAACTACCTTCATCTGCTCGAAAAGACGTCCAAGCGCTTCTACCGCATGTTGGTCTGGGGGGTGATCGTACTGTCGACCTTGGGACATGTGGCTGGCACACTGGTTCTGATTCTAAACTGCAAGCCGGTAAATTACTATTGTTCCGCACGGTGTCAAGAGTTGTGCCTAACCGGATCCAAATCGATAGGTCGAGCGATCCTGGAATCAGACCATTGCTGGTAAATGCCTTCCGGTAGGACCGACCTTCTACGGTCTTGCAGCCTTTACAATCATATCCGACGTGTTCGTCATCTTCCTGCCGATTCCATTGCTACTCCAATTGAAAGTGAAACCGGCACAGAAGGCAGGAGTGGTGTGCTTGTTCCTGCTCGGGTTGTTTACTACCCTCTGCTCCATTCTACGCCTGACTCAGATTCATCGCGTGGTGGCCATAGATGGTGATTCGACCATGTTAGTCCTGTGGGGCACAATCGAATTCAATGTCGGGGTGAGTTGGACGTTAAGCGCAAAGATAGAACGTGATCTGACCGATGTCCAGAATATCGTCACCTCTCTTCCATTCCTTACGCCCATTCTCAAGATATGGGCCCGCGACTTTCACTCCCGCAGTGGCGGCGAGCTTCGCAAGAACACCGGATACTCATTGCAATCATACTCCAAGAACCGACAGTCGCAATTGAGATCCGAAAACTCCAAGAAGCCAGTCCTTGTTCAACGGACGCCCAGCGAGGAGCTAATCCTCGACGCTGACGATTCCACTGCTCGAGCGAACGCCGAGATCCACGTCACGGTCGAGTACCGTGTCTCACACGAGAACGATAAATGATACGTGGGGACCATTTCCGTTTCTCTGTATGTTCGACCATTCCTTCCTTTACTTTTTTTCCTTTGGTGTCTATTTGTTGTGAACGACGTCATTTTGGCCGACGGATAGTTTGATCGATCAATACCATGGCCCAATCCCTCTAGAATGATTTTGACAATATGCCCGACAGCACGAGAAGATAAGCGATGGATCTTCGACTAAACTACCAAAGTAAGCTGTGTCCTAGCCTGAGGTCCGTCGTCGAACCCAATTTTTTACTTTCTGCGGGTCTCTGGCGGGACTCGGATTACTGCCAATTCAGCCTATTAGGCAACGGAGACAAGGTTCCGTTCAACCGGGCATTAGATATCAATTAGGAATTAACCGAGAAGACCATGCGATAGATACTGGCATACTGCTGGTCCTTCAATTTGAAGTGACAGGGATCAACAGCCAAGGTTCGCCGGCGTCTTCCTGGCGTCACTCTAAAGACAACACTAAACCCCTAGTGATATAGGCTGTAGCCTGTGACCAAGCAAGACATTGGTCCAGCCGTATTATTAATTTATTTGAGAGTTGGTTGGAAATGTCCTATTGACTCATTGAGTTTCATTGTCACGGTTTGAAGGATTTCCTTATCCCAATTCCCAACCAATCCCGCTATGAATCCATGCTGCCATGCATCCTTCCAAATCTACGCAGCCAGCCTATGGTCTACACACGTGTGATTGCAATTAAATCTCGCAACACAGGGTACTAGCACGGGGTAAGTCCGGTTATTTGCCCGGCTGTCCAAGGATCATCCGGTGGACTTTTCAGGCACCCAGTCAGCCAGTCATGACAGGGGCTGTGTAAATGTCCGAATGGTCCCATTATCGCCCACTCACCACCACGCCACTTGTCCCAGAGTCAAAAGTTTCTTACGGCTGACAGTTATTCTTCGGGCCTGATATCCATTCTATTTGACTATCTACTTACCAAAATCAGGGCAGAACGTTAATAGCCAACTGCCAAGTCAACAGCATGTCTGGTCTACCCATCCTCATCATTGGTGCAGGGATCAGCGGTCTGACCCTGGCCCAGTATCTGCACAAATCAGGGGTCTCATTCCTCATCTTTGAGCGGGACTCCTCTATCGATATCCGGACCGGGGGATGGGGTCTGACGCTGCATTGGGGACTGCCGATCCTGCGGGAAATGCTGCCCGAGCATATCGTCGCACGGTTACCCGAATGCTCAGTGAACAAGGAAGCTTCCGAGAGTGGCGATGTCGGTCGGTTCCCGTTCTTTGACCTCAGCTCCGGATCGGCGCTGTTCGAGGTCCCGGCTGCGGAGAGGCTGCGGGTGAACAGGGGGAGATTGAGGGAGCTGTTGGCAACGGGGATTGACGTCAAGGTCTGTCTTTTGAGGTCTGTAGCTTTCTAAAAAAACTAATGGAAGCAGTGGTCCAAAACAGTGGTAGACGTCACATCGACAGAGGAGAGCGTCACGGCGCACTTTGAAGATGGTACTTCCTACAAGGGTAGTGTTCTCATTGCCTGTGATGGCGCCAATTCTCGCATCCGTAAACTGGCATACCCCGACTCGTATCAGATGAATCCGCTCCCTGTGCAGCTCCTTGGAGTGACAGTCCGGTATTCGCCAGAGCAAGCCGCCTGTTTCCGGGCTATGGACCCTTATATCTTCCAGGGAGCTCATCCGGAATCGAACGTCTTCTTATTCTTCAGCTGTATGCATGTCTTCTACCTGTGTTTCTTACCGCTAATACTCTGCAGTCCTCGACACCCCGAACAACTTTGACGACAGTACTGATGCCTACGTCTGTCAGATCATCGTCTCATGGGCCGATAATAAAAACATCCCGCTCCCACCGGACAATGCTGGACGGATTGCATTGATGAAAGAGTTGACAGCCAACTGGGTCGAGCCATTCCGGTCGCTCGTCCACAACCTCCCTGACGATTCAGAGGCACGCGCAATCCGTGTCCAGGACTGGATCTTCACCCCGGGAAAGCGTCTTCATCCGCGCGTAGCGATGATGGGTGATTCGGCGCATACTATGACCATGTGTAAGATCTCGCGCATGACTAGGAGAATTACGCTAATATGGCCATCTAGTCCGTGGCGAAGGTGCCAACAGCGCCATCGCCGATGTTCGTGACCTCGTCCGGCGAATCAATTTCGCCTCGTCGGAGTAAGTCCTGTACCCGCATCGTCTGAACTGAGAATTCTGACTGTGTACAGCTCGCTATCATATGATTCCCTGCGTCGCTCTATCCAAGCATACGAGAATGATGTTTTTAGACGGGCGGAGGTGAGTGTTCTGAACTCACGACAGGCCTGTCTCGATGCGCACGATTACCCAAGGATCTTGAATGGAAGTCCGCTCGTGGCGAAGAGAGTGCTGGACAGCGAGTGGCATAACCATGAGGATATGAAGCCTCCCTCGATCTCAGCGTTGTCACACTGTCGGGAACTGGCGATCGACGGTAGATCGCCCACAAACCGAGGATATGTCCCTAAGCTGTAATCTTGCGTAGCGTTCTGTAGCAGCCTGTACTATGACAGCAGTAAGGGGGTCATTGAAGCCTCGCTTTTTACTGCTAAATAGTCCCAAACAACCTCGGAACGAATGATGAATGATGATGGGTGGCTAAGGCCGTTAACCTTGCTATAAGCGACCTAATCTGTTCTATAATCATTGACGAATAATGCAGGTCAATAGTCATAGATGTGACTTGGTATCCCCTGGACCTCTTCGTGCAAATATCCATCCCAAGGACGCGAAGGCCTACAAGTGAAATATCGACATGAACAGAGTGTAGTCACACTCGGATCCCTTACAAAGCCTCCGGCAGTTGACACGCCGCCGAAATGTATTTCTTCCAGGATTTTGATTCACAAGGACTGACTGATACGACAGCGACTCCCGCGACCTCGCCGACACGGAGCAGGCCGAATTTTCGCCCTCAACCATCTCCGTCAGTCCATCCCACTGACTTGCCTACCCTTCGGTAGAACATCAACATTAACGGATCAGTGCTCCAGATCAAGTGGGCAGGTCTAGTAACAAAGAAACTCGTTCTACGTTAGGAGATGGGCACCAAAATAAAATGTGGCGTTGCACTAATCATTTCCGCGTTGACTTCCTTTGTTACCCTCGAGACAATGAGACCTCAAGGCAGTGCACGACGACTATGAAACACAATATTTATCGTCGGGCCTCATGAAATACAATTTACCTGTGAGTTGTCTCCTTTCTCAATGCCATGATGCTACAGTTATCAATCATCTTCCTGGCCGTGTTGCTGTTATTGCAGTCCAGAACAACTCGCGCAACAGCCACACTACAAACAGCGATGACTCCATCCTCGATGGCTCCTCAGCCTACGCATACTGTCAAAGTAGGACCGAAAGAGAGCCCGCATCAATACTCGCCGCACAACATCACCGCCGCTGTTGGCGATGTCATCGTCTTCGAGTTCTACCCGCGCAACCATTCCGTCGTCAAGGCGGACTTTATGGCACCTTGTGTGCCTGCTGTGGGGGAGATCTTCAACTCGGGCCAGTTCAACACCTTTAAGAAAAATAGCCATGGGCAGCTGGAAGGAGATGTTAGTGAATTGCCAGGTGCTGATATCAAAAGCTAACGGTTTTAGCCTCCCACCTGGTCCCTAGTCGTAAACGACACCGAGGTATGTCTTGGCCACAAAGGCCCGGAATCTGTTGACTGACTGCAATTACAGCCCACATTCTTCTACTGCACGGCAGTCGACTCCTGTCTCGTCAATGGAATGGTGGGAGTAATCAACCCGGTAAGTATATCCCCCATGATCAAAAGCCCATGCTTATAGCAGTAGAACGAAACCATGACCTGGGAAGCACAATTCGCCCAAGCAAGACGATACCCGTACATGCTCGTCCCGGGACAATCGCCTCCAGCCGAAGGAACAGGCTACTCGTCCTCGGCTACCAATACCCACAACAAGACCTCTTTCAGCGGTGGCGCCATAGCTGGTACGGTGATCGGCGGGGTTGCCTTTGTTGGCATCCTTGTCGTCCTTGCGATCACGCTGCACCGGAACAGGTATAAACAAGGGACATCCTCGCAGGTCGGACGGATGGAGCGGACGGCTCATTGGGCTCTCTTTGGTGGTCATGGTGAGAGAAAGAGTGAGCAGGGGCTTACGGTGCCGTCTTCAGTTGCAGGCCATGGTACATTGTCGTCGAGCTCGGGCGCTTCGCCGCCTGCTGTCTCGCCTCCTCTGCAAAATGTTGGATATTGGAACTGGGAGACCGCAATGAAGCAGCCACCGCCGCAGGAAGAGATTCGTCAGCCGAGTGAGTTGGAGGCAACGGGTGGTGTGGGTGGGAGGCCAGGAGGAATGTACTACGGATGGAGGTGATGTTTTTCCAGTTCTTCAGATGTTCGCCCTCCTGTATTCTTCTTGTCATGTTTCTGATGTTTTTGTATTCTGCCATTTTTGAGTTCTTCAGGCGATGGATGAACCCCACAAAGCCACTATGGATATTGACTCAGTGGGCTACAACAACGCTTTCTTCATTATTTATTGTAAATACTATACATATCCTCATAATCATTCATCAGTTGATTGTATCAGAGACTCCCTATGGAATCTCATCATAGACTCTATCGCCCGGCTTAGGCGGCTCCAAGAAATCCTGTGGAATCTGAGCCGGCAGCTGATTCTTCTCAGCATACTGGCGGATAGCTTCAAAGTTTTTGCACTGATGCTCTGTGTTGAAGTCCACATACGCCTCTGGGTGATCGGGATGGATCCAGACCTGACCGAGGACTCCAGTATCAATGGTGCACATGAGTTGTTGTCGTAGGATATCCAGACAGTGGGCTAGCGGATTATTGTCAGTCTTAGTTCTTCAGGAGGAACTGCCACGTGGAATACTCACAAACATGTCGTCGGACGATAAAATCGTCGTTCTTGAAAGCGCCTTGGCCGAGATTGTGGTAGTAATCGTAGTTGTAGTAGAGTGTTTGGCGCAGTAGATTCTTCACAGGTCAGCTTTCATCTCGATATGACAGGAATGAAGACATACTAGACAATGTAAATGATGGAAGCCCTCTACATTCGCCGGATAGCCTCCTCCATACTTCTGGTTGATTTTGACCTGGTCTTGCGCCAGTCCGGACTTTTCTGCTACTTCGGTAGGAACACGCAAACTTCTATCTGCTCATGGTTAGCATTTTGTTTATCTCAGGGTTATCTGTCTTACAATTTACACCCAATGCCTCCCATGCTGCGTCGACCTCTGGACTGGCATCTTGCCGGTAGATGTTCTCCTTGAGCAGCGAACCATTAAACCGCTGAGGTTGAAATGCTACGTTGACATTCGAGGTAACAGGCGCTGTTCTTGTTAAGCATGGAGTTCTCAGCAATTCGAAAAATGAAGGACGTACAATAATGAGAGACATGACGAGTACAGACCCTATCGAGGTCTTGCACTTGACGACCGATGAAGAGTCCAACCAAGCACGAAACAACGGCCGTTGTGACATAGAGCAAGGTCTGGAGCCAGTTTCCATGCGATCTAGCTCGAGGCTTCTCGTCATGACTCCAATTCTGGGCTTCCTCATTGTTCAGTAGGCCATAGTTGGCATCGATATCCTTATCTGACTCGGAGCGCGCCATCTTGTTTTCTGAGTACGTAGCAGTTGATCACCACATTACAGAAGCTCAGAGGATCGAAGATATAATCCCAACAAACGACGCGACCGAGGGAATCTTGACCGCAACAGCAGTGGGATGGGTGACAGTCACTGCTTCCAAGTACCGTGCATGTCTCACCTCCCACCAATGGCAGATTGTGGAGTAAACAGGCCCCCCGCGCGGATGCAACCTGGGATTTGATGAGTTGTAAGACACGGCAAGCCCGGGCTGGCAGATCCCCTTCGGCTCCGTGCGACCCGCAACACTTGGCGGTGTCTTTGTCTCACTGAATTGATATTAATAGTGATCCCATGATGCAATAGACTGATCGACGAGGCTTGGCTTGCAGACAAAAGTCACGAGTGTGCGGAGAACAACCAATCTCGACTCTGCTGGGAACCCAGGACCTGCAAGCTTGAGACATGCAGAAGACAGACAGATGCCTATTCCGGCTGTTCGTGTGTTGCGTTTTTGATCTCCAGGTGATGGCCAGAGGTTCCAATGGGAACCGGAGGTGGTGAAAATAGAAACTGCTCAGATTGACTTTGCAGTTCCATGGCTGAAATGTACAATGGACGAACTGCTCAGAAGGCTATTGCTTGCGTTACTTGTGGCGACAAAGGCTTGCACAATGTAACACCGCATCGATGTAGCTTCCTGCCTTGTATTCTGCAGTATCCCTGATTGGAACACAATGATGGCTTGTATCTCGGCCATCCCACACCGCTGCAGTCATCAGAGACTTGACCAATAAGCATTGATCCACGACTTGGAGGCTGGAGAGTCATTTGCTTCTCTCAGGCTTTAAGTGCGAGCTACAGCAAGGAAAATGGAGCTGTGCACTGTCTATAAAGCCTGCTACCCTTGTCCGTCCAGAAGCCTTTCTTCCTTCCCTGCCACAAAGCAAACTCTTCCCTTCATCCTTAACCTTTGCCTATCACCCAGCACAATGCATTTACTTAGTAAAGCTGCTGTCCTCCTCCTGGCACTGAGCGTCAGCGCCAGACCAATCGAGGAGGCTCGCGCTGAGACAACAGCGCCCGCCGATTATGGAGACTACAAGGACTACGGCTCCTACGGCAAGTACGGTGACTACGGCCACTACAAGCGCGACGAGGAGCCCAGTCCCACAACCACATGCACCAAAACAGAAACTCCTGTTCCTGGATATAACAACTACGGCGACTACGGAAACTATGGTCAATATGGGGACTATGGTCACTACAAGCGTGACGCAGAGCCCACCACCACCACCACCACCACTGAGACCCCAAGTCCCACTCCAGCGGACTACGGAGACTACGGAGACTACGGTAACTACGGCAAGTATGGGAACTACGGAGAGTACAAGGTGAAGAGAGACGATGAGCCTTGTACGACTCCCACAGAGACCCCGACTCCTACTCCCACTCCCGCCGACTATGGTGACTACGGTGACTACGGCAACTATGGCGATTACGGCACCTACGAGAACTACTAGAAGCTCGCCGAACGAAAAGTATGTAAGTTGTCTTTGCTGCGATTGGGAATCGCCCATCCTGACGCATTGCAGTTCAAGAAACGCCCTGAGGAATGATTACCGACGTCCAAAATCTCTGTGGCATATCGAGCAAAGCTCTACGCAATTTGTGACGATGATGATCATGTTTACACACTCCTTAAATCTTAATGTCTTGTCTAGATGAAATGAATCATAACATACGCGAGTCTTAAACCTTCATTATAACTGGTACTTCCACTATGTACCCTGTAAGGAGTAGGTAAATCCTTGCATAGCAATGTACATCGACGACGGTAGAGATTAAGGCCACTGCCCTACTTTTCAATAGAGGACTAGAAAGGGTTGATATGATCGATTCGGGGAAACCGGATCCCCTGCAAATGAAAGATGGTTAGTATCTAGGAATCGACAGATCAGCACCTTCAGCAGGAGTATGGAGGCCAGTGTGGCGTATGGCTCGTGAGACTATTACAACAATGCCCCTTGCATATATGCACGAGGAACTGATGTAACCTGCTTGAATGTACGACTGAACTCAGCTCATTTCGGAAGCATCGATCCGGCTTCCGATGCCAGGATCAGACGCAGCCTGGTCGCTCTCGTCAGCTAAGGCACCGGTGTGAAAGATGCCAAATTAGCGAACAATGAGCATTTGTGACCTCACATAGTAATGATGTTGGTACTTAGGACTGAAGATATAGGGGCAATAGGAACTAGTCATGTTAGTTCAGCATGCGCACACGAAGGCCAGTTTACAATTTATGGGTATTGTTGTAGCCGTTCAAAAAGCCGAAGCAATTGATTGTCTTCCAGATCTACTTGTCTTTAAGTTTCAATGTGGAAAGCTTGACCAAGTCTAAGTAATTGATCCACAGGAGTTTATTTGGGCGACGGTATCTGACTGGATGACATTGTCGTTATTAAGATTAAACCCATTTAGACCCCAACAGTCTATAAGAGCAGAGTCACTATCGGATGCTCGCGCACTTCTCTCAACCAGTGTCATCGTGATGATCATCAATAAGAATAGCGAAATGTCGGTGCCAAATCTCCCATATACTCCAACTCCTCTTCCGGCAACGACTGCAGGTCAATTGTCCCTTTGGCAATGGCTCGATCACGCTTCTTGTTATCGTGCAGGATTGCCAGGAAGTAGCCGGTAGCCATGGCGGCTGAGAAACAGAGGAAGGACAGACTGATGATGTACCCCTTACGGTAGAGAGGGGCATCTTTAGCGAGGAATGAGTAGGTGGAGATAATCCCGCCGACTGCCAAGATTAGCATGACCCCGGCCTGTGAATGGAAGACATACTATTTCCAAAGCTATTCTGCCATGCCGTTCCTACGCTCCGTCGACGATGACCACCCAGGTTCGTCGAGAACCAACAGACCAGCACGGGCATGGCACTGTAGCAGCCACTCGCGACAAGGAACAGAGCGCCATATTGTACGCTATGATGGTCGTGGACGTTATGGAGGATACCGAACCCGCCCATGGCGATGAGCATCGGGATTATGGCGAAGATGAACCGGTGGCGGAGTTTGTCAGACAAAATGGCGATGAGCATGGCGAGGCCAAAGGCCGTGGCCCATGGTGGGATGGAGTAGAGCTGTGATGTGATGGCTGAAGGGTCAGTTGTGTGCAACTGATAGGAGACATGATCGTACCGTCGTGGCCGTAGGTTTTGATAATCGTAGGAGCAAAATAGGCATATCCTGCTGGTCGTCAGTGACTCGCTAAGAGTCAAAAAGTCTACATACCGTAAGCTGTGACGGCCTGTCCAAGGTACATAATTCCGCCTATAAAGACCTTGTCTGAGCGGTGTTAGCGATTATCCATCATGGCGAAGGAGCATGCTTGCAGTCCTTGAAAACAGCCAGAACATCGCGCCATCCGATGCTCGCATGTCTGGCAGCGTTACCCACATCATCCGCCAGCTTGGAAAGTATGAACTCTCTCTCCTGCTTACTGAGCCACTTTGCATCCTCAGGAAAGCCCGGGACGATGAAAAAACAGACCATCGCAACCAGGCAGGTGATCACGCCCTCGATGATAAACACCCAGCGCCAGCCGCCATAGCCACGAAGTCCGTCCATTTTCCCGATCCCGCTGGCAAGCAACCCCCCAAACGCACCGGCGACAGTTGATGAGCTGAGGAACAAGCTGAATCGTTTCTGAGCTTCGCTGCGCTTGTACCACATGCCAATAAGGTAGAAACCTGTCCGGATTAGCGGGTTGCGGACGCAGGAAGAGGTACTCCTACATCCAGGAGTCAAGCCCGACTCGAGCATGCCGAGGAACCAGCGAGTAGTCATTAATCCTCCCCAATTTGATACGAGGCCTTGACACACCGTGACCAGACCAAAGCCGAACATGCATAATGGCACTGAATGTGTAGTCAATATGTTGTTCCTATCTGCGGAAGCCAACGGGCATACACCACACATGCGGCTTCAATTTCTTCAGCAGGATATTCGACGGGATTTCAAAGACGATATAAGGCACGAAGAAAATGGTCAGTGCGGTGTTGTATTCCGTTCCTGATTGGATATGCAAGTCTTCCTTCAACCCCAGAATCGCTGCATTACCGATGTTAATCCTGCAAAGTGGTGAGCATCAGTTATCGCAACAAATGGGAGTCTAACCATACCGATCTAGGAATGCCAGCAGAAGCATGACACACAAACATGGAAGAACATGCCAGTCGATCTTGGCCATCAGCTTTCGCTCGTTGATAGTTTTCAACCCACCGAGCGATCTCTTGTCGCCATTGGAGCCAGATTCTTTGTCTACGGAGGATGTTAGCCGTCTGGACCTGGTGCCAACGGGCCACGCGACTGACTAGTTACTTCCATAGACTGACGCGCCATAATTGACAGTGATCTCTGAGTTCTAAAACCATCGCAACTTGGGAAACTAGCATGTACTTTATTTCTTCTGACATCACCGACGTCAGGGGTGGGATGATTCGTCCCCGGAAAGATGACAAGCATTCTGGCCGGTTGCGGTCAAACTGAACTCTATAATTCTAATCTCACTTATCATAATGCTAGATGGCTACTATGACTTAATTTCCTGAGTTACTTCTGATTCATAAGGTTCTACAGCTTATTGCTAGTTTCGCGTTTCCTTGCGATTAACAGGTATATATATGTGCTAGCGAAGAATCAGATCGTCGCCCCAGTCCCATTGTACATCTTTGCCTTTACCATGTTATTATAATTAGTCTCTCAGCGGCAAAGAGTCCGGAGCCGAAAGTGAAAGCCGCGGCCCGTCGCTAGGGAGTTCCGATATATAACTCTTTTCGCCTCTTGCCCCGCCCCCGCATTCATGTATATCCGAGAGGATTACCGCTTAGACCCCGTATATCTAGATGAGTTTTCCGGTCAGCAGTGCTGCAAGCGTAGTCATCTCGCATGGACTAGTAACTATACCTCGGAATTGCTCCGCGTGAGTGGAGAATCCGAAGCGACCATCACCGACGATCTTCTTGGCCATATTTACAAAAGGCAAGGTCTCATATCCACGATCCAAACGTGTAAAATCTTTTCGTACCTGTGAGCCCTGGCCAGTTGCCGAATCTCCACAAATGACCGATCAAAAGTCGTTTCGCGATCATGTTGGAGATCCTGAGGCCAAGAAGGAGGTCGCCGATGAGGAGGTTACTTTGGACGAGGAGACATTGAGGCTCGATCGCCAGACTCTTCTCAGGCTGGACCTTTTGCTTATGCCCATGACCCTGATGCTATACCTGCTGGCTTGGTTGGATCGTGCAAATGTTGGAAACGCACGAGTGGTATGTCTTCCGCCAATTTTGTCGCAGGCTGTTGCTAAAGAAGACCATAGGCCGGTCTGGAAAAGGACCTCCATTTGAGTGATTTGCAATACAAGACAGGTACGGTTTTGTTGACCAATCCTGAATTGCCTGATACTGACTGCTCAGCCATTACCGTCACCTACGTCCCTTATGTCTTGTCTGAACTTCCCTCCAACCTCTTGCTGAAGATCATCGGCCCGCGTATCCTCCTTCCGACCTTATGCACACTCTGGGGGCTGGTGACAACGCTCCAGTCGCAAGTGCACAACTACTCCGGCTTCCTCGCATGTCGGTTCTTCCTTGGCTTGCTCGAAGGAGGCCTCTTTCCGGGAATTGTCCTCTTCTTGTCCAACTTCTACCGTCGCCACGAACTCCAGGTTCGCGTCGCCCTCTTCTTCTCCGCCGCTTCCCTGAGCGGCGCCTTCTCGGGACTCCTCGCCGCCGCCATCCAGCAGATGAGCGGCATCCGCGGTATGAAGGGCTGGCAGTGGATCTTCCTCCTGGAGGGCCTATTTACCGTCTGCTTTGGTATCTTCTCCTTCGTAGTACTTCCCAACGGTCCAGAGAAAGTCATCACCTTTCGCCCCGAGCACTCCCGGCGCTGCATCGCCCGTCTCCAGCAGGACAGCAATAACTTCGAAACCGAATCCAAAGTCACATTCAAGGGCGTCATCTCCGTTCTAAAAGATCTCCACGTCTGGATCGCATGTCTCATCCTCTTCTGCAACGGGGCCTGCCTCTTCGGACTCGCATATTTCTCGCCCTCCATCGTCCAAGCACTTGGATACAGCCGGACAAAAACCCAACTGATGACCGTCCCACCCTACGCCGCCGGATTCTTCGTGACAATGCTAACAGCGTACTTTTCCGACCGCCGACAGCAGCGCGGCGCCGGAGCCTTCGTCACAAGCGGCATCGCGCTGATTGGCGCCGCGCTGGCGATCAACGGACGTAGTGTAGGCATCCGCTACGCGGCGCTCATGCTCCTCGTGACGGGTGTGTATGCCTGCGCGCCATGCCTGATCAGCTGGGTGCCGAATAACACGGCTGGCCACCTGCGGCGCGCGACTGCCGTGGCGATGGCGTTCATTGCGACGAATATGGGAGGCATCATGAGTACGTGGATCTATCCGAAGGAGTCGGCGCCGTATTTCAATTTGGGGATTCGCTTTAATTTAGCGTTGCTGGTGATTGCGATGGTGCTTGTTGTGCTGCAGGTGGTACTGTTGCGGTTTTTGAATCGGCGGAAGCAGAGGGATCCGCTGGGTTTGCTGCAAGGGACCGAGGATCTGCCGTATGAGGAGCAGTTTGCGAAGCTTGGGGATAGACACCCGAGATACAAGTATACTTATTAGTGTACTAAAACTTCCAACTGGTTTTGAAACTTCCATCTCCAGTTAGCCTAGACAGATGCGGCGCTGCCCCGGGGAATCGCTCGGGGTTATAAGGACGCCTGCACGGAGTGCTCGGTGACTAGGCATTCCAACATGTGGACCCCTTATTTACGTCTGAGTACTGCTCTCTGCTATATTAGACGATTCTACCCCTGGAGGAGACCTTGGTTGCAGTGTAGCCTGACGCTGCAGCCTGTTATCTTGGTGACATGCAGGTTTACCGGTCCTCTACAAAATCCTCGGTGCATTCCAGTTTGCGAATAATATACTGTGCATAATAAGTAAACTGTATTTACGCACTGGAGATAGTAGACCCCCCTGGACTAACAAATCCTAGAATTCATCTCTTATCACTCACTCATCTCATCTAACTAGCTCTGTCTCTCACTGTGATCCAGCTTCTTCGGGAAAAAGAGATTAGACGCCAATGCAGACGTAATAATCCACCCACAAATTGGTGCAGCTCTCATCTATCTGCGTGTTCCATGAGCGGAACTGAGCAAGAGTGATGCCCGCAGCTTTGTCAATCGACCAACAGCTGTCGCCCGACTTGACCTGGTAGAACTTGGCGCAGTTGCTCACTATGCCGGGCATCTGGGGCTCCGGACCAGTCGGCGTGGGCTGGGGAGCTGGGGTTGTCGTGGCGCCCGGGACGTGCACGCAAACGTAGTCCTCCAGCCAGAGGTTGGTGCATTCTGTGATCATCAAGGTTAGGAGACTTATGTAGGCAAGCGGGGGATTTGATCAGTTACGGGCGTTGATGCTTGGGTTCCAGGCCTTGAATTGGGCGTCGGTAATGCTGTACTTGGCCTCGATGGTATCGCACTGATCACCGGACGCGACGAGATGGAACGTGTCACAGTTGGCTACCAGACCTGGTTGGGTGGGCTGGTACGGGGACGGGGACGCGGTGGTTGTGGACGTCGTGGTCTTCAGTGTCGTAGACGTCGTCGTGGGCTCTGGGTCGTTCGAGACGGTGCCAATAACACAGTAGCTCTGACCGGGCGTGAGATTGGGACAGGAGACACCAGGGTTCAACTCTTCAAAGCTCTCGACGGTCTGACCCCAGGTCGAAGCGAAGGACTGGCAAGTGTCACCATTGCTGGCTGCCATGGAGAAGCTACAGACAACGCTGGCAGACAGCAGCTGGGGAAGCAGGGCCAGGAGGACAGCAGTCTTGTAACCCATGTTTTCAGGATCTAGTGGAGGAGAGAAAGGGGATGTTGGGATATTTGATCTGTCCATTCGGTATAGTCACTGGACTCCTTTTATATACCTAGGTATACCTCCACGTGCTCCTGTAGGCTGCTTTCATCACGTAACCTATTCACCAAACCCGTCGAGTTCAACATTTCGTATACTTCACGTTGTTGATGGAGCGTCAGCACGAGCGGAGAGAAGTGGGCTGCTTTAAGACGCTAAGACCCTAGTGTTTATTGTAAATGTACTAGGTGGTCCAGGTCTGTCGATGCCGGATATCCGTGCCCTAAGAGTCAGGAACAGCTTCCATTGGCTTATTGTACTAGCGAAGCGGCTGTGGTGGCCTTACAGTCTCTCAGCCTACCGCCGCCTACCGCAGCCAAACGGACACTACCGGAGGATCCGAACCAAGTGCCGGTCTCACAATTGGAGTCAAGATAATATCCTCATGGTGACATCGGGCCAGTCCTAGCTTCTGCCAAGAGCCTCAAAAATGCGCCAAGATGGGGTTCTACATGCAGAGTCCTTCGTGGAGGATGAAGCTGAAGGCAAATTCATTTCAAATACAACTAATCGACTAGCGTAAGCCACCAGCAACTGGGGTCACTTGCCACGGGCCTGGAAAAATCAAAGGAATAGGTGTCACAGGGAGAGATACACACGAGTCATGCAAGGGTGTAAGCGAGCCATCCAACAATCGCGGTGAGCCATGCTCCACCGACCGGTAATTGCATTCCAGAAGCTGCATTTTTTGGCGGCCGGGCAGCTCACCTGGGGAGAGGGAGCAGCACATGCATAGAATGTTAGAGCGGCTGAGATACTTGACGCAGCTGATGGGCTGATCTTGACCTTGCAAGGACTGGGTGTGGCTGTTGGAGAGGGAACGACTGCACAAGAGGGTGCGCCACCGTAGCTTTTTTCGTCTGGGACATTCACAAGGTTGGTAACATTCCACGCCTAACTGAGCGACTGAGCGCAAGTGTTGTCGTCCGTCGCAGCGACGAGATCCTGCTGCGAAGTGCCATTCTCGGTGGTGAAGTAGAGTGCATGGCGGGTGCTGTTGCGAGTGAAGGTCACGGCGTCTGTCCCCGCGTCTTGGGAGTAGTTGCTGTATTCGATAGTCCAGGCAAACTGGAAGGACGCCTCGGCGTCCAGATGGCCGGTACTCTCATACAGAAAGTACGGGTCGCTGTTGGAGTAATTGAGAGATGACAGATGGAAGAGGTCCGAGGTATGGATGCTATCGTTGGCACTGACCCCGCGCTGCTCGATATTCCATGAGAGAACCGGGTTGAGGCTCTGCACGAGGCTCGGGGTTCTGGATGGCAAATACGATGGGGGTCAGCTTCGATAGGGCAAAGGTGTCATTGCGTGGAAGATCAAGTCTACTTCCACGACCCCTGGAGCGCTGGACGCCTGACTGAAGGACTGCTATAGGGCCAGAAGCAACCAAGACCGACGAAGGAAGGCCATGGCTGATGTTAGGGTGGTGAGGAATTACAAGAGAGATGAACTGACAAGGCTGGATGTGCTTGTTCTTAATATTTTGTATCGCCTAATTTTGGAAGGAAAGCCCCTGACTCGCACAAGTCCAAATAGGTGGCCTTAAGCAGTTCTTGGCAATCAGGGATTGAGTCTCATTATCGACTAGTACTCGACATGACTCGACAGGATTCAACTACTGCAGGAGCTGTTACACCGTGGATGCATCACAAGCACTCTGCCCAGCAAGACAAGCCAGCGAAGCTCTCCGCTTGGTGGCTTGGTACATGGTCCACCCTGCTTATGCTTGATCCCCCACACGAGGCCAAAACGCAGCCCCCAAGGTAGGTGATTTAATTAATACCCACCTGGAATTATTTCGATAGCGTGGTGTAGTCTGGTCCACTCACAATTGGTCAAAGTATGAACCTGAAATTGCACTCACAAGAGGAGATGAGAAGACATGCTGGTGTAGATATGGATGCCTATCGACTGTCAGAGGAGACAATACAAGAAGCTGCGATGAAACCGCTCTGAAAGGATGGGAAATATGCCAACTACTCTTTCATTCATTGGTGTTTGTTTACTCCTCATCACACTCCTTTAGACTTTCTTTTACACTCCCTTGATAGGGACGTTGCCCAAGCACAATGACCCCCCTCTGGCTTAGTACGGTCATAGGGGCCATAGCCCTCTTCCTGTCTGCCGACGTTGCCTCTGCGACGCCAGGAACGCGAGGGCTCAGACAGCCCGTCAGTCCTGGCTACCGCAGTAGAGACGCATGCCCGGTGGCTTGCAACATCGCTGGACCTAATCCGTCTAATTGGTCGGTCTACCACAACTTCGAACAGGTCCAGTCCTGCCAGCAGACCTTGTTCTATGAGTTCTCTTTGTATAATTGAGTGGACGAGCCAGACTCTCGTCATTGCATCTATGCTTGTACTTCCTATGGCGCGGACTGGTACAACCTCCCACAGTCGAAAGCAAAGACTGCGGCTGCTGTGTGGTCCGTGAACTCGACCTATAATCTGGGCTGGTGGGACGAGGGCGCACTGGCTGCCACTGATATCAGCACCATATAGGCAAAGGGATGGCACCACCTGGCCCAGATGCCCCCGCAGAGAGCGCAAGTGCCCTCCGAGCCAGCATCAGTAAGGCCTTCTTTGGATTTGCCATCCCGTCCATCTGGGCCGTTTCAGGCACGTACGCGTTCATCATCGACTCGGGCTACGACTGTGGCACCATCGACCCGATGGGCGATTACCTGGACGAGGACACCATGCACGCGACGGCAGGCTGCTACGGCGGAAAGCTCTACTATCTTGCCAGCCCCAAGGGGGATGCGTCGACCCGCACCGAGGGAGGGTGCTTTGATAACAAGTTCTCTGCCCCGCCGGGCATCGACTCCCTCGATGGGAAGGACTTTGGCGGTATCACTGTGGGTGATCTCATCACGGGGTGGGTTTCAGTTCCCCAGCTTCTGATTCAGAAAATAAACTGACAACTGCGCCATTTAGATCGGTCCGCACGTACCAGCAAAACGGCAACCAGAACGGCGGCGGCGCCGCGGACCCTAGCAACAGCGGGACGCTGGAGGACCTCTACAACCAGGACATCACGACCCCTGGCTTCATCCGCCTACCCGTGTGCAGCGCTGACTTTGCCTTCAAGGCCTGGGACCAGCGCGGCGGGCCCTACATCAACGTGGCCAACTATCCATGCATCCCGCACCAGGCGCCCAACCACTGCCAAGACTCGACGTTCGTTGACCAGACTAGCGATGCGTCCCCCAGCGTGTCAGACTGCATGCAGATCGTGGAGAACATACAGAATACGGATGGCGATTGGGAGGTTGAGAACGCGATCGGCAGTCAGCACCAGCTTGTGCAGTTCGGGTCGTGCGCCTTTGGGTCCAGGGACAGGGGAAGAACGGCAACGTTGACTTCAATATTGGTGCTCAGGACATTGTTGATATCATTACTGGTTTGGTCAGACAGTTTGGGGGTCTGGAAAGGTTGGTGCGAAGGGGGTGATGTCTTGTGATGGAACAGTCAAGGGCGGCAGGTTGAATGGGGGTTATATTAGCTTGCTTCTATCATTTCTAGCAGTACCTCTCGAGAGGTATAATGGAAGATTTCAGCTACTCAGTTGGGCTTCCCAGCCTTTGTGAATATCTTTCTTCAAGTCCTTTGTTGTGGTGTCAGACTGGTTCCGGTGGTCAACCAATCATTACTCGATATTCAAATTGAGCAAAAACAGGGTTGACTAGCCGAAGAGATCTACAGCCTTTAGTCTTTACCTAACTTTAGCCTTGGGATAAGCGAAGGTGAATGTTGACACGATCCAACTGTTCCAACACGTGGTGCAACTGACCTTTTGCCAAGAGCGGAAAGGGGAGGTTGATCTATCCAAGGCAGCAGGATACACGACGTCCACATACCTATGTTAGTGCAATGACCATTATATCGAAAGTAAGGGTCATCACTTCATTTATGAACAATGACATTCCTCCGACCAAGGAAATATTTTGCAGTAAATGAGGTAGATAAGCGCGCATTCGAGCAAATTGTGACTAAGACTGCATGCGGATGATGTCATTCTCCACCCTGTAGATGCTTGCAGTAGAAAATATCTTAGTACTAACAGTGATCATACAACGCAACGGGCCGAGTCATGGCTCTTTGGGCCGGAAGTGTCGGAAATGTCAGAAGTGCAAATATTGCCTCGAGAGTATGAATAAATGCGGGCTGGATATCTGCATTTGCATTCCCCTCCAGCCCGCTCACGCCGTCTCACTCTCAGAAGAACACCATGGAAGTGAACCTACCAAGCTGGCTACCCCTATCAATATATGCCTGGCTTGTTCAGGCGGTCGTCTTTCATGCCGTCGGATTTGTCTTTGAATGGTGCGACGGCACCAATAGCATGCCCCACCTGAAGGTCCGCGATATCGACCGCAAGCCATACATTCAAATGCTGCCGCGCGTGTTGTTCAATCAATGCTTCATTCTCCTTCCAAGCATGATGCTCGTCCAGGCAATGGAATTGTGTTTCGCGGGACCAACGCACCTGCATCCCCTGCACTTTCTCCTGTCACTTCCGGCCATGGCCGTCGGTCATGACGTGGTGCAATACCTCACTCATCGGTATCTGCTCCATAATCCGGACCTGCGACTTATGCGCCTGTTGCAGCACTCGCTGCATCACTCGACCGGAGCCAGCCGGGGAATCAGCGCATGCTACATGTCCGCCCCGGACTTCTTCCTCGAGATTGTGCTCCCGTATCTTGTCCCTCTTGCGCTGGTGGGAGGCGGCGGCGCAGATGTTTTCTTCCATTCTCTTGTTGCCGGGTCTGGAGCTCTAGGTGGAGTTTATGAGCACTCAGGGTACGATTTTTCTGCATTGTTCCTACCAGAGAACCTCACCGGAGGTAAAAGACAGCTACAGAGCTGGACTCCAAAGGTTGCGGCCTTGATCCGGGATTTTGTCGACAATCGCGCTCACGGAGAGCATCATTCTCGTGCGAATGTTTCATTCTCCGATGGGTTCGGCAGTCCGGGCATCTGCGACACCTATTTTGGCACGCGGTGGGATCTGGTGGCGGCGCGTCGGGCAGCAACAGAGAAGGAGTGGCAGGCTCAGCGGAGGAGACACATGTACGCGAAATGAAGGCTTCCTGTCTTCAAAGCAGCACTGGCCATTCCGTGGCCCCTATTACCACTTATACACTTGATGAAGGACCTAATGATCTCAGCACCCCTGGATCTCACGATCTCATGTCCTATGCATGTTTTTATCCCATTAGCGCAGATACCCGGAGACACGAAGGCGTATCATTGTCAGAATTCTAGTTAACCGACCCCTCAGACTTGTAGACTTCAGGTGTCGAACATATCTCGATTCGAACTGAGCTCAATGAATAACAAGCTAGGTGAGCGACGTGTTAGACTTTCTCAAAGCAACTATGTACTCTCGCAGAAACAGACACGACCTTATGGGGTAGCAATTCGCAACAAAAGGTTGGCCTGTTTCGTACGAAACTGGCTCTACGAATACAGACTGATCGCCGTATCCTCTGCACCACCTCGCAGTGCGACAGACCCCTAACCCGGTTCTGCTGGAGCACAGCTGCAGACTCAAGATTGTCGGAACGGAACCAGGTCCTGATTATGTTCCAGTGATATCCGTTTCGGATGGTTCGTAAGATGTTCTTGGACTGGCCCTGACCATCCAAGTTTGCCTCCAAGACAATTTAATGGTTCCAATATTCTCACTTGTAGTTGAATGGACGAGTATTAGTGCCTTCTATCTCGCAGGCATTGCAGTAGGGTTCGAACTTTGCATAAGAGATGTTTGGTATTGTGATGATATAGGCAGTCCTCCGTGTAGCATCATCACACTGCCCCATGTCAGTTTCTTCCCGTCAATACAATTTCGCTGGAGGAGTAAAGAATGGCACTACCCTTCCGAAAACTCATGGAAATGACTTTATTCGAATGCATTAAATAACTGTATCCTTGTTCTGCTCCAGCCATTTATGGTCGATCGAACCGTAACGGTTAAAAAGTATATATTGGCAATGGCGAGTTGCGACGCATCTTGGATTGTCGGTTGTCCATGCTGATGGTGCGTCCTGATATATACATCTTATCGCTAATCCATGTTCCCTCTAGTCAAAACGATGTCTACATCGAAATGAGCTGGAAACTCTCCATCGGCAGTGCCTAGCATATGGCCATCCCCCGCTTAGCATCGGATACAATCCTAAGGCATCACTTTCTAGCCTGATTTTGTTATCGCCGACGGGCGCTTATCGGATGTCGGCGAACAGTAGCCAATCACAGCTCGAGACCCTGAGATCTGATTGAGTAATGGCCAGCCGAGGATGCCCCAAAGCGGACTAGCGTGTATCACCCCCCGCATCTTTTGATGTCGCAGTTTCCCCATTGTTGATCTTGCTTCTATCATATATCCAGCAACGGGTCAAAAGTGTTGTTTACAAGGTGTTGGAGACAAATAATACACAGTCAGAACTATACGACTCAACATGGAAGGCGACACTCTACCCTTGGCGCAATACCTCTTCAAACGTCTGCGTCAATTGGGTGTAGACTCTATATTTGGGGTACCTGGTGACTACAACCTGACCCTTCTGGATCACGTTGTACCCTCGGGACTCAACTGGGTTGGAAATTGCAATGAGCTTAACGCGGGATATGCTGCGGATGGATACTCCCGGATCAAAGGTACTTGCTCCTCTCCCTTCGTACTGCTCTGACGCACGCTGATTACTTAGGTATCGGTGCGCTGGTGACCACCTTTGGCGTGGGCGAATTATCCGCCGTCAATGCCATCGCGGGTGCTTATGCAGAGAGAGCTCCAGTCGTGCACATTGTTGGGACTCCCATGCGCGCTTCGCACGAGTCGCGCGCAATGATCCATCACACCTTTATTGATGGCGAATACCAGCGGTTCGACCGCATGCAGGAGCATGTCACGGTAGCGCAAGTCAGTCTGAGTGACCACCGCACGGCGCCTGCGGAGATCGACAGAATTCTGCTGCAGTGTCTGCTGCATAGTCGACCGGTGCGCATTACTATCCCCGTTGATATGGTGCCCGTGCTTGTGCCCACTGCGGGGTTGGCGTCGAAGCTCGAGGTCCCGCCGCCCGTGCGCCAGCCCCAGGTGGAGGAGGCCGCTTTGTCTGCTGTGTTGGAGAGGATCTACAACGCGAAGAAGCCCATGATTCTGGTTGACGGAGAGACAAGAGCTTTTGGTACGGTTAATGAAGTGAATCATTTTGTCAAGGCAACGGGCTGGCCGACATTTACGTCTGGCTTCGGCAAAGGGTTGGTTGACGAGTCTCTACCCAACGTCTATGGAGTGTATAGGCCTGCTCACAAAGAGTTTGTGGACTCGTGTGACCTGGTCCTGGCTTTCGGACCACACTTTAGCAACACCAACACCTACATCTTCCTGGTGAGACCGCAGGACGAGACGAGTGTTCTTCTCAATCCAACTTCGGTCCAAGTCAATAAAGACATTTACCGTGATCTCCCAGTCAAATATTTCATTCAGCAGCTCACACAGCGACTGGACATGTCTAAGATCCCCGTGCACAAGCATAACTTGGTCCACCCCACGGCCCAAGTCCTCCCTGAAGTGCCCCCTACCGACCTCGTCACACAGACCGCCGGCTTCTGGAGACGGCTGTCGCCCTTCTTCCGCTCTGGCGATATCGTCCTCGGTGAAACAGGAACGCCTGGCTACGGCGCCAATGACTTTGTCCTCCCCCCACAGACCCGTCTCTTCAAGCCAGTCACCTGGCTGTCCATCGGATACATGCTTCCGGCTACCCTGGGCGCGAGCTACGCGCAGCATGATCTGATTACGCGAAACGAGTACCACGACATCTCCACCGCCCGAACAATCCTCTTCATCGGCGACGGCAGCTTCCAAATGACCGTTCAAGAGCTGAGCACAATCATCCACCACAAACTCAATGTTATTGTCTTCCTGATCAATAATGATGGCTATACAATCGAGCGGTGCATCCATGGCCGGAACCAGGCGTACAACGACGTCGCCCGGTGGCGGTACCTCAAGGCCCCGGAGCTATTCGGCGCGGATCAAGAAGGCGAGTATGCGTCGCGGACATGGCAGATTCGCACCTGGGCGGATTGTGACGCCGTGCTGAAGGATGAACAGCTGGTGAATGGCAAAGGCCTGCGGATGGTGGAGGTGTTTATGGACAAGTTTGACGCGCCTGATGTGTTGATGAATTTGCTGAATTCCCAGATTGCGAGGGACAATGCGCAGAAATAGGTTATGCCAATAGACTGCTAACTTAATTCATGCTTTCTGCCTGTCCACTCTGTCGATGATGTAGGCTGCCTGTCGGTTGGGATCCCTCTGCAATACGACTAGCATTGGATGTATATAGGAGTACACACTGGGCGAGGTAATACTATAATTGCAACATTGACGAGGTAAAATAGAGCCACAAACTAAGACGAAGCGGAAACCTTCTTCCAGCTCTCCCTGGACTTCAAGTCCTCCCAGTACTTCTGGAAATGGGGGTACTTTGCAATCAAGTCCGCGAACCCAAACGGCTCCACAAACACCCCGTACGGCAGATGCGACAGATCCGCAAATGTGATCTCGTCGCCGGCAAGGTACTTCTGCTTGGAAAGCACCCGCTCGTAGCCCTGGAGAGTCTGGTCCAGCTGCGCAAGCAGCGCCTTGACGCGCGCTTCGTCGGTTTCGCCCTCGCCCTTCATGGACTTCCAGACCTTTTCGTAGGCGAGCTGTGCAATAGGGGGATCAAAGTAGGATTGTTCAATGGAGATAGCCTCGCTTTGTCAGTACCCTCCGTAAAAAGCTGAATGGCTGGACATACCTGCTGGTACAGAGCATAGGCTTTAAGATCAGACTCCGGGGGGCAAGCTCTGCCCCCTGGCCACGGTATTTGGCGATGATATATTGAGCAATAGCTCTGCTTTCTAGGGGCAAGAAATTAGCACGAGTAGAGCAATTTGCTAGCGGGAAATCCTACCGAAGACTTGAACGCCTGTCTCGGTATCCTGCAGGACAGGCACTTTGCCAAAGGGCTGCATTTCCAAATAAGTCTCTGCCAGGTGTTCTCCCTTGGCCAGGTCGACGTTGACTATTTCGGCATCGACGCCCTTCTCAATGAGCGCGAGGCGCACGCGGGACGTGCAAGTCGACCAGGGGGATCCGTGGAGCTTGAGAACCATTGTGTCTGAAGTTGGAGTGTATTATGGTAGTACACTGATGGTTTGAAGAGCGGGGTTGAGAAGGGAAATTTCGAGTACTATGTCACCTTTTATACGAGATGCCACTCGCAAGCGGGGCAGATTTGGGGCTGTGATCAGTCCGATTTGGGCATGATTAACGAGCAGCGGTAGCTTACGGAATTAATTCCGACTCCCCGTGGGGTTTGCTTATGGATGGCTTATGGGATTATCATCAATTTTTCTAGGCGCGCTGTTCCTGATCCTTCGACCCTTCGATCCGTCGATCCATCGGATAGATCCTGCACGGACCGTAGCATAATATAGCGTACGGCGAATCTAGCCCTACTGAGCCGATAGATCAAATCCAGATTGGACTTCCTTGCCGGAATAAGGGAACAAGGTCCTGGGGAGGTGGATTCTTGTGTCCTTGTGCCCTAGCCTCGACCTCGTATTCCTTGATAGAAAATGAGACACCCAATTTGTCGCAGCTAGAACGCAATGGAGCCGTCACCTCGAGGATCCTGTCTTCCAAGATCCTTCCGTCAGTTACCGGCAGGAGAGCCGTGGCCATGTTTGAAAATTCATTATTTCACCGGGCGATAATCGCTTCATAAGGAACCTCCCCTAGATAGTCATCTCTGACAAATAAGGGAATTCATCTCTCGCTTGCACCAGATCCATCATTTCAACCAACATGACCGCCTCATTCTCGCGCCACCATCCAGAAATGCACAGAATCTCAATTGATGGAGGAAGAAGATCTACCAACCTCTTTGGAGGCAGCTGCTGATCGGTGTGGAAAAGAGTGAACCATTTGCAACTGAAGATTTTTCAATCTTCGAAACTCTCACAGCGATCCAACCCACTGGTGCTGTCTCTCAAACCCTTGCAACATAGAGTAGGATTCCGAGTCCAGACACAGTGTCTCGAGGGTATCCCTCCTCGTTTGCAGGTGGGCTGTTATCGTGGCCATCCTTTCGAATATGAACGGTCCTGGCTCGTATTAGTACTTGAACGACCTCAGAGCGGTGCAGAGTGTTATCAAGCGCTCGAATCCCGTGCGGGTGATACTCTGCCGGAGCTCAAGATGCGTTACGCTCGACGTGCCTTTCGTTATATCAGGAAGAAGCCGATCAAAATCTTTGACCATCTGAGCGGAGAATACGCGCAGCGAAGGCAGATGAGACAAATGGCAGGATTTTCTTTCAACCCGATCATACCGAGTCTTCGGCCGGTGCCCTTGAGAAGCACTTATTCCAGTTTGCGAGCGGACCTCTTCCCTTGAACTGGTCCCGACGCTGGATTAACTTCGTCTACTAACTGTGCTGCGTACCGGGTGCTTGATTCTACCCAGAGCCATTCCATGGTGCGCAGGTTAGGCAAGGATGTAGAGCAGGAGGGCAAGCCACGCATTGTAGTTGTCCCTATGCCGGAGCTCTTTCTTCCAGGTAGCCCACCCATTATAATAATTGACTTATTCGTGGACTTCTGCGATGTGTCTTCTATTGTTGGCAGTTCCTTTGAGTGGGCATTTTTTTTTTGGAACAGGATACTGGTCGACCGCTCTCCACGCTGAGACAAGCCTTCCGACGGCGTAATAGGAAATGAATCAGCCAGCTGAGGTCCAAGGTGCAGTACTCGGGCAGTTCGATCGAGTGGAATGTACACAGGTGTACGATGTCAAACAGACGACGAGAGCATCTGGGAAAAATGAAATGCTCCGAGTTTCGACTTCTTATCTGGCGGCGGCTGTGCGCTAGCCCTCGTATTATGACCCGGCACTGCCTCGTTGACACCACAGCCTCGTGCTCTGTAGAGGCATTAATTATCCTCTTGAACCTTTTTTTAGATGGTGTCCTTCTTTCTCACAATAGGTTTTGCCGATTTGTCCTCTGTCATAGCAGGAGCATGACACTGCTCTGGGAAAGCTGACAGTCAGAGCCATGGACAACTCACTACAGTCAGCCATTGCCCTGGTGTTCAGAAATTTCGAATGGCACTAAAACAGTGTCGTTGCAAATGACATAGGGAGCTTTATATGCATCGTCACCAGATGCTGGATTTCCTGCTCTGAGCCTTGCCTACGAACTAGACCGTAAAAATTTGACAATATTGTCCTTGACTTGACTGTATGCAGAGGGCCCTTTTATTCTCTTTATCATCAATACAAAACTCTATAATATGCTATAAAGTATTACGAGGTTAGTGTTAAGTGTTCTAATATCTCTTTTGGTAGCTGATGCAAAGAGGTATGGCAGCCAAATGAGTGATCGGCCTCTCTCAATTTCTCTCAGCAGATCTATGAAACCAGAATCAATAGCAAAAATATTCAATATCCCAAGCCTGAGATTTATTCCCCTGAATGATAGGGCATTCTTGCTCCTGGCTAAGGCCAATAGAGCGAATGTACAGATTCACCCCTTGCATAACTATCGAATTCCACGCTCCCGGTGGCGCAGTGGCTGAACGCTTGAATAATCAAACAATATTAACAAATAGATAAAATATATATGAAAAAAAGCATATGTATAATCAGAAAAACAAATGATTCAAGGTCAAACACTAGGCCAGTCGTTGTCCCACTTCAACTGGTTCCATCCGAATTGGTAGTCCTCGACGGCCTTGCCGATGCGCGTGTCCGCGTAGTGATAGTACAAGACCAACCCCTTGCTTGGGTCGTTGAGGATGCCCCTGTCGCCCAGACGTTAGTTCATTCTTTACCTTCCATAAGGGGTGGTGACTTACTGTCCGCCGGGGCCGTAGACGTAATCATGACTGGCGAGCAAAAGGGTTCCTCCGCTGTTCAGGCACGAAACGCCGTTTTTGTCGACCTGCGGGTTATCAGCCTTCTGATATAAGAGACAAATATGGGGGTGCTGCTACTTACGAATCCTCCCGTCGCTGAAGTCGACCGACAAACCGAGATAAAGTACTCCTCGCCCGGTGCTGGCCACGTATCATTGTACCCCAGCGCAATACCCCGGAGAAAGTCAAGTAGAAGTAATCGTTGCGCTCAAAGATGAAGGCCGCCTCCTGGCGATGGATCCCGCTGGCATTGTAGGCGATCTGGTGCGGCGTGGCGCCGCTCTTGATTTTGAGGCCGTTGGCCATCTCCACCTGGAACAGGTTATTCCAGTAGGAGCCAAAGTTGACGTACTGGGTGCCACCGACGACGATCCAGTTGGCGTCGATGGTATTGTACGGGCTGGCGGACGTGGACTCGATGCCGGTAGTGCCGTGGTCGGTCCAGCTGCCGGCTTCCATGGACTTGGAGGTTGCAACTCCAATGGCCGAGTTCTGCGAGCCGAGCGAGGAAACCGCGTAGTAGAGGTAGTATGTCCCATCTCGGTAGTGCAGGTCAGGGGCCTGGAAATGTTAGGAGACATGACAAGAGGTAAAGGGAAAGGAGCATACCCAGAGGTTGTTCTTCCCGCTTAGATCGATGATGGAGCCATTGGGTAGAACATAGCCGTCGTCTGTCCACGGGCCCTCGAGACTGTCCGCCGACGCGATATGGATGCCTCCGCCCGTTGCGAAGCGAAAGTATTTCCCGTCGGATTTACGCTGGTACAGACCAGGATCATGGGTCCAGCAGTTGCCCGAGCAGGCACCGGGGTTTGCGTAGGCGTTGACGTTGACGGACGCCAGGAAGAGGAGGAAGAGAGTATATAGATACATGGCGAACCTTAGTTTGCCTCTATTCAAATACTGTATTATTATTGACTTCGAAAAAGGTCGCACAGGAGCGAACAGCTCTATTTATGTCATTCCTGGCCCACTCGGTGCCAGAGGAATCTCTCGGAATTTACCCCATATTGTCAGCCTTTGGACTGAATGCAGCCATCGCAGCCCACACGGCAACCTCCCGCAAGCCAAGATATCCCTCATCCAGGCGACCCCTTTGTGCCGCAGATGACTGGGCGCGGAGTCGGAAAGATTGAAGCCGGCCATGCATAGTGGCCCAAAGCGTATCCTATCGCGGGCAATGGCGCGATTCGGCCCAATGATGAGCTTGCAGTCGCAACGCCAACGCGGGAGTGGAGTGAGGTATCAAGTACGTACTGCCATGGCTGATGGTAATCGAATGAAAGTCGGAGGCGTTAAGAGGAAAAGCTTGGAACTAAGTACAATAATTCTTTGAGCCTTACCTGGTGACCGCCGATCGCGATCTGGCCAAACCTAAGGACTAGGGAGACTTTTGACCTACAATGCTGATATTGAATACTAAGTTGTTTGCTGACTGTATTTGTCAATTTCGTATGACCTCAGACCGCCATTCTTTTGTTCCTTTATCTATCGGAGCGTTTACAGAACTAGTAATGCATCCCTTGCTTGCTACACGCATCCAGTCGAGTGCGTTGTCCGAGTGGATCAATCTCCCGATCGGCCATTTCCGAATGCTCAGAATCATTAGAATAACTGTGAGTAGACGGATCAAACGGTCTCGCGAGTCATGGCTGCCGTGCATCATAGTGGGACCAAGTGGGCCATTGGGATCGCGCAAAATGAAGTCAAGATGAGCAGATGACATATCTCCTCTGCAACTGATAAACATCATTGGATATAGATTAACTCCGGCGGCATCCTCTTCGGTGTCTTATGGTGGCTTCAGCCATCCGTCGTTCTTAGCAGCTTGTAGGTTTGTCCCGCCAGAGTCTTACCATGGTCCATGCGATTCAGATTACTCCGTTAGGACAATGCAGTAAATCTTCTTCAAGAGACTCCATGCAATCATCCTCGGGGAAATAGACACCTATGAGCTGGATATGATGTATAGCAACACCTGTTATAGGCAAGTGTGAGCAGATATCTGAATGACTCGTTTATCAAGTAGCGCATCCAAGACAGTACGGTAAAAATGTTGTGTTGTCGTCTGCACGCTACTGTGCTTGTCTTCCGTCATTCTGACTCAGATTGATCGACAAAGACAAGGATCTCATCTTGGTCCATCGATCGCATCGATCGAGTCTTTTCTGGGGCACCCCCGTCATGATCCGGTTGACAGCGAAGATCGGTGGATCATATTATACTGTACTGTACTCCCAGCCTCTACTACTGGCACTTTCGTTTATTATAATACAGTGTATACTGTGATATTGGAATACCTCGAGGATTGTTTGATGTACTTGCTGCGGTAAGCGCGCCCAAGACAGAAATGCGGGGTAACAGTCATCATATTATTAGCCCTGGGATATAAGCCTTGTGCTCTTCCTGAATGGCTTACTTCCAGTGATATCATCGCCTATTAGCGCTGATGGCATAATTCCTTTTTGGTATGAGCACATGCCACCTCATAGTGCAGCAGGAAATGCGGGGAAGGCTGAATGATCTTCTTGATACTCCAGCACATAGAATCTGCTGACTGTCATTCGGATATGAAGGTCATATGTAGTTAGAGCCATTTTAATAAGAAAATCATGGTTATCGGTCCAGTGAGTCATAGCCTCATACTACTATTCTTCCTCCGTTGTTGAGATATACTGCTACAAATACAGACGTTGGAATGCACCTTCGCATAGTTTTCTATAGATTCATGATGTGTCATCATTCTTCACACATTAAGCATATCTCCTCTGCACCGCGTGCATCGTACCTGAGCTCGGTCCCTATCGGTTTCATTCCAGTCCATGGCCTGTCCACTGAACAAGCCCCTGACACGTAAGCTGGCGAGTTGCTCCAATCCGACACGAATGTCCTATGCCAGGGGAAGTACGGCAGAGAGGAAGGTAATCCAGCTTTGGCAGAAAGACCAGTCGCGTTAGATATCAGTCTGTAGTTCTATTAGGAGTTGAATTTGCTCCAGGATAGCTTTGAGTCTGTAGAGTGAGGGAAGAGGATGGATGGCACTGAGAGTGGACAGTGTCGTTTGATACCTCTTTGTATAGGGGACAATATCTTACGCTTGATGGGGATTCCGCCAACAACATCCTCTCACCATACCGAACATCTCTCATTTGCTTTCTGTCATCCCACTGGCCACGGGCTCTCTTAGCAACCCTGGGAGAGATTAATGTACAGGAGGCTCCTGAGCGATATATAGGGTCCTTGACAGCGATAGTTCTTCGCCATTGTAAGTACCAGTGAACAAGCGGAGCCTCCGAGTACTTCTGGGCTATAATGCCTGTATTCAGTCTTAATACAATTATATAAGCAAGCCCAAAAGTAATACGGCGAGCCAATCACAAATCCCTGCATTGACAGTATATGGGACGGCATCAAACAGGCTGACTATCACATTTCTAAGCATAATAAACACGTCGGACTTAACCGCACTTAGTATCTATCTCCATCAAAAGGATGTCTATAAAGCCAGCAAGTCCACGAGAAATGTCCCTTTTCAACCACGCATAACTATATACAATGGCAGCAACAAAAACAATAGTACTTATTACTGGTGGTAAGTTCATCAACTTGGGCGTGAAGGCGACTCAGCTAACCACCACCAGCAAACAGCGGCATCGGTTTCGAACTTGCCGCCCAGCTAACGGCCAAAGGCTCCTACCATGTCCTCATGGGAGTCCGTTCCATACAAAAGGGCCATGCAGCTCTTGCCCGGCTACAATCCTGCAATCTACCAGGCACCCCGGAGCTGCTCCATCTTGACGTCACCGACGATGAGACTATCCAGCGCGCCGTGGAGACGGTTGAACAAAACCATGGGAGAGTCGACATCCTCATCAACAACGCCGCCATAGTAGCTAGCGCTCCAACCCTTCGCCAAGGGCTGCAAGAGGAATTCAATACCAACGCAACCGGCCCGGCAGTCGTGACGGAGTCCTTTATCCCACTATTACAGAAGTCCACCGGCTCCTCGCGAATCATCAACATCTCCAGCGGCGCGGGCTCGATTGCCCGTCGTTTGGATCCGACCTCGGTATTGTACAAGGTGCCAGGCCTGCAGTATCGCGTGAGCAAGGCAGCGCTGCATATGATAACTGCGTGTCAGTGGGTAGAGTACGGCCCTGCTGTCAAGGTCTTTGCGTATGACCCTGGCTTCACACAGTCGAATCTTAGTGAGAGAAACACGGCGGAGAATGGAGCTAAGCCGGCTGCTGAGGCGGTGCGGCCGTTGATTGATGTGCTGGAGGGGAAGCGGGATGAGGAAGTTGGTCAGTTGTTGCATAACACGGGTGTTTATCCTTGGTAATTGCCAGTAGAATGCAAGCTGGCACCTCCGTCATAGCCGAGTACAGAAACTGCATTAAACTCTAGGACGGTGTTCCTGACTACAATCAATGTATGATCTCTCTCACAGAAAAACTCCTTCGCATCGCTGTCCATCGCCCAATATCCCTGCGGTATCCATCTTTGCCAATGCACAGCAAACTCTTCGCCAGTGTCATTGGCCGCAATGTCAGTAGTCCCATCTCCCATACATAGGCCAAACTGACTGGTTCCTATGCCCAGTTGCCCATTTAGTCCATCACCCGCAGACTAAAGAGACCCATCTGCCGCCAAAGCTACAATATGAGCCCGTCCCGCAGCTGCATCGACAATCTGGAGGCGGTTACCAGTATCAGTCATAATAACAGCTTCTATGAACTCGGCAGCGGTCGTCAAATTGGCATCTGCAATTTCAGGCCATTTCTCGGATCTGTAGCCCCAGATAAACAGCTGTCCCGCATGAGAGACACAGCTATTGTAACATCCCCCTGTTGCCAACTTCTTGATGGGCGGTAGTGGCAAGCTCTTTGGCGTGTAATTGAGCGCTTCCGGTAGTCGAGACGGCCATCGTTGGATTTGATCACCGAAAAGGACATAGCAATTCCACGCCTGTCCGAATGCTTCATCTTCGTCTGGTGGATCGGGGGGTTGAACGGTTTTCTTTTCGCCCCAGACATGCACAGTCCCAGCCTCATCGAGTGCTAAGATGTATCAAATGATCGTCAACTTGCACAAACGTGGACCCATCATCGCAGCTGATAATGCGAATATTCTGGCTGGACTTTGTTAAAGGTCCGAGCTTGAGCGGCCATAACGGACAGTATGAGCAATCTCTCCCTTGGTTATTGTGCTCGCAGCAATGCTCTTCGCCAACTGAGCGACGAAGGCAGGATTGAGGCTGGCCTAGGTATCCGTCACTGTTCTCACCACAACCGTAGTTGCATTCGTCAGCTAATGGAGGATATTCAGGAACTCGGTTCAGAAATGGGAGAATATGAATAATAAAAAAAGATTGAGAGCGAACACTCGGTCAATTCCAGCTAGGATTCAGACGACACCATACTCCTTTTATAACGCCAGGTCCGTATATTGCGGTAAAGCCATGCTTCACAACCAACCTAAGGCAGTTGAAGAGTCGCCAAAGCGATGGCGCAGCACCGACATAGCCGCCACCAAGGCATACAAGGGACTCTCCATATAGCCATCGGTAATACCACATCAGCTGGCCCATGATCAAGCAGGAAAGTACCGGTCATTTCTCACGGAAAACGTTGCAGCGTCTCCATTTTGGAATACCTGACCCGACGAGGCCAAGAAAAAGGGGGCTTCCCATGTGCCTATTCCCCTTCGGCGCATCAGTTCTCTCTCTCACTCTCTGATCCGTTTACTGCGTTTTCGAGCCGCGCGCTCTTGCTTCTTGCGTCTCTTTCTTGCTTCGGCGCTATCGCCAGATAATAGGTTTTTAAGCCAGTTTATCATAGTTGTTATTGTGGGAATGATCCGATAGAGTGAATGTGCCGACTTAGGATCAATAAGGGTGACAGCTGTCTCATCCCGATGAGCGGTACCCTGGTGATTGCAAGGATTGTTTAAGTGTTTCTTTGGACAAGGGGTATTAAGACAGTGCGACGCCTTGTTACATTTGTATACAATGATCATGATCCCACTACCCGAAATAGCATCTGGCCCTGGACAAGGTGAGAATATTATTGGAGGAAGACGCCCAGCCTTGAGGCCAGTAGTCCTTATGCTGCGTTAGGCGCCCTATGCTTACGGTAAACCAGGCCTGGCATTAGCCCACATGACTCATAATTCGAAGTTCAATTACACTCGGTAGATCACGGAAATTACCCTTGCAGAGAGATAACAATCAGATAGAAGTGATCAGTATACCAGTCTGCTCTGGAGTACATATTTCAAGCTGTGCTTGATTATATGAGTATACAAACGCACCAGGATGTGTCCCTCCTAGATAACCATACCCTGATAGCCATTGGGAAATGGGGAGTAACGTTGGTCTGAGCAGCACCTGCCATAACCAATGAAACAAGCCGTTCTTAAGCACTACACATGTTGCTGCATCTTAATACTCTTCCCTCTCAAAGCTCTCCACTTGAATGCCTTCCACGCATCCAAAGCATAGGGGAATAACGCCCAGATAACGAATATGACGAAGGTCAGCGGCATGGATACCGCCCAGTATATCCAAAAGTCCTCGGACACTTTCCACTGATCGTCACCGTCTTGGAAGAAAGGCGTGCTGAACAAGGTCTAGTCATTGAATCAGAAAAGTAGTCGCTGGAAGTAAGAAGAGTGGACTGTAACGTACAGAGATGAATGTGGCCGGCAGGAACACCATAGTCAATATGGATATCGACTTCATCACCGAGCTGTCCCGCTGAGTGATTCTATTAAATGCCTACTCCTGGTAAATTCCATGCACATTCTGATGCTTGAGACCATGAGGAACCTTACCGCCATAGTCTCCGTCTTCAGTCGCTCATATGACGACTTTGAGCGTAGTAGCAGGTTTTGAATCATCAACAGCTGAAAACCCACATACTCCTGCGCCTGCTCTTGATAGGTCTTGCTGGTCTCTGCTGGCAAACAATCGTAAACTCGTCTCTGCTGTTCCTGTATCTTCAGAAATGTCCCAATCGTCGCCTCCAGGACCTCTATGACATGGTCTCCATGGCGAGACAATTCGTTCATATTCTCGAAATTTGTTCCTATTTCGACTCTGTTCTATTATGAAAGGGGCACTCGTCAGCACAATAATATCCTCTCGAGCAGGGGCATATCCGAAGAGATGAAATGTACCTTCTCAATTGCCCGAACAGTATCCCGGAGCCCCCATGAAGACTGATCGTGCAATTTCACTATCTCGTCAAGCAATGGCACATGCATGCAAAACGGATCTTTCAGGTCCAGCGTGGACAACTTATCAAGGGATATCTTCAGGTCTTGGCGTAACGCTTCTGGCGCATCAACACATAATATCCTGCAACAGCTTGGGCTATCCCATCTAGTGAAGACACCGATTTCGTGCCATTTGTAGTCGATACTTAGTCCATTTGTCGCTCTTTGACTGTATATTAACTTTACCAAGCAACGGAACCATGTAACTAATGTTGTGATTAGCTTTTCTCAATGGGCCCCTTCTCAGGGAGGGATGATAGAAGAATGACATATTTACCATAATCTTGCAGCTTATTATCCTTGTCATAAGTTCCCCTGCATCCAAAGTACCCATTCATAAGAGTGCACGTATCATTTGTCACAAAAGGTGGTACGCTGAAGTGCCGCAAAATCTTTGCACGGTCTCGTTCTGATTGTGGATACGAACTGGCATCAAGAAACCTGATGAAATGACAAAGTTTGTTTTATAAGCGATGAGCATTTCGATATGATAAGATTCAAGTCCGAAAGTGCCATCCATACAAGTAGCATATCTTCGGAAGAGTGGTGGTCTATTTTGGGTCGGCTCAGTGATCTATTTTCAAGCAAGGCTTAGTAAAGTGCATACCTTCAAAAGGTCGATTTCCCCAAATTGCCAGCTTCCACCTTCTGCAAAAACCATTCATTATTTCAGTGCCCCTTGGCAAGCGAAGTGAAGGTGATATAACTTAGTACCACGATCTTCCAAGGATATTGCCATGCAATTCACAGTCGCCATGGGTTGTGGCTTTAGGTCTGATGAAGGTGGGCGAGGCTTTGTTGTGCCCAGTGAGCAATTATGATTCTGAGATAACTGATATCGACAGTCTCATAATCGCTTGATTCTTGATCCTCAGATTGGCAAGATCTATCTGTAGAAGGGTTTTGAGAAGGTAGCTACCGAGGAGTTCGAGGTGCGACATTTTAAGATACTTATGGAGGGTTTCAGTATGAAGCTGCCTTTAATGCAGGTATGCGGACAATGCCGGCGCTAACTAGGCTACCAAAATACAGCATTGGTGCTGAGAATTTTAAGAAACTAACAGTGTTGTGCAGCTCAGCCTCGCGGCCTCGCCCATAAGACTGGCTTTGGTGCAGAAATGCTGAGATGCTGGCGCTAACTAGGCCACCAATAGTATGGCATAAATAAGAATACAAGACGAAGAACTAACAAAGTGTCGGGCAGCTCAGCCTTGTCCATTAGGCATACTTTCGCGCACATATACAGAGTAACTGTAGGCTATGGATGAGGTACTCGACTCTCCTCGGTGCCTTATTCCGAGTAGTAAAATGGGATGGATTATATTCCTGCATACTAAACAAGTTGTCAGCCAAACTCCCTTCAACAGTCAACCAGGTGCAGTGGGACAAGATCGCGGCCGTCTCTACCGCCTTGAGTGGTTGAAGCGTCACCTATGAAGGTTGTATGCAAAGATCCGGCCTTGTCCGGTCGACTCAAGTCCATCCACAATGACTGCACACATATTGTAGCTCACAAGACTCATACCAGCGATTAAAGATGATTTGTGGCGTGGCGGCTTAGCCTTCTATCTGTTATCCGTGTTTTGATTTAATCCAATGCAAACCCTGACATTTTGTCTGGTGAGGAAGAGCAGAGGTGGGGGAGACTCCTGTATCTTCATAGGTCCATTATTCAGACCCCTCAGCTGGGATCATAATGTTGCAAAACGGGCGGCTTGGACACCCCTGAGCCAGAGGCATACAGAATCGGGTGCTGGAGTGCAAGGTCTGATATTCATCATTCAATTTTGAGCAATGCACTTTTCGTTGGAAAGGGAAGTCCTGTCCGTTCTGTTCTAGTGAGGGGATGCCATTGTCTTCCTCTATATCCCATCACTGTCCACTATGATCTAGCCCTTTTATACGTGGAGCGTGAGTACAGACAGCAATGCTGGGCATGTTTCAAGCTCTGACAAAAGTGCTAACCTCTTCCGCTTCCATTCCAAGTAGACGACGCCCAGATCCTGCCTTGAAAACAGCGTAATCAGCAGATTCGAACACCGCTATTATGGCAGGAACCAATGTAACCAATTTGCCCTGGGTCACCTCGGGAAAGCCGGGCAAGTACACTGGTTCCGTGATTTTCAAGACCGTCGGTACTGTTTTTACCAAATTCCCGGGCCCCATCCCCACCATCTCATCGCCATGAATTTGAAATAGGGATAATCTGCGACTTGGAGACGGTGTTCAATGCTGTTACCCCGCTCTTCGATCAATACTGGGACGAGGATGGCGCTCGCTACGGCAAGGTCTCAGGGGATCAAAACACCTCCACAACCGGCAGGATAGACAAATACAATGGTCGTCCTTGCCCTCCTACCGGGTATGGGTAAAGCCAGCGCAGCGGGAGCAGCAGTAAACTTTCGTTCCAGCTATAGAGGAGTGCAGCTTGCTTTTCCTGTGGGTATTTGCGGCGCTGCTCCGAAGAATGCAGAAGGTAAGGAGATATTGCTGGGTGATGTCGTGATAAGTCAACATGTAATCCAATATGACTTTAAAAGGCAGCTGCCGGACTAATTCAGAAGGAAAGATACACTGCAGGACAGTCTTGGGAGAGCCAATGCGGATATCTGCGCCTAAATCAGTTTTATATGTAGTCATAGACAGTGTATCCTGCGTATCCTGCCTGAGCGAAGACCATAGCTAATTTTGTTCTACACACATGGTCAACAGATTCCTTCTTAATAGACTTCCAAGCCATAAATGCACGTATCAAACACTAAGGGTAAGAATGCAATATGCAGCAAGCTGTCTATAAGCTAGACATACAGTTTAAACATTCCGATTGACCATTTCATTAATCAACTAAAGCAACTACAGAGAATATGAAAATTGAAGATAAATTCGTAAATGAATGCCTAGTGCTATACCCAAGCCACTAAGCCTTCAAGGAGGTAATACACAGCCTTATATCAAGGCTTATCATCTCTTAGTTTCGTTCAGTGGGTAGGCACAACGACAGGAGAAATGATATGGATTTAATTCCAGCTCACAGTTCGTCATGGAGTTGGTAAACCTAATGAAGTGATATTGTATCACATCACATCTAATTCAATGCGTCTCTACAGCCCAGCTTCTAAAGACCAAAAAGGAAAGTGACTCGCGCATCTAGTAACTATGTAGACCTGAACACAGACATATAACCCCTCAACAGCTTCAATGGTGACAAATCCATTGAATCAATGAGTCAAGCCGGTTAAAAGTGCGGGTAATCCACCGCCGATTATCCAGCTGCATCTGACTGGCCGACCATGGTTGATCCGAGTGGGGTAATCCCGGGTATCCTCGTCTTTAAAGACACCACGTGGCTGACAATAAGTGATGCTATACAGATTTATCTTCATCAAGAGACGGTGCTGTCATCAGTTTCAAAATCTTTGAGTATAACCTGACCAAAAATTGAAGAAGGCATGCCTCTCACTGAAGAGCAAAAGCAGCATTGGCTGGAACACGGCTTCATCAAGATCCCTCAATGTTTCACTAAGCAAGATGCCGACAACTGGACAGCCTCCATCTGGGCTCGCCTGGGCATCTCTCCGACGGACAAGTCTACTTGGAATAGTGAACGAGTCAACATGCCAGGTCATACAGTTGTTGACGTGAAAGACTTCGCGCCCAAGGCGTGGGATGCGATCTGTGAGCTCGTCGGCGGGGAAGACCGGGTAACGGATTGGTGCAAAGGCTGGCGAGACTCGTGGATCATCAATCTCGGTAGGCCAGAATACAAGCCTGATGACCCATTGGACTTCCGCACCTTGGACAACTGGCATAATGATGGAGACTGGTTCACGCATTTCCTGGATAGCGGGGAGCAAGCGCTCTTGGTGATTCCCCTATTCAGCGATATCAGACCCAGGGGAGGTGGAACTGTTTTATGCACTGATGGAATTGGCCTTGTAGCTAAGCATCTGGTCAGTTTACATTTCCTTATGAGATGAGCTTTGAACTGACACTATCAGTACGACCACCCCGAAGGAACATGGCCATCGCTCGCATCCCGCTCGGGTCCAAACCATCCACCTCCAGAGGGAGGCAAGCAGTGGAGAGACTGGGTGAGAGATCCTCAACTCACACGGGCAGAGTCCTTCCACGAAGCCACCGGACAAGCAGGCGACGTCTACCTCCTTCACCCGTTCATGTTGCATTCTGCCTCGCGCAATCTCCTGCGTGAACTCCGGATCATCACCAACCCTCCAGTCTCTCTCAAAGAGCCCTTCAACTACAACCGACCTGACGGTAAATACAGTCTTGTAGAACAGAAGACTCTGAAGGACCTGGGGCGACCAGAGGGCTTGTCGGAGTGGAAGATTACAAGGGAGAGGGAGATGCTTACTCCCGCGCGTGTGCAGGTGAGTCCATTTCCCCTTTTCTTTTTTAGTTCCTTGATCTGACAGTGTTGCAGATACAGGAAGACATGCGCCAGAAGGAGTTGGAACGATTGAAACAGGCGGGATCTTCTGTCACGAAGCTGGGAACGGCCAAGCCACTCGAGTCGCACTATCCATCATGATGAGCCGCTATTGAGAGCTTTTTCGTATAAGTACTCTTACGGCCGGTGAAGATGAAAGTCAGGCATAATGTGGTGAACACTCTCAGTTGTGCTTCTGTTTCAAGACTCGAGTCACTGCAGGACGCCAGAATTTGTGTCGTCATTGCAGAGGAAATATACGCTCTTAGTTACTGCCAATTTAGGATAGTGCGCGCTTTATTATGGTCATGTTATTGTAAGAAAAGGTGTAAAATCCTCCCTTTAAGACTCGACAATAGGTGGAGAAACATGGGGGGTCCCTTTGCATAATTATTCTAGGCTTAGTCTATAATTCCCGGACATACACCTAGAAGACAGTAAAAAGACCAAAGGAGTACAAGAGACAAGAATTAATTATGTTCTGCAGCATGTATTTGTTCTAGCTAACAGCCTTGATAATGCACTTTGGCTGCCTCCACTATAGTGACTGTATTGTACCAATATTAACAATTCAATTACATTAATTTATTATTCAACATCCAATACATTCTTGTTATTGTTACCTTCCCCGATCAAGGTTAATTAAACAAGGTTTCCGTATTCATCCGCGATGAAGCTATTCGGAGTTCAATTTCCGTATCAGGAACAGCAGGTGGGGTTTCTCCATGGTTCATTGACTTTGGTTGAACCCCCTAAATCAAAGTCTTAGCCTAACCCAAAACAGCCGAAATTCCGTGGCTTTTTCTGCATAATGTCTGCGGGGAAGCATGCCGGTGCCTGGCGGCTGCGAGCTCAAAAGCCGAACAAAAAGAGCCATTAGCGAGCAGTTACCAATCAGGATCAGGAAGCTCGTTGCATGTTCCAAGTCTGAAGAAGGCATGAAGATGCGGGGTATAATGATCAAACTAGCAAACTGACAGAAGAAGGGGGACAAAAGTCGGATCGGCGGGCCGTAGGAGCTTGACAAAGTCAAGCCAGTCTAATTACTGGTGGTTCCTAGCCATCAAGATGAAACATGGAGGCGCGCCTATCGCATACCTTAATCAACAATTCATGAGTGCATTCACAATGGCCGTCTTGCGAATACTCCCCGTTCGCAGATTCACCCTGCAAGATGGCGCTTCTGCAATATTCCCTTGAGCAGAATTTCTCCGTCTCCAGTCGGTGATTCTCCTGGCTCAGGGTATAAATACGGCTTGAAGAACGACTGATCATCCCATATCAAGCCTTCAGACTTCTCAAAACCAATATGGACTCCAAAAGAGGCATTTTGGCCGCTGTGCTGGCCCTACTTCCTCTCGCTTCCGCGCAACAACCCGCCACAAGTTCTGCTGGTAACCCCAAGCTCACAACATACAAATGTACCACTGCGGGCGGCTGTGTCGCGCAGGATACATCTGTGGTTCTTGATTGGGGCTCCCACTGGATCCACACAGTGAATGGGTATACATCTTGCACCACATCTTCCGGAGTCAACAGCACCCTCTGCCCTGATGAGGCCACTTGCGCAAAGAACTGCGTGATCGAGCCGGCCAACTACACCAGCGCCGGTGTGACCACCTCGGGCGACTCTCTGACTATGTACCAATATGTCCAGAACAACGGCGTGTACACCAATGCCTCGCCTCGCCTCTACCTCCTCGGTCCAGACAAGAACTACGTCATGCTGAAGCTGCTAGGCCAGGAGCTCTCCTTCGACGTGGACCTCTCCACACTCCCCTGCGGCGAAAACGGTGCCCTGTATCTCTCCGAGATGAGCGCCACCGGTGGTCGCAACGAATACAACACCGGAGGCGCCGAGTACGGCTCCGGCTATTGCGACGCGCAATGCCCCGTGATCGCCTGGAGGAACGGCACCCTCAACACCAACGGCGCAAGCTACTGCTGCAACGAGATGGACATCCTCGAGGCCAACTCTCGCGCCAACTCGTACACCCCGCACCCCTGCAGCGCGACGGACTGCGACAAGGGCGGCTGCGGCTTCAACCCATACGCTCTAGGTCAGCAGAGCTACTGGGGGCCCGGCGGCACCGTCGACACCTCCAAGCCCTTTACCATCACCACGCAGTTTGTCACCAACGACGGCACCACCACCGGCACCCTGTCCGAGATCCGCAGACAGTACATCCAGAACGGCAAGGTGATCGCAAACGCCGTGTCCTCCGCCGGCGTCAGCTCCATCACGGAGGACTGGTGCACCTCCGTCGACGGCTCAGCCGCCACCTTTGGCGGACTGACCACCATGGGCAAGGCACTGGGCCGCGGCATGGTCCTCATCTTCAGCATCTGGAACGATGCCAGCGGCTTCATGAACTGGCTCGACAGCGGCAATTCAGGTCCTTGCAGCAGTACCGAGGGAAACCCGGACTTGATCAAGGCGCAGAACCCGACCACCCACGTGGTCTTTTCCAACATCCGCTGGGGTGATATCGGATCGACTTTCAAGGGTTCTGGTGGTTCGGGTACGACGACCACCAAGACTACTACGACAACTACGACTACCTCCAAGACGTCCACCACGTCCACAAAGACTACCACCTCCACTGCGCCCGGGGCCACGCAAACCCACTATGGACAGTGTGGTGGACAGGGCTGGACTGGGCCCACGGCTTGTGCGTCGCCCTACACTTGCAAGGCTCAGAACCAGTGGTACTCCCAGTGTCTGTAGTCGTTGCTGTAGTTGCAGATTGCCATCTATATTATAGTTAGCAATCGAAAATATTTGTGGAATTTCTGGAAATTGTGCGTTTCGTAGAGGCTTTAAAGGATACATCACTAAATATATATTTTCCCGCATGGCATCGGTATCGGTGGAAAAGCACCGAATTTAAGCGTGGCATGAGTGGAAGGTGACAAGTTAATCTTGCTGTTCTTTGGAAACATGACTTAAGTCTAAGTCAACAGAGGAATTTAAAAACTTCACACCTAATTTTGTCATGTGCGATTCCGGTCTAATGACAACAATATTCAGCTGCAGATTCTTTGGCTTATAGATTGCTAAATCTGCGGAGATGGACATCAATTGGTTCCATGGTCTAGTGGTTATGACTCCGGATTTTGACGTGTGTCAGTTTTCCGGCAACTCGGGTTCAATTCCCGATGGGACCTTTCTTTTTGTTTTTTCGTCCGACATCTTATATCAACTTTCAATGTTGATAAGAGGTAAGTTTTTTTTATAATTTTCTCGTTTCTTCCTTGAATTGGATATTCAAATATTGCATAATGGTGATGGACACCTTACAAAGTACTAAGAGGGGTCTCCTAATCGCTGGCGAATTCACCGTTGTGCTGAATGGGAGAAACCCTAGCACTCGTGGTCTGCTCTGAAAAGCTTCGACCATCATTGGTTTTATTGTATTGTTGCCATCATAACCATGCAGACTTCTGCCTCTGTCATTTGTCTTTGTATCCTACTACAGAAGTGGGAACGTTGTCGAGCGTCACGTCTATTCCTGTTCCTATTTGTTGAGAAGATCAAGCAATCGTAGATTAATCATTCATCAATAACTCTATACAAAATCATAACCACAAGGATCCCAACCGATTATCTCTGCTTGTCAGCAGCCACGGCCTCCACACCCTCTGAACGAGGCGTCACCGTGCCCGATTCACACTTCCAAGTCAGAGTATCTCCCTCTCCGTTCAGAAGGTACATGTACCAGTAGTACGTGCCTGCATATGTCAGTCGCTGTCCAGCCCCATCGTAGATGAGATATGGACCTACCAGCAAACAATCCGCCCCCAACAACATTCCCCAGCAGCGTGGGAATGAACCCCTTCCAGATATACAGCCCGACCGTGATCTCAGGCGCACCCAGCCAGATTCTCATCGGGATAAAAGTCATATTGGCGACGACGGGGTCAAAGCCCAGCGAGACGAAGCCAAAGATTGGGAACCAGATGCCCATGAGATTGGAGGCGAGATCACGACCATGCATGGCTAGGAAGCAGGCCAGACTGACGAGCCAGTTGACAAAGACCTTGTCAAGGCGCATATTGCCCGTTGGCCACTCCGGCACGGGGCCGCAAGCTGTGCGACATCGACCGTAGCGTAGGCATCCATGCTGGCAGTCGACATTGGTACAACCTTGACGCAATTCAATTTGCGAAGGCCGTTTCCGATGCTTGAACTCGTGGTTTGTTCGGCTGACGACGAGCAAAAAGAGAAAGGGATGGTTGACATATGCAGATCTGCATCGGAACCAGGAAATATGGGTCTGGAAGTGTTATCTGGCATCCATAGTCTGTAGTAGAGTAAGGCAGTATGCTTAAGCAGGCTAAGCTACACAAACTGCCTCCACCTGCGGGCCCCTACTAACGAGCCGTGATCCACCACGAAACAAAATTTCGGATTTCTGGATTGGCCGGGAACGAGATCAGCCTTTGTCCGAGTCCGACGCCGACTGGATGCTGCATCGGTTCCTCATCAGGATGATAGGAAAACCTACAGCTTAGTGCGTTTGACAATTGAGCAGCGGCTAGTGCAGCCGGATGGGACTTATGCCCACCGCACAATGGTCTGGTAGAAGAGACATTCCAAAATCTGGTAAAAGATATTGAATGAGAAGTCAAAGATGGTCTAATTCCTCCTAACTTAATGGGTATCTCTATGGTGTTATATACAACTACGGGATGGGGTAAACATGAGGCATCTCATGGTTGCATTGGCAGATCAGACGGCAGGTTTCAGATCTCAGGGGTCAGGCCTCAGGGGCCTCCACCTACTAGCCGAGATAGCGAGGCTGACAAGAGGTTGAATGAGACATCAAGGTCAAGCGAATCACCAAGCAGTAAATTATCAACCAGGTGACTCTTAGGAGTCAAATTCATAGACTGGCAAATCTCTATGACTCGAGCCCTTGGGCCAACCTTAACTCGTCACCATTCTAATCCTGCCGTAAATCAGATCTATACTCCGTACAAGCCCATGGTTTTGCTTTTGGTGGACACCCATACCAAAAGCTTGTTCGAGAGAAGCATTGCCAAGCTGGACACATACACCGTTGCTGGCAACTCTTTGCCATTGGACATTTGGACTAATCATGAATGAGCCAATGACGATCCAAAGCTTAGGATCGTGGACGATGAACTAGGTACCTACTAGGTGGACGGCCTATGTGTGGCTTGACCTGCAATGACAAATGGCTTATTGCCGTCTCCTACAGGCTGTCATTAGGACTGAAGCCCTGCTTATGCGTTCTGTGATTTAGCTGGGTAGCCTGGTTTGTCTAATATCCAGGGTTACTCATGCGCATTAGATAACTATACTACAATCTCCACTGACAGACCAGCATTATCCATGCGGGTAAGAAAGGTAAGAAGGATGATATGCAAGACAGTAGCATCTTAGGTGCGATACTGGACCTCGCAGAGGCACCACAGAGGTTTCAAGCCGCGCGCTACGGGGCCGCTGAACGGAACATTAGGCAAATAGGCCACCACAGGCCGTGACGAGGCTCCAAAGTCGTCGGAAAGTAATGGTTTATTGTACACAGACAGACATAAGAACTAGATACTTGTATCCTGCATATCGCCTAGGCGAGGGGTCAGGGTATGAATTCATCATCGTCATCATCAACTGTATAGCAGGGGCAAAGATCTGTAGGTAAAGCAAAACTTAAGACTTGGAGTCGGATAAACGGGAGAAAGACTGTATAAACAGGCAATATCTCAACCTGTTGATACTGAGGACTGGCAAACTCGTGGTGGAATTGCTGGTTGAACCTTTGAATGGGAACTAACAGCAGCCTGATGGTGGTCCCATCTGCAAGGGGTGCCGCAACCCTAACAAAACGCGTTAGGGGCCAACAAGATATTCACGTTCAAAGGGACCAAACAGCTCACAATAAGCAGTCAATGCGAAGGAAAAAGTGACTGAGAGATCAGAATAACCTAGGAGATAGGGTGACTGAAATCACTAAAACCACAGTGTTACAACACTAACGCCGCAGGGCGGGGGTGACAGGCAGAAGAACTATGGAGCAACAAGGACCAACCAATCTCTAGCTACTGAATCCTTATATGGTAGACTGTTGGTTACTTCTTTCTTATTTAGTTGCAAATGGCATTCAGCTATCTGGCGTCCTTGAACGAGAGCAAGGGCTCCGTTAGTTCAGCGGAAAAGGCATGGGAAGATCGCTGGGGCAGGCAAACAACCTACCTGATATCACTTTACAGTGCAAACAGCATTCAGCTATCTAGTGACATTAAAAATGGCAATATCAGAGCTTTGTGAGTTGAGGGGATACGGGCATGAGAACGACAGCAGGGCAATCAATCAAGATCCTAGAAGTCCGTTGTAATCTATCTATTGAAGCCACTAGCTATGCAGGCGCTCCACGATTGAAGCAGAAATCTACTATCCAAACGCCCGAAGTCTAAGGGGACCTAAGGATGCAGAGAAGGCAAAAGAAACGGAGTATAGCCACATCGAAAGCAGAAAACACCATAAACTCGCCTGCTACCTACATACAAGAACCGGGTCGCCGACTAGGGAACTATCTCTTCAGAAGAAGGGCGGGAATGAAAAACTATATTAAGTGAATAATCTACTATCGTTCACAACCAGTAGCCTAACCGCTAATACTAGATTGTAAACGGTCTTAGGGGACAACGTTGTCTGGACCGAACCGCGAACCAGCTAAGCTATTGTCAATCAAAAATGACCGCGAGACCACCAAATGTGATCACTCCAACGGGGCCATATGTGGTCCATTTCTGTATTTGACAGCTTGTATAATAGCTCAGTCGCACTTCATCACGATAGGACGTAATCTGCAGCCTAAAACCAAGGACCTTTCAATGCTAAGTCTACCAGACTCTAGAGTAATAGTTATGATGAATTCATGGCCCAGTACATAGAGTGAGATCACTGATTAAGATTTCCTCCATCGTGCTCCAAATAGAAAAATACCAACTCATTCGCTATCAGGCGTCGTACTGATAATCTGTATCCCGATCCATGTCTCATCCAGCTTGACAATTTTCTCCTAATCATCCTTGTACAGCACGTCGAAATACACTTCCTGGAGCGTAGTCGGTGTCACATGGCTCCTAAGTAACCCGCTCCACTTAGATTCATAAAACACATTCAGAATCCAAGCATTGCTCTCTGGGTTCCAATTGCCATCTTCCAATTTACGCCATCGAAGGGTGACTTGGTCGTGTGATTTAACTGGTCCTATGTCGGTACCATCACGCCCGCGAAGGAACCAGTACCCATCGGTTGGAACGTAAGGTGTTGCAACAGGGAATGTATCACGCAGTGTATCAGGTTTCTTTTCCTTAGCCGGCGTGTCGGTGCTTTCTTTTTCGAACGACATCATGGTGAAGTACAGCTCTGATGACGGATTTCTAAGGAGATATGGTTGGCCATACATGATCTAATTAACGTTTCAGTAAGTAAGCACCAAGCTGTAAATTACCAACTAACATACCTTGGCTACTCCGTTTCTATTCAGAGTCTGGAATTCAAGGTAGCAGCCATATTGATGGCAATCAAAATCATCCCCGCCGGTTCCACAGTTGAGAGTGACCGTTCCACACTCATTCGGAAGCTGTTTTGACGTCTTTTCCAGCTTAAGGATGTCGTCTTTACAGAATAAAATGTCAGTATTAAGCTTTTCCCCCATAAAGCCCTGGACCATCTCACCTAGCTTCCACAGCGCCGCCTCTCTTTGATACGCCATAAGATACTTGTTCCAAGGCCAATCACCCAGCGGTAATCGTTTAAGGTAAAACATTCTACCCTGCCGCTGATTCAATACGGGGTGTTTGATTGGTCCGGTCGGAGGAAGAGGATCCTTAACAGCTGGGGTGAGAAGCTGTTTGACCTCGTTCTTTATTCCGGATGGCTCCTCAAATTTGCAAAGGAGATGCAAAATGTGGAGATTTCCGGCTCTCTGCGAGATCTGTCAGTTCCAATAGTCCAAGGGGTACGATTTAGAGTTCTCACATCAATGATTCTCCAGTTACGAAAATCACCCACTGTTGGACACCACACGGGGGGACTTCGAGAGGATTCGTATACATATGGAACCATGGCGAGAAGCTCTTAGGGAAAGGACTAACTTATTGCACAACAGGGTATTGCCCCCGTTTGCTTGCCATTGTAGGGTACTGTCAAGGCGACTGTCGGACTTGGTGTTGGAATCTCTCTACCACTTCCGGAGCCGCCGCCCAGCGTGCCTCCGGGACCATCAGAAGCAACCTTCAAAGAGAGTGCACCCTGCCACTTCAAGGAATTCTTGACATCTCTTGCACTGGAAGAACTCTGTGCGTCAAATTCCTCTGACGCCCAGAGTCTCCCGCCCAACTGAAGCTGGGTGCTGAAGTATTCACCTGCAACAAGTTAATCCTGGTTGACCGTATAACTTCGATTGGATATCGGTCGTAATTCCTAACCAAATTTTTCAAAAAATCTATCCGCCTTTTTATCTTCAACGGCCTTCTTTAGCTCCTGATGACACTCTTCTGTCACCTCGAGGCTATACTCATCTAACCGGAGCGTGACACGCGGAAACTAGTCGAGTCAGGGATAGTAGAAGAAAAGAATGGGCATCACAAACGTTATATGATATATTCATCAAGCTCATTTCGTGCGACTCATCCGAGTGGCTCTGGTCTGTTTCAGAAGTCTTTCGTCCTCCACTGAACCCAACTCCTACGCCGCCAGGTAGAGGTAGCCCACTGACATGGGTTAGAGAAGTTCTAAGGGACAGGGGAATTACTGACAGCGATAACGAGATGTCGCCTGTGGTTATGGCTGACTTTGAAAGAGAGGATTGAAACTGGGTCTTCGTCTCGTAGATAGAAACGTATGAATGATCGTCGACAATGAAATCTGGGATGCGGACCTTGGCCTACGTGCGAGCAAGAGCCTTTAGTGTCAGTTCAGTAAAGTCAGCTCAGATTTACCAATATTACCTCATTTTTTTCCGCGTCATCAAATAACCGTCGTTCTTTCAAACGGAACGCTATGTGAAAAATTTAGCAATCACCCGGCTCAGCGCATATCCCAGAATGGGAGCATGCTCACCTGGGTAGGGAGCCCGAATCAAGCCAACAGGCGTGCTTTTGCCGTTGCCTACAGGCTGACGAACGACGCAAAGACCATAGCATAGTGCGTTGTTAATGGTCACTATCTTCCATGCCGTCTCATCCAGCTGCTGTGGGTTTCTGTGTGTGTATTCCTGTCAGCTGAATGTCCACTGGAAGCCAAAGACACCACACGAAAGTGTACCATACGTGGTGGTTCCTTCAACCTTCCAGTCAGCCTTGTTTATCCCTGTTGTCAGAAGCTTGGACTCCGGGGCTGGGAGAGGCTCTGGAATTTCCTGGAGGTGGTTAGGTACACGCTAACTCTCTGGTTGTAATGCAGTTTTCTGATCCCGCTTACAGGCAGCTCGAGGTCATTGCTTGGGATAATATTGTCCTGGACCTTCCTCTGATACCACGCTGTCTGCCCCTTCAGGTAAGCTTTCAAGGCTGACTTGGTGTTGCCCCCCATGGAAGCTCCAGTGCCATCCTTATTCTCCGTCTTTGAACCGCCATTTTCTTCCGAATTAACACTCTGTTTGCAAAATGTCAATGAGATTCATACTGTCACATGACAGGACTGGAACATACATTCACTGCTTTCAGATATTCCTCGACCTTCCAAGTCTTGTCGCAAACAGCACCCTCGCGGTGGCAAAGGGCAGTTTCGAGCTAAGTAAATCATCAGTTGAACGTGTCACAACTCCACAAAAGGAAAGGACGGACTATTCTTTGAATTCGGGGCTGGTGCTGATCGCGGATTGGAGCTCAGCCAGTGTCCCATTTGCAAGTTCCTTTGGGAGCTTGAACATAAAAATTGGCTCCTTCTCTTTACCACCGTCGACTTTGATGAACAGCACGCTTTTTGTATTGTCTTCTGATGAGCTGTCCTTATTGTCATCCGGGTCAGTCTTCTTGTTCTCGCCCGATTCCGACATGGTGAACACGTTATGCGAACTAGAAGGTGCGCTGATATGTGGCAAAGTCGGATATGGCTTTCGGAAATAGGTCCCTCGATCAAAATACTAATCTCAGACGGTCCACCATGTGGTTCACTTGATGACCTGCGGGTCGCTGAGCATCCATTCCTTTATATTCCCCTGCCTATTCAGAGAACAATGCCACCTCAGCGACATCTAGGAAATGTGCTGGGATGATTAGAGGGCAAGTTGGGCAACTATGTCGGTGTGACGTGTTTAATGCGGTCTATCAAGCGGCTAGGACCACCAGAGTGAGGAGAATCATGTACTGTCTATTAAACCAATTCATCGGAAAGTCAGTTAGTGCATTAGTGTCAAGGGTCATGCATGGGATGGGTTTCAGCATCTGCTGAGTTACCAAAGTCCGGAGTAGTCTTATTTTCAAACTTGAACATCTGATCCTGCCCTCGTTCGGTTCGCATCCCCTTCGTTTGTGTGTAACACACCATAAACCGCGGACAAGTCTAATAAAATGTTGATGCGCGGTGCCGCTTGAGGTGTGTTCGAACTAGCCGTTCCCATAGTAAAGGGAGAACAGGGGGAACCTACCTAGGTACTCCGAAGTAAATCCTGATGGTTCGTCATACTGATCGATCAGGCCCTACATGGGACAGTCAATGCATTGAAGTGGAGAGCGGCATTTTTGACTCATAGGATACACGTATCAATGGCTAGCCACCATTCAACTTGTGTGATTGCGTAGCTCCACGAACAGATTCGTTCAGCGCCCTAGGCATCCATAATGCAAGGCAATGACCGCCCAGATGTACATCGATAGGCTGGCCAGGCAATGAGTAAACGCCGCCTGAAAGTTAATAAGCCAATGCAGCCCGGGCCAGGATCAGTGCGCGTGCCCCTGCATCTGTAAGTGGTCTGAAGGCTAGCCAGCAACACAACATACTGATAGCAAGGACTAGTGCGGACTCAAACCCGATAGGTTGGCTTATACAGAACATCTTCTGTGGAAGAGCGGTTCGATACGTTGATCAGCAAAACCTGAGTATCGTAGGTAATATGCTAGCCCTTCTAATGGTACTCGTGAGAGTCGAGGTTCGTGCATCGTGGCCCCCGTAGCCATGGAGTGTCTCCCACCGTTGTGGCCGGATCAGCGCATCACATCCACCAGCTTCCAGCGCTCGGCTCCAACACTGTCGCGGTCAGATGGTTTATTGAGCCGATTCGTATCCTCTCAGGCAAACCCTTCTTGACCCTGAAAACTGTCACGTGGCGAGCCGCCGACGTACCTCCTCCAGGGGCCGGCCCCCTCACCTAGATAATAGTTTGTCCAAACTCTGCACACACAGAATAGGAGTAGGGGAAACTGAACAGCTTAGAGGAAGCTAAGTAGTTTATTCTAATTGTTTAATATATATATATTTTTCTTAGTAAACCTCTATGTTATTAAAACACTATAATTATAGCAGTGCCTTATAGCCTAGTTGATGATACCTCGCTGGCTAGGAACCCCCTGAAGCAGTCAACCTTCACACTGCTTACAAGAGGCTTAGCTATTCACCATATTGCTGCCACACCTTGATGCTCCTCACCCAGCTGCCAGGGAATTTTTCGCAGTCAAATGAGCGTAGAAGTTGCAGTTACAAGGATACAAAGCACGTTGCCGCCTGTACGCCTTAGCTTCTTGGAACTCAGTCAAACAAGCATTCTTCAGCTTCCTGAGGGGGAATATTTGCCCGCTCATATTCCTTTCAGCTATCGACTCCACGGTCAATATAGCCATCTTGGCTATGTAATCGGGAAAAATGAAGATGAAGAAGCATACAGCCTGTGGTGCACACGACATATAAGTGGATATTTAGGGTTAGCAAATTATATCGAGTGCGGTGGGCCTTGCTCTACGGGCTACAAGAGCACACCCGGATGACCTGGTCAAAGCCAGTGACTCGATCCTCGTGGTGACTGAGTGGGACCGTACAGACCTTCCGGCTCTCTTTCCTTCACCGCTGCCGACTTACAGTTCGTGATAATGAGCAACTCTAGTAAGCGTATGTCAACTCCCCAAATGCCTCTTTTGACCGCTCTCGTACATTTTGACCTTCAAATTGTCCGCCCTTTGCTTGATATCCCTGTCTGAGACTCCGTCATTCTTCTCTTCGCGGTACAGAAACAGCAAAGGCAAAGGGTCATTCCTCCACTTGGGAGCCCCGTTCCTCCATGTCTTCCATACTGTACCCACCAGCGTTACAACTCCAAGCAACCACACCAGAACAGGCAAGACAATCCACTGCCATTGAACAGCGACATAGGTCATGCTTCTCATGACGCGTCCAGCAGCCATTTGTGCCTTGCCGGGATCCGAGCCCGCACTGATGTACGCCGAATCACGGAAACTCTTCGAGATGGCAGCTGCCACATTGTGCATGCTGCAGTTGAACTTGTCTACGGCGTCGGGGCTGCAGCCGCTGACGTTGCCCGTTGCCAGGGCCTCAATGACATCCGATCCTGCATAACTCTTTTGGGAAGGCGCGTAATAGGCTGCGAAGGCGTCTTCCTCAAAACTGCCGTCGAAGATAGTTTTAAAAAAGTAGTCGATTGCGGAGAGGGCTGTGACATGCAGCGAAAAGTTCTGGGTCGGGAAGGCTCCCAACTCTGGGCCCCAGTTGGGCTTGCAAGTGCGCCGGAGTTCCGTGAGATTGCTTTGTACCCAGGTAGCGAGAACATCCTCGCTGTAGATATTGTTCTCAACGCGAGCCCGGATGCTCTGGACTACTGGCTCAATGGAACACTCGATTGCTTCCCATTTAGTGTTGAGGTCAATATTCGGTATTGTTCCTCCTCGTTCGCTTGTGATACCTCTCGCTGCGATGAACTGGATTGGACTCAGTGTGGCATTTTTGTATACCAGAGGCTCCAGAGCGGAAGTTACGGCCGGGTTTACTGCGAGTGGACGACGCTTCGCTGTGTTCGGAACAAACCATATTGTTGTGCTGCTATTTGCAAGCGTTAATGAGCAGTTCACTAATCCGCGAGGACCATATGTGGCATTGTGGCATGAGGGAACGAGATGGTCAGTAACATTGGCGCAGACCGCACGAGCTCCCAACGATGCCACTGGGTCCCAGGTGCAGTTACTTTGAGCTACAGAGGTACTGCGGAATGGCCCATGGCTTGCTCTGATCCGCATTGAAGAGCGAGCTGTACACATTTGCTTTGAGTACGGCATCGACTCTGCTAGCTGTGTATCCTGTCAGCTCTGAATATTTGACAAAATCCAAGGGACCGATTGTCTCACCACCACGACCAGGCAAGCCGACAGTGTCGTATCTGGTGCTGTTTGGCAGAAAGGCCGTTTGAGAGGGATCCACCACCAAGTTCGGGTAGTAATGGATTAGATTCTGGACAAAGGGATCGAAGGCAAGTGCCAGGATGATAGCCAGGCTACCCCAGACGGCAATGTGTCTGCAACCGTTAGAAAGGGTTTATCGCAGTCTTGTGAGTTCTGCTTGCCTGGCTTTTAGTATCCAAATGAGCACGGCGCTCCCGTAGAAGCCGCGACTGGCCGTGTCAAACGACTGGAGATCCACCACGCGCTGCTGCCTTTGTCCAAACCACACCCACTTCAGCTGTCCGATGCATTCATTGATCGAGAACAAAACACAGGCTTTGGAGATAGTACTCAACCAGGAAATGACCGAGTTGAGCGACAGCAGTCTCCAGGCAGGCTGGGGCTTGTGATCATAATGGATGAGCATGGCGACCATAGCAACCAGTGTGCCTGCTGAGACCAGCACTGCCAGCACCTCCCAGACATACCAGTCCGAGACGAAGCTCTCTACGGACTTTGGAGGTTGTTCCTTCTCGTCTTGCACCGCAGGGGACGGCCTGGAAGCATTTTCGGCCCCAGGACTTTGCTGTGGCTGTGCATCCGCGTCCAGTTGGTCGTTTGAACGTAAACTGGAACACGGCCATCTTCTCCCGTATTGTGTACGAACTTGCTGCCATGATTGTTCTTCTTGTGGTTGCATTTCTAGATGATCAATGCGCTTGCCTGGAGTAACGAAGAACTGATCTATTCATTCCCAGCTCCGAGGCGGCTGTCTTTATAAATAAAATCTCACTACGTACACTGGACGGTAGCCAGTGTCAAGGACTATTGCTACGTTGGCAGTGCTTTTGCAAGGGTCTGCTGCACGTCCCTCTAGCCTTGTACACAGCGGGCTAGAGATGGCATTTGATAGGCAGGTTTCAATATTGACTAACCACATACTGCAAATGCGCCAAGCAGAGGGGTGCACATCCCCATCTAGCCTTATGCGCAGCCGGCTAGAGATGGTTTTTGATAGGTAGATCAATCAGATTGATTCAATACTGGCCAGTCAAATGTTACGAAACGCGCCCAGGTTCCCAAGGCAGAAGCCCAGCGCTAAAGGTTTAGTTTCCGATTCATTCCACTTCATCCAATCGTTGAATCCTTCGCCGTAAAGAGAAGAAAATAAACACAGGCACTTGCGCCAGAATGGCTCCAGATTCGCTTAAAGGTCCTTTCCTTCTCTCCCCCTAGACTGATAGAGAGAGGCTGATTCCCTAACACCACATCCCCTTCCTTGTAAGGTCACCTAGGTCTCATTGATATGAGCATGCTAGGCTAGGCAGTGCTCATGTAGGTCATTCCTTCAGTAGGTATTCGCATTAAGTCTTCCATGATAAACAAGATTAAGCATACATGAACCAAAACTGACAGAAGCCAGTCAAGCGACTCAAGCAGGCTGATCATTATATATATCAGCAGGAAGAACCAGGAGCTTTACATATCAAAACTAGACAATTCACTTTAGATCATAGACGCACTTGATTATTTCTTTCAACTCACTTACAGCTCAATATCATGAATCAATGGTATTCTATTCATTATTGTTGAAGGTATTGGATATGCACTGTCTGCAGTGTACATGCTTACCTAATCAATCTGGGGCATAATTTTATTCCAGTAACACTAACAAGCAACAGCACACAAGTGAGTCAGTGACAACACACAACTCTCTCCATTGACGACTCTCCCATCTACAAATCGCAAAGGGCATCATCCATTACACCTGATTACTTAACTACACTCAGCATGGACAATCTGTCCTTGGTTGTGGTGACCCTTCTCATCATCGCGGGATCTGCTCTCATTCTCCGCATCAGACATGATCCGCGCGAACCCCCTGTAGTCCACAACGGCATCCCGTTCATCGGCCATATGATCGGCTTCATTCGGCATGGAATCGACTACTACGCGTTACAGAGGTACATGCTCTGTCCACCCCAACCACAAGCCCCCATCTAACAGGAACAGCGCAAAGCACGGCCTCGAAGCCTTCACCATGGACGTGCTCTTCACCAAAATCTATGTCATCACCACCCCCAGTCTAGTCATTGCTGCCCGGCGCCATCACCGCACCATGTCCTTTGAGCCCGCCATTACCGGCGCGGCGCGGCGCGTGACCGGCCTCAAAGGACGCGGGTTTGAGCTCCTCAGCGAGAAGCGGCCCGGCGGCGAGAACTTGCACGGGGATGTTGTGAACGCGATGCGTCCGGCCCTCGAGGGCGCGGGCTTGGATGGGATGAACGAGAAGGTGGTTGGGTACTTGCTTGGGAGCGTCGACGACTTGCCCACCGCGGCGCCGTTTGATTTCCACGGATGGTGTCGCTCGGCACTCACCGTCTCCAGTACGGATGCGGTGTATGGGCCGCTGAATCCGTACCGGTCGAAGGAGCTGCAGGATGCGTTTTGGTATGTCTTCCGCCTGGGTTTGTGACTAAAAGCTAACTGGGTTAGGGACTTTGAGGAGAATCTCGCGCTGCTGCTGATGGACGTCGTGCAGAAGGTCACAGCGCGCAAGGCATGGAAGGCACGACAGCGGCTCGTCGCGGCGTTTCTCGATTACTACCGTGCTGGTGGGCATCTCGACTCGTCGCAGTTGACGTATGCTCGGTGGGAGACGCAGCAGAAAGGCGGTGCCTCGCTTGAGGATATTGCCCGCCTGGAGGCGGCTGCTGCATTGGGAACCTTATCGAACACAGTTCCGGCGATGTTCTGGTTCATGTTTGATATCTTCTCTCGTCCGGAGCTGCTGGAGGCGGTGCGGGATGAAGTTGCTCAGCGTGCAGTCCAGATTGATGCGCAGGGCGTGCACACCGTTGATCTCGCCGAGATCAAGGAGAAGTGTCCTCTGCTGATGTCGGCCTTCCAGGAGACGCTGCGGCTACGTTCTAATACCGTTCCTATCCGGATTATCTTTGAGGACACTATCCTGGATGACCGTTATCTTCTGAAAAAGGGAGGAATCCTGCAGATGCCCGCACACGCCATCAACCGCGACCGGACAATCTGGGGCAGCGACGCGGGCGAATACGACCCTCGCCGATTTGTGAAAGTCAACCAGTCTGACAGCCGCAAGAAAGCCAACGGATTCCTGTCTTTTGGGACCTCTCCGCACGTTTGTCCGGGCAGACACTTTGCCACAGGGGAGATCCTGGCGCTGATTGCCATGCTTGTGCTTCGATATGACATTGTCCCTCTCGGCGGCGTGTGGAAAGAGCCCAGGACCAATAAGTCAGCCGTTACGTCTTCGACACGGCCTCCAGCGGAAGAATTCAAGGTGGTTGCTACGGCTAGAAAGGAGCATGAGGGGGCTAGATGGGCGTTCCGTGTGACAGAGGGCAAGGGGAAGTACGGACTGATCATTGGGTAGTGACTCATATCTTCAGCATGATAACTAGCATCTTACTAGTCGTGAATCATTCTTGCAATCGAATATGTTCCAAAAGAGGCTAGCGCTCGTATCTTATGCTGCCTAATTTCCTTCCGCTGCTTCCTGAAATTCTCATCCACTTCATATCACACCAGCCAGTATTGATATGTATTATCCAGTAGCAGGGTATCCCAGTGACTCTCTGTACAATAGGACCCGACAACGAGATGGCCCCCCAGACTCGGCGATCAAGCAGGCGTCGTGTAGATTCCGAACACATCCCCGAAACCAACACCGAGTCTCCAACTCAACCAGTCCGCTTCATCCCACCACAAGCAGTCTTAGATCACCCACAGCAAAGCACCACCCTCATCCCCCAGGCCTAACCCGCCTCCCGCACCTAACCACCAAAGAAACAACCCTCCTCCGCAAAAAACAATCCCGCCTACGCGCATCCGCACCCGCCACAAAAGCAACCGCAGCAGACTACGGTCCACCCGCCTTGCAATCCCTCTCCTCAACCCTCATCTTTGCACAGCACGAAGCAGGCACAGCAGTATGCATCCACCCAGATGGCTGGCTCCTCACCTGCGCGCATTGCTTCGGCGAGTCCGAGGCCGAGTGGCGCTCCCACAGCCGGAAATGGCTCCTCTTTTTCACGGGCGAAGCAGTGTTCGTCGAGTGTGTAGCCTGGGACGCGGGGCGGGACCTTGCACTGGCCAGAATCACTGCACTTGAGCGCCTGCTCCCGGCTGCCTCCCAGAATTCAATCCCAAGCTTCGCGTGTGTGCCACTAGCACCACCATCAGCTTCTCTCAGCTCCAAGATCCTCTGCATCGGGCAGCCAGGCTCTGATGATCTAGAATCATCCGCCCCGCGAAAAACAGCCTACGGTCTTATTGAGATTTCTGAAGGTCGGTTGCGCGGGTTGATGCCCGGTGCGGACCCGCATGATAACGAGGAGATTGGGGCGCTGAGGCACGATGCGTGGACGTACTGGGGTCATTCTGGGGCGCCTTTGTTGCGGCGGACTGATGGTGTGTTACTGGGGTTGCATTCATCGTGGGATGAGACTACGGCTATGAGGCATGGGGTGCCGATTGTTGCGGTTAGGGGGTTTCTCAAAGAGAGGTTTCCTGGGGGTTGGGCTGAGGACCAGGGTGATGGGGAGGAAAGAGAGGTGATTGTAATTGATTGATCATCTTTTACTTGCACATGGCATACATAATTGATGCTATAGACGCCTTGTATTCACTGCCGTACTTGCATCGGGAAATATAGGAGTATAGGACCAAGCCGGGCCAAACTCCACCATCCCAACGTTTTCACCGAGGGGCCCATCTGTTCCCGTGGGACCAATCAGATGAAGTAAAAATATCAAATAAAGTTGCCCGCGGACAGTTCAGTCTAACTCGATATAACTTGACCAATTCATGTCTGCAGTCCGTGCATTCGGAGCTCATAACCCCGGACATACACTTTTTCATTTTTTTTCTCCAGTCATTTGTCGTCCTGTTTCAACCCAACCGACAGGCAAATGATTCAAGTTCCGAACGCAACAGGCGACCCTGAACGGCTTCGCGCCGAGGGCGAGCTATTCGACAAGGATGCCGCACTGGCGGTCGTCAGCGATGTGGCAATGGAAATCGATCCAGAGGTCGAGAAGCGCGTCCTGCGCAAGATCGACCTCTTCTTCATGCCGGCCATGCTAATCGGGTACGGACTGGTCTACTGGGACAAGGCGATTCTCGGCAGCGCGACGCTGTTCGGCATGACCACCGACCTGCACCTGGTGGTCATCGACCACAGCACGACGCCGCCGTCAAAAGACACGTCCCGGCTGAGCTGGGCGACCTCGATTTTCTATTTCGGCATGCTGGCCGGTCTCTACCCGATGACCTTTTTCGTGCAGCGCTTCAAAATCCAGCATGTCTTTGGGCCGATCGTTATGCTGTGGGCTGTCACCTGTGCTGCTACCGCGGGGGTAACGACCTGGCAGGGGTTGTTTGTCCAGCGCTTCTTCCTAGGTAAAGTCCAATCCTTTTTGCCAAACCAGGGGTAACAGGGGTCGGTCTGACAAAAAATGCAGGCTTCGTGGAAAGCGTGGTCCCCACCGGCTTCATGACCATCGTCAGCGGCTACTACACGCAAAAAGAGCAGTCCCTGCGCCAGGCATGGTGGTTCTCCGGCACAGGATGGTTCACCATTATCGGCGGCGCAATGAACTACGGCTTCGGGCAGATCACCTCCGGCTCGCTGAAGCGCTGGCAGTACATCTACATCTTCGCCGGCGTACTGACCTTCCTCTTCGGGATCTGGTGCTGCGCGATGCCCAACTCGCCTGTCTCAGCCTGGTTTCTTACACAGGAAGAACGCGTCGTCGCCGTCGAGCGCCTCCGCAGGGGTCAAACGGGCGTGCGCTGTCAGAAGATCAAGCTGTCGCAGATCAAGGAGGCTGCGCTTGATGTTAAGATGTACCTGATTGCCATTATGATGGCTGCTGCGTAAGCCCAAACCCCCCTTCCCCCATTTCCCCCCCTCTTACTGCCAAATGGCAACAGCTGATAATAAAGTCAGATACACGATCAACGGCGCAATCTCCGGCTTCGGCCCCCTCATCGTCTCAACCTTCGGCTACGACACGCTTGACTCGATTCTATTTCAATTCCCCGTCGGCGGCATCTGCGTCATTTTCATCCCGTTGTGCGGGTACATCGCTTCGCGCATCCCGAACACCCGCATCCCCATGTTGATCGCCTGCTGTCTCCCCGTCCTCGCGGGGTGCGCGCTCATCTGGAAGTCCACGTGGGGGTACCAGCCCGCGGCGCCGGTCGTCGGGTACGCGCTGACGGGGTTCTTCGGGCCGGTGGTCAGTCTGATCATCACGCTGGGGGCGAGCAATGTCGCGGGCGCGACGAAGAAGACCGTCATGGCGGCGACGGTGTTTGTGGCGTATACCGTTGGCAATATTATCGGGCCGCAGCTTGTCAAGACGCAGACTGTTCGGCAACATTACCCGGAGCTCTGGACGGGGTTGATCATCTGCTACTGCGTTACGATTGTGGCGGCGGGAGCGCTGTACGTGGTTCTGTGGAGGGAGAATCGGCGGAGGGAGGGGATGGATCTGGACGAGAGCCAGCGGGATAAGATGGCGTTTAATGATTTGACGGATAAGGAGAATCCGTTCTTCAGATATGTTTTATAAACTTTGCCCTTATATACTATACTGCAGACAAGAAAAGAAGATTAAGCTACTGCTGAGGGAGGTAGACACTCATCTCCAGACCCCCCTTGTACGGCAACGTCAAAGTACTAAACCCGCTCCCAGGGGCACGCACATACTCCAGCAGGTCTTTGTATCCCTCCGCCGAGCTGAGCGTGTTATCCGCCACCACGACCGCGCCATACCTCAGTTTCGGCTGGACCAGCTTCAGCGTGGGCAGCGCCATCGGCGTCCAGACTACATCAATCAGCTCACAGCCACTTTGTTCACCTAGGTCAAAAGACTTAAACTTACTATCGAGCAGAAGCATATCAACCCGCTCAGGGAGATTCGTCTTCAGAGTCTCCCGCAGATCACCCTCACGGAGGTCAATCACACTACTGACTGCCTCCCCACACTCAGCCCAATGCCTGCGCGCCTGCTCTGCCTTGGCCGGCTCATATTCAGTCGCGATGAGAGTCCCTTTACCGGGTGCCGCAGACGCAGCGAGATTATCCGTTACCGCGAGAGCAAGGTAGATGGTACTCACGCCGTACGAGGTACCCGCTTCGACGATGGAGGTGGCGTTGAGGGCTCGGGCGAGCTGGTAGAGGAAGTGGCACTTGTCTTGCTCGAGGGCGATGAATTTGTCGCGCATGAGGGTGTGGAAGGTGTCTGTGGACGGGGTGGTGTAGGTTGCTCGCGGGAGGGAGGATTCCTGGGTGGTTGATTCCGCGTGGAGGCGGTTTAGGAGGGAGACGATGTGAGGGGGTGGGATTGGAGGGGGTTTGACATTTTGATTGATTGATCTGATGTTATTTCAGCGGTGGAAATGGAGTGATAGTGGTATGGAGTGATGAGATTGATAAAAGTTATCTGATGGATTGGTATTTATAGAGGGAAGTGACTTCGAGTGAGTCATTGTGGATAGGCTAATGCAAGGAGGATGCAACGGGGGATACGAAGAGTAAAGACGGCCTCCACATTTTGTTGCTACGTGCTCTCGTATTCATAGACCGCTACTGCAATCAAAGGAATAGAAGAGACAAATTGATGCGGCTAATCTCGTTTAATCTGGAGCAGTGCCTTGAATCGATACCATACTGGCAGGATGATCCCAGATTTCCACCTCTTCTTCAGCGGCAATCCAAATAGATCAAATCACCACAATCGATCATCAACACACGAGCAATAAGTCCCCCTGCCCTTAGTCTTCTTAGGCGCAATGCACACTCCGCGATCGAACCGCCGTTGCTGGCACTACACTCATCAGCCTCATCTCCACGATAGTATACGATTATGGCAGGCACAAACATGATGATTACACTCTTGCGGATCATCCGGGCAGCCATGGTGCCTGCCTCCTCCATGATGACCCCCGTCGTGATGTCTGTGATGGCTCAAGCCGATGGTAAGTGCATCCGGGGAGAGGCTGGCGGCCAACGGCACCAGGGCAAACGAGGCGAGCAGCTTGATGAGGTTCATTTTTGAAGGTGTTGAAGGTTGCTAAGCTGATGAGATGAGGATTGAAACTATTTATTATGGCTGGGTGGTCATGATGACATGTGTATGATGGATGGTAGCCACTGTTCATGACATCGCGATGACTGCTTTATTCAATATGCCAGCTCTCTCATTACTTCTAAAGCTTTTATGCAGCTCCTCCCTAATTGATCTACGCATGCCGACTTCCCAGGCAACATCGTCTGCCCTCCTCCGTCCAAGAGAATCGTGCGGACAACGATATTGTCTACCATGACTTCCTGTGATGGTAGATTTGGGATGTGCACCGAGACCAAAAGCAGCAGTGGGGGGAAGACCTCAGGAATGTCTCTCGAATTTGCTCCATGTGGTGGAATGTTTGTATTTGAAGAGGACGACGTGGTGATTGTTCGGGCCATTAGAGAACGGTGATCAAGAATACAATCCAATGCGGTATCTTTACATCGTCTGACGCGGAGAGTTGCAGTGGGTTTCGCAAGGAGGTGATCCGTCCGTTAATGTATTTGTCTAGTATCATCTAGTTATATGTAGAGAGGACGGCAGTTTGCCGTCAAAACATGCATATTCGTCACGAGCATTACTCTAAGGGTATCTATCTAATCATGGGCCATCTTTTTCCGGCGGCGTCTCATCCTTACAGTCCGAGATCGCCAAACTATCCCACTTTTCCAAGAACCGATCCATCGACACGTCCCCCTCGCGCGCGGCCCCTGCCGCACCGCCGTCACAAAGTTCGGGTAGAACGTACTAAAGGTATGCCGATCCTTACCCTCCCAGCTGCGCGTCTCAAAGTCCGTAAACAGAGCATCCGTCTCGGCAGGCAGGACGACCTGCATCTGGTTCGCCGAGAGTTGGATCATGCGCAGGATGCCCTTGGCCAGCGGGAAGCGGCGCGTAAACGCCCGCGCGACGATGCACAGCTCGATGAAGGCGGCGCGGTTGCGAGCGTCGGGCGAGTCCAGCGCCTCGAGGAGGGTGAACATGCCGATGCTGAGCCACTGGATGGTGGAGGGGGCCATGCGGCCGATGCCCCATTTGTCGCGGTGGATGCCGATGAGATGGGCGATGCGAAGGGCGTTCTCGATGCAGATGTTGCGGGCGCGCTGGATGGTTTCGGGATCGAGGTGTTCGTTGTTGGCTTTGAGGAGGCCGAAGATTTGCATTACCGTCGTGTGGTAGAAGAGGCTGGCGTGGTCAGTTAGTTGAGTTTAAATCTATCCACAAGTGTTGGGATGGGGCTTACTGGATACTAAGGGCGTGAGGAACGGTGACGTTCTCAACTAAAAGACACTCCGGCATGTCTGCGTACCAGTCCTGCAATTTCTGGTAGATGTCATTGACGAAAGGGAGCATCTCGGCTCGAGGGATCCGGTCCTCTTCTTGGTAAAACGCGCGTGAAATCTCAACAGTGATGCAGGCGATCGCGCACCACCGGTTGAACACGCAGGAGATATGGCTGGGAACCCCAGCATCGGTCGAGCGAGGGTACGGTTGCCAGACATCGTCTTTATGCCGTTGGTGGATGATCCGAGTAACGGGGGACTGCCGAGGAGGGTGGATATCGAAATGCTTCATCAGAGATACGGACGCCGTTCTAGACAAGTCAGCCGTCAGCCTTCTTGAATGGCCGGGGCAAGGGTCGGTAAAGCATACGAAGCCATGCTGAAAATGCCCCAAAGGGTCCTGTCAATCGCCCTTCTTTCTTCCGCGTCTTCCATCGCGTGAGGGGGGTGAGACGCAGCATACTCCTGGGCTCCCCGGGCGGCCAGATCTAGATAGACCCATCCCATTCGATCTTTGCCCATCAACGATGTTCTGATAAAATGTCAGCGAGGGTCATGTTTTCGCATCCAACGAGCGACTTTTACCGAACGAATAGGATCATGAGCCCCTGGATAGTGGGCAGGCTGGCAGAGTCGCCTTCGTCTTCTCCAGCCTCGAACAGACGACGGGCCTCGTCGAAGAATTGGTCGCCTCGAGTGAGCATGTCGCCGGGAACGGTAAATACTTCTTCGTAGTCGGAGTAATACTTATACATGGATCAGTAAACGAAAAAAAAAAAAAATGACCGTCATCCGTGCGAGTAACACATACACATGCTTCCGCGAGAATGGCATTGACCAGGAAAGGTGAGCAGAACCGGGAATTCAGCTTTCCTTCCTGCATATGCTTGATCAAACAGTCGGCATCCAGCCAGTTAAACCAGGGATACGTCCATGTTAACCAAAGCGAGACCAGATGCGACACCAGCTCGCTGTCGTCCGTCACCGCCGTCCACGGCTTCGCGGGGACCTTGTACACAGGGTCGTCGGCCAGCCGATTGACCCGTAGGTAGCGCCATCCCAGGGGCGCAATGTCTGTCGTTTGCGAGAGTTGGCTTTGCATCTCGCGTAACTCAGGCGTCGACTCCAACTCATAGTGGGAAAACTGCTGCTCGAGGAATAGCTGGAGTTCGTCGAACGAGGCATTACTTCGGATTAGATTCAACAGTTGCGAAACGCGTCTACTCTCGCTGTCACGGAGAGCGTTGACCAGCCGAGTCAAGGTGTCGGCTACTTTCTCCAGCTTCGCCACTTTACGGTCCATGGCATTTTTCCGGCGCATATCGGACATTGCGTCAACTTCGCATTTGATGCCATGGCTGACGCAATGCTGACATGGAGGATCTCCACGACACTGTTACGGGTGAGCCTGGGAATTTCCACCTGGGGAATAAGTGAGTATGCGAAAGGGGGAAGGCAACCGACTTTTAACTTTTTTCGTTTACACGCCTTGCAAGCGGTGGTTTTGTGCTTTCGCGCGGGCAGCAACTCTTCGGATGACGCATTCCGTTTCAGAAGGCGACCTGGCGCAGGGGCGAGAGGACGAGAGGATGACTGATAATGCGAGTCGGACATGAATCTCGCGTCAAAAGAAGGGGCCAGGTAAGAGAACCGGTCGAGAGAATGGCAAAACGGCCGGCGTTCCGGGGGAGGGGAGAAGAGGGTACTTCTGGGGGGGGTTTTATAGGAAAGTTGGGTATGCCCTCATGTCTTTGGATCTGACATCAAACATGCGTCCTCGAGAGCCAATGAAACGGCACAAGGACATCCCGGCGCCCCTGATATCCAGGGCACCGGGCATTCATACTCGTCCGATCGGAGAATATGGATACCTATGGATACCTATGGAGCACTGGGAGCAGGGACACTTGGACTGGTTCAGACGAGCATCATATTAATTTTTGGTTGTTTTGGGTGTTCCAGACTCCAGTCAGTATAGTCTTTATGTGTTACATCCAATCAGCTGCTCCAGATTCCCCGGCATATATTTCCAACAATCAGGGCGCTTGTTTGCTTCTGCGGGTGTTGCTCTTCGGGCAGAGCTCGGCTTTCCGGCTCAGCTGGGCTGTTTTGATGAGGTCTGATTGGTCCCTGTTTTGCCCGGTCGAAGCTGAGGAACACGAGTCTAGCCGGGAAAGGAAATGAGACAGTCTTTTCTGGTTTCTGCTCATCCGCACTGACTGGGGACAGCTGGAAATTATTCCCAGCCACTGGTGTTTTAGGACTCCGTAGTCTGGATTATTCCGAGTCTCCACAGATTTGCCCTTACAGTTGCAAGTTAGAAGTTAGATAGAACTTTCGAGGAGGTTACTCGTAGAAGCCTATAACAGACTATTTAAACCTTGTGTTGAGGCCGAAAATGGATAATGGACGGCATTACGGATAACTACCGAGGAGTCACGGGCTATCTACCTCTACATAATGCCAACAAAGGTATACGGGAGGGTGGCAGTTCTGGATGGCATACCGTTTGATAGAATAGCTGTCTGCTAGTTCTCTTTCTTATACTTTCCAACCACCAACTGTCTACCTAGCTGTGGCAGTTGCCACCGATCTACAGGATCCGGCAGTCTTGAACTTTGCTGATGACCATGATCGACTGACGTGATCCATTCCAAACCCAAACCGTCGGTACATATCTCAAAGAACTGTGGGGCCTTTTTGATCAAAATCCGAGGCCGTGGCATTGTGTCTATAGTACTCTGGATTATGTGGATCCCACCTGGCCTGGCAGTAAATACGTAAAGTAATACTCCTGATACTGTCTCCTCCTGATTGAGCAATAGTTAATGCGAGTGCTTCTCTTACGCGCAATGGCGACTGGCCCCTTGCTCACACGGCTATTACTAGCTTAATGATCATCCTTTTCGGTCAATCAGAAGGTTAGTCGGCTCCTCCTACTTGATTTGTCCAGGATGACTCTCTACGCTGCTACCTCGGTTAACTAACTGTGAATGACTGTGACACATCAATGCCTCAAGGAATTTATTTCCGCCACTCTAAGACCCCAATGTCATGCATACCCTTGTAGATGTGTTAGATAAGGACCTACTACTCGTTCTACCTTAGGAATAGCGGTTCGCGTATATCGTAGCGTCGGACATTCCAGATTAGGAAGGAGGCGGGTCTACCACTAGTTCCCAATCTGGTTAGTGCTCTTCCCATAGAAAGAGAAGCTGAGCGCTGACAGTTGAGCACATTAAGTTACTCTGTACTCCTTTTGAATAATGAGCGCTCGACTATCCACATAGAATCAATGCGAGCAACAACACACTAGCAGAGAACAGAGGACAATCACTAATGTAAAGTCTATATTATCAGAATGACCTCCTCCTGCTGCTCCTGGTGGGATAGACCGCCAGGCCAAGATCTGCAGCTTGACATCACTTTCTCCCCAGGAGTGTGTCGCTCCCTCAAGGGTTGGACCTTCCTTCAATGGAGGTTTTCCGGCCCCCACATAACACCGCCAGACATCATTCTCCGCGGAGGATTTGTCCCTGCTGCAAGATTCCAAACATCCAACATCCACATGGACACTGTCGTCCAGACTACTCGCACATGACTTTCCCTGCTTCACAGGGTCTACAAGTCATGCATGTATCCCTTGCTGCTTGCCATTTATGCCTCCAAACACTAGAGTATGCCCTTACCAGACTTGACAGCAGGATTATCACCAACCCAAACTCCTAGGTAGGAAAGGGGTTTCCCAACCTAATTCAAGACGTCGAACATGATCAACATGGTCCCAGCAGCGGCAGATGCGCACCACCCTACGATCGTAAGGTATCGTTGGCGCCGCGCACTCGCTGCATACATGGTTAGCAGGATGGGATGCATGGATGCATGCGAGTTGACAATCAGTTATCAACAGGGAATCTGAGCCGTGGGTGAATTTACAAATACGTCCATCATTTCCTTCCGCGAATGACGCCCCAGTAATCGGAACTATCGATGCACTCCTCCCCGGCCGACCATCCCCAGCCGACCATCCACAATCGAAATAGTTCGACGAGGGCAAGTGGCTCCGACCGCCAGGAACGAATATCAATACTCGAATTTCGCGGTTCCCTTTGCCCGTTTAGTTCGGACAGAGTGGTAAAGAAGTACAATGAGAGGATGAGAACATCGGAGACAGGAGCAAGAAAAGCAGGAGCTTTAAGGACGAACAATGACATGCTGAAAGATTTGCTGTCTCGTGAGCCAGGTTCTGGGGTAAAAGCCGTACCTCATTTCCGGGCCGGTCCTTCGATACCCTTTCACTCTTCGGTGAAGCAGAACGGGATGCGTTTCCTGTGTGAGAGGCTACCGCCCCTGTTCAACATGAGACTGGACAAATCACGATTGCAACAATGCAGATAGTTCCTCCGCCAGACTTTGTACTGGACACAAACCGCTGAGCGGTTTCTATCGGTCTCACTGCCGAAGGAGAGTGTTGATGCCGTCATGGCGACGTTAAAGTCCAGTAAGCTGTCATTTGACAAATTTTATGCGGACCTTTGAATAGGTCCATTTCTAGCGTATCTGCGATGATACCTAATTCATACTGATATCTGGAGGAAGATCATACTCAAAGTACCTCCATTACAAATATATCCAGCGTATTCAAGGTCCTTGCTTGGTCGCAAGGAATTACTTATGATTCGTCTATATGTCACCTGGTCTAGAGACATAGTATAACACCGGGGTGTTCGTTCCTTGCAGGTATACCAGCATATCAGCTGGCCTCTGATCTGAAGCAGATTCTGATAATCCTCTCTGCTTCCTTAGACAACAGACAATGGGCTCAGATCTATCCTCGCGTCATATGCCTACCTTATACTTGCACAAAATTGTTACCAAGCACAAGGTCATTTACCTGAAACAGTTAGCGCAATTCCCGGAGTTTTATCCGACACCGCACACCGCTCACCTATGATTGGCCGTTAATTCTACCGCCTTCCTGTCGAAGAGATACTGCCCCGTCTTCCGCTTCCGGCAAGAGGCCTCATTCGCCGCGACGGTTGTTTCAGCTCAAATCTCTTCCGATGATCTGTTGCAATTGACAAGTCCAGATTGCGCATACTTATCAACCACGCAGTGCGCACCACCCCACGCACTACATTAGATCAATTGACCCAGTACGGAAGACGTCCCGTGACCCCAACTCACGTCGGCGCGCATGCTAACATCCACCATCGCAGCAGCACCAGCACCATGAGAACCATGCGCAGCCACGACGAATTCAGACTCGACATCGACGCCGACGCCGAGGCCACCGCCGACGCGACCGACGACCGGCGCAAACGGAGCAAAACGACGCACGCCGCATCCCGCATCTGCTACGACTGGATGGTCGTCTCAGGCAACTGCCACTACGCGCGCGACCGCGCCTCATTCACACACTACCGGGCGATGCCGCGCCGAACCCTCGTCAAGAACAACATCTTCAATCCGCACGAGGAGCTGGAGGTTGCGGGTGTAGGGACAGTCGAGCTACGCGTGTGCCGGACGGTGCGGGACGGGGGCGCCAGCTCGCATGTTCTCGTGCTGGAGGACGTGCTGCATATCCCTGAGGCGGTGTGTAATGGGTTCAACCCGCTGCTGTATGGGAGTAGCATGTCGTGTAACATGGAGTATTGGGAGGGGGCTGATCGGCGCGGGGAGCCGGTTTGGTTTGCAGTGCCGTATGCTGGGGGACGAGGTTGGTGCTTGCGGGGAGTCCGAGGGGGAGTCGGAGTTGATTCAGGGGAGGTATTATACGTTGAGTTTGTCGATTACACCGCAGGAGAGGAGGGAGATTTTTGACGCGATGGCTTGTTGAGATTGCACACTCTGTATGTATTTGTAGCAACCTATGTATATTATGTAGATGAATGATACCAGTTTCTGTAACTATCATTTCTCGTAGTAATTGAGCATTGAGCATTTGCATTGGGGTACTATGTGCCTGCATTTTCCAGACGGCAATTGAAAGATGGCCTACTCCAACTGAGTCCTATGTGGCGGCTGATGTGCATTAGTCTCGGTCTCAGACTCATCTTCTGGCCATCTCACCGGGATAGCCCGTAGGAGCAAGGAAAACGGAAAGAGTCCCGGCCGATATTGGCGGATAATCCGCCCTTTCAGGATGCCCAGCAGTCGATCTTTCTCAGTCGCGGCATGCTGAAACACACGGGAGCCTGTGTGGAGTAGCCTGAGAAGTTTGGTCAATATTGTCATGGAGCAGAGTATGTAACAGGTTGCTTGCAACTTGCAAAGGTATTGATAACGCTGAAAACTTTCCACCAGAATGAGAATACATCAGTTGAGCAAGAACAAGTGATCAGGCTGAGGGGAAGAACAGAACGGGTGTTCGGACCGATGCCCGTGTTGGTTGGAGTTAGGTCAAGCGAATGAAGGCATTCAAGTTTAATAGTCAGGGATCCAAGCGTCTTCCCCCAAGCGTTCGCTTGTCGTGGTGGCGTCGTAGTTAATAATACTTCCACGAGATTCCCAAGCACGATTAATGAGCAAGGAAGAGAACTCGATTCTAGTGCATCCTCCGCACGATGTGGCACAGTGGCACCAGTCCACCAGTCCATGCATTGACCGTGCTAAGTCCGACCAAACCACTAATGTTTCCCCAATTGGTGACGGATGAATGTTCTCATTCATCCACAGCCTGAATCCGTTGTAAGAGACTGACACTCAATGCGGGGTCCTCCGATCGTCGTCTAGATCAAACACTCCAAGAGTCGATGGTGTCTCATGCTCGATGTGTGGCACAATTGGCATTGCAATGACAACCAACATGGCAATATCCCCGCCAATATGCAATTCGTTCTCAAGACTCGGTCAGACGGTGTCTATATTAGTCTTAATTTCCACCATGTCAGGCCCAGAACTCAGTCTGATGTCACTTTGTCGCTTGTCACCTAGACAGGCCGGGCTCAGGCTATAGCCAGAACCCCCTGTTCACAGTCTAGATCGAGTACAGGATACATTAAGTGAACACCACCCTCTGGCCATAATCCTCCTGTCCCCTACGACCTCTGGTCGTCTAAGGCGTAACCATGGAGCGACTCAATAGCTACGAGACACCGCGGGTGCTGTACTACCCGGATGACGCTCACATCCGGGGCATCAACAATGCCGCCCTGGCCATGGCAACCTTCCAGCAGAAGCCGAGACTGTGGAGCAAAAACATGTTCAAGGTAGCCCTTCTTCTGTTGCTTCACGGGGAAAAAAAATGAAGACTAAGGAATAGTTATACTGGGCCATTGCTGTCGCCACGCTCAACTCGTGCATCAACGGTTACGACGGGTCGCTCATGGGTTCCATCAACAGCTACAGACAGTACCGGGAGTACTTTGGCTTCGATCCGGATGCCGGCACGCCCTCGACGGGAATCGTGTATGCCATCTACACCATCGGGAACATCGTGGGGTCATTCTTCGCCGGGCCGTTCACCGATTTCAGAGGTATTTCCCCCCCTCATCGTTCACTTATCGGGGATGAAATCTTAACGAGACACAGGACGACGGGTGGGCATGGCGCTCGGCGCCTCCTTCATCATCCTCGGCACCATCGTCCAAGCAACCTGCACCAACCTCGCCGGCTTCATGGCCGGCCGCTTCATCCTCGGCTTCGGGGTCGCGACCTCCGCCACCGCCGGCCCAGCCTACGTGTCCGAGATCGCGCACCCATCCTGGCGTGGCTCCCTGACAGGACTGTACAACGTGCTGTGGTTCGCCGGCGGCATCCCGGGGACGTTTATCCCCTGGCGCACGAGCATGATCGAGGGGACGATGAGCTGGCGGATCCCCGTCTGGGTGCAGATGGTGTTTGCGGGGTTGGTGCTGGGGCTCTGCTGGACGATTCCCGAGAGCCCCCGGTGGCTTGTATCCCGCGACAAGCACGAGGAGGCAATCCGCGTGCTGGCCACGTACCACGGCGACGGCGACCGCAACGCCCCGCTCGTGCAGCTCGAGTACCGCGAGATGGTCGAGGATATCTCCAACACGGGCGCTGACAAGCGCTGGTGGGATTACCGCGAGCTGTTCAATTCGCGCGAGACGCGCTACCGCTCTATGCTGGTTATGTTTATGGGTACGTCCATCCAAAAAAAAAAATTGGTCAAAGAAACAAGCTAAAGCTGATAATGTAGCCTTCTTCGGACAATGGTCCGGCAACGGCCCCGTCTCATACTACTACCCGCAGATGCTGGCCGGCGCAGGGATAACCTCCAACTCAACACGCCTACTGCTCCAAGGCCTACAAAACGTCTGCCAGTTCATAGGCGCCATCTTCGGCGCACTACTAACCGACCGGGTCGGACGGCGCGCGCAGCTCCTCACTTCCACCGCGCTAATGGTCCTCATCTTCAGCATCATCACGGCGCTGAACGCCACCAACGTCGAGACGCCCGAGGAGACCGGGGTCGTTATCGCCAAGAGCGCGGTCGTTGCGCGCGCGCAAATCGCCATGATCTTCATCTTTGGGTTCGTGTACTCTGCCGGCTGGACGCCCAATCAGGCCATGTACCCCGTCGAGTGTCTGCGGTACGAGTCGCGGGCGAAGGGGATGGGGATGAGCAATTTTTTTATCAATATAGCGAATTTCTACAACACGTTTGTGACGGGGATTGCGTTTACGAGGGCTGGGTGGCGGTATTACCTGCTGTTTATCTTCTGGGATGTGCTGGAGCTGGTGGTGATATGGTTTTTCTTTGTGGAGACGTCGCGCCGCACACTCGAGGAGTTGACTGCGATCTTTCAGTCGAGGAATCCCGTTCAGGCGTCGTTGGTGAGGGATGAGGTGTTGGTTCCGCAGGTGGAGCTGGAGGTCGAGATGAGGAGGAAGGATTATTATCGGAGGAAATATGATTTAACTTCATGATTATATATATTCTCAACATTACAGCAATTACACAATGATAAAACACGGGGTATACATAAGCGAAGGGTCAAAATCGTTCATTCCGTTCAATTATCGTCTCGTGGACCACCTTGATCCCGTCCGAGCTGGGCTGGCTCGACTCGTCCCAGTCCGCGGCCGGGCTGGCCGTACAGGTAGGCGGCTGCTGCCGCGACGTCGGCAGGATCATCGCCTCGTCGTGCCACTGCGTGTCGGGGATGCTGAGCGGGTGCCGGAAGCGGCGCTTCTTGCTGTGGTGCGTCGAGTTCTCGCCGCGCTCGCCTTCAGACAGCGGGTAGGCTGGGTAGCTCTGCGACTGGCCGCGGGAGCTGATGTACCAGCCTGCGCGGCGGGCGGCGCGGCGGAACAGGGGGTAGATCATGGGGGCGTTGCCGATGACCACGGCGACGAATGTTTCGCGGCAGGCCCAGCTGCCGGCTTGGGAGGCACCGTTTGCACCGGCCTATCCCTGTTAGCCCCGAATCTAGGCATTGGGGGGGGGGGGGGGGGGGGGCGGTCAGCAACTTACAGTGACGATCAATACGCAGCGGAGGATACCGGCTGCCATGACGAAGATTCCGCCGGAGAATAGAATGAAGAGTTCGAGTTTCTCGCGCCAGGGGAGCCGCGCTTTGAAGAGCATCTATGGCATTGTTAGACGGGTTCCGATTTTGTAGAGAACGGGGAAGGGACGTACCGGTGTCGGAATGGTAATGAGATATACATCCGTCGCGACATTCAGTGTGACCGTCATGTAGACATCAATCGGCGAGATGGCGGGTTGGCAGCGTACTTGACATGTCAGTACCAAACAACCTTTCAAAGAGAGGAGGAACATACAGCCAGGGTCGGGATATATCTGCCAATTCTTATGCATGGGATAGCAGCCAAACAGGATCGAGAGAATCACAATCAGATAGGTCACCCCGATGGCAACGTAGGCCACCCGCACGCGGATGTGCATGTTGATCAGACCGGCCCTGCCCGTCAGTGTCAGCGTCAGCCTCAGCGTCCATCTCCATCAAAAGCCAGGGAGACATACGTTAAGCGCGAGTAGAATATAGCCATGCACGCCTTCAACAACCACAGCAAGGTCGTGTACAACGACCACCCCACCACTTGCGTCTTGGATCCGCCTACTCGCAGACTGAATTCCTCCGAGTCGGGCGAGAGGGCGGCGCGCTGGGCATCGGACATGTAGTTGTTGGCCAATCCTTTCCACCAGGCACCGACGCAGTAGGCTGCGCCTGTTTCGAGGCCGTAGACCACCTGCACGTTAGTCATGTCAGTGGATGTCCAACAGATGTCAGTCTAAGGAGTGACAGGACATACTCCGGCTAGAGGCATCAGGTAATCATCGAGCTGGAAATTGTGGAATCCCACAGTGAAGATGCGAGCGATAATGCGAAGGATGATGACGACGATAGCGAGGGAAAGGAGGGTAAAGGCCTCGGTGGTGAAGCTGTCGCCCATGATGACCCCATGAGCTGTCTCAGCTATCTCCTGGTACGAACAAAAAGGAATGAACGTTCGTCAGGGACAGTAAATGAATGACTGAGATTGATAGCCCCTCACCTCAGGGGAAGAGAAACAAGGGAAGATATAGATGGAGTACAGCACATTCAAATCCCGACTAACCCGCCACAGAGGATGTGTAGAAAGACTACTGGCAAGGCTGAACAACATCCTTGATTGATAGACTTCGAGTCATGCCAATCCCTGACAGAACGGCCAGCAATCATTCGGGGGACCATCTACGTACTTGCCATGATTACTGGTGTCCACATGCTTATCCACTGTTCAGGACAAGGTCGAGAACGGTTGTCTGATTCTTTGTCCACTTGAGACACACTAGGATCCTGGTCAGCGGCCATGTGGAGACGCAGCTGTTCTTCAGCCATCAAGACCCATACGTGCAGCGAACGATATGTGGTATTTCCTTTTGAGGATCGGCGGGGATATGGAGCATCAGCGAAGTGACAGTACTAGTAGTACAACTAGACTGCCGAAGAGGTAGGCGAGAAGCCGTCTGAGTAGAAGCACTGGCATGACGAAGAATAGGAGCACTGATAGACTTTGCAACTCTGTGATCTGATGGCATAACTTGCATCATTGAATGGAAGTATCAAGTGAGGTGTCATATTCCATGATGTTTGACAGAAAAAAAAGTGACAGGTCAATTAGGAGGACAAAGAAGAAGAACTGCTTTTTTGTCAGCTTGAGCATTGGGCAATGGTCATAAAAATCAGTCAACAATCCCTGTCGAGGCAGAAACAACCATGATGGGTCCATACTCCATAGTCTTGCTTGCATACACCGAGGTCCATATATAACTAGGTGGTGGCTGATAAACAACATCAAATAGCAGGGCTAATTGTATAAACCCGACAACAATTGCTAAGACTGCAATTGACAGAACGGAAACTTCTTTTCTGATGATCATAATTCAAGATGCTTTCTTCATTAAGTTATCCCTGGATGCACAGACTTGAGTGAAATGTCACTCACAGACACTAACAGGGCCAAGTGCTGCAGCTAAAAACACTAAGAGCACACTAATTTCCAGTCCAGTAAGGATTATCTTGTGGCATTCTAAAGTACGTACAGTACAGACTACAGAGATGTGATGTCCATCTGTGCACTGGTACGTGCTTTGCTCATCCCTTTCTTCCCCTTGATACTCGCAGTTGTGTAACTAAGCCCACCATGCTGACATTGACAAATTGACCGATTCTTGGGGCATGCTGTACCACCACAATACTTGACTCCAAGGTCCACTTCTCGTTCTCTAGTCTCTCCACATTTAATCTTATTATCCCTGGTCGATTGCTGTTCACTAGTCGGCTCTACGGCGGCTAGGGATAATTCCCCGCTGACCGTTACCTTTCAAGCTGCAACTATCTCAGTAGTCTGTGCTAGCATGACTCTCAAACTCTGCAGTCTTTGAAGTTTGATGCACAATCAGCACAATCATACAGTCCATGGCTAGAATAGACTAATAAGAAAGAAAAGTCCAGACCCTCTTGTGTCCACCTGTCGTTCTCTTATCCATCTTCCCTGTTTCGTTGCCTGACTTGTCGTCTACACATCACTTTCTGCATTCTTGCCTTTTCTTACTTGCAGCAATTGACGCAGCAATTGACACCGATTGATTGATTTGTGAACTGTCAATTGAGTGCCCCGCCATGGAGACGGTCGATTTGACAGTCATCGGTGCCGGTATGCCCTTCCTCTTCAATTGATACCCAGATACTAACCCAGTCAGGCTGGAGCGGCCTCGCGGCCATCAAGACCTATCTCCAGGTCAACCCGTCCAGCAATGTGATTCTTCTGGAGGCAGCCTCTTCCATTGGAGGCGTGTGGGCCAAACACCGGCTGTACAAAGGCCTCAAGTCCAACAACATGCTGGGCACCTACGAATTTAGCGACTTTCCCATGGACCCAGACACGTTCGGTGTCCAACCGGGCCAGCATATCCCTGGCCAGGTCGTCCAGCAATATATGGAGAAATTCGCCGAGCATTTCCAGTTCCGCGATCGCATCCGGCTCAACACGCGCGTGCGATCGGCCGAACACCGTCCTGATGGCACCTGGCTGTTGACTACAGAGCACCAAGGCGAAGTCAGGGAGGTGGTGACGCGCAAACTCATCGTGGCGACCGGCATCACCTCGCAGGCCTACCTGCCCGACTTCCCCGGCCAGGAGACCTTCGACGCGCCGCTCTTTCACTGCCGCGATCTCCTCCAGTACGAAGCCGAGGTCCTTCAGGACGGCCGGCGCATCACCGTCTTCGGCGGCACCAAATCCGCCTGGGACGCCGTCTACGCGGCCGCCACGTCCGGCGCCCAGGTCGACTGGGTCATCCGCGAGAACGGCCACGGCCCCGTCTGGATGGCGCCGCCGTACGTCACCCCGCTGAAGAAGTGGCTCGAGAAACTGGTCACCACGCGCCTCCTGACCTTCTTCAGCCCCTGCATCTGGGGCCCCGCCGACGGCTACCCGCGCATCCGCCGCTTCCTGCACGGCACCTGGCTCGGCCGGAAGATCGTCCACGCGTTTTGGAGCATTCTGGCCAACGACGTCATCCAGCTGAACCGCTACGACGCCCATCCGGAGACCGCCAAGCTCAAGCCCTGGATCAGCCCCTTCTGGATCGCCTCCGGCCTCAGCATCCTCAACTACCCAACCGACTTCTTTGACCTCGTCCGCTCCGGCGCCGTGCGCGTCCACGTCGCGAACATCACCCGGCTCTCCCAGCGAACCGTCCACCTCTCCTCCGGCACCGACCTCCCTACCTCCGCCCTAATCTGCTCCACAGGATGGAAAGCCACCCCAAACCTCGACTTCCTCCCGCCAGGTTTGGATCGTGACTGCGGCTTCCCCTGGGGCCCCGACCCCATCCCGAAAGACCTCCTCGCCGCCGCCGACGAAGAAATCCTCCACCGGTTCCCCCGGCTGCGCGATCAGCCCGCCCCGCCCAAGGACTACGCGCCGCTCGCGCCAGATGCCCCGCTACAGCCGCGCACCCCTTCCGCCTCGCCCGGTTCATGGTGCCGTGTTCGTTGGCGAGGGAGCGCTCCCTGGCGTTTATGGGGATTGCGATGACGATCAACACGACGCTGCTTGCGCAGGCGCAGGCGCTGTGGATTACTGCGTTCTTTGGGGGCAGTCCGGTGCTGCGAGCGACCGAGAGGTGTCCGTCTGCGCTGCGGGCTGTCGACGAGAAGAACGGAGACGCGGATGCGGATAAGCTGGACGAAAAGCGCGAAGAAATGGATCTGGTGTGGGAGACGGCGCTGCATAGCCAGTTTGGCAAGTGGCGGTATCCCGGGGGCTTTGGGAAGCGGAACCCGGATTTTGTGTTTGATGCGATTCCGTATGTGGATTTGCTGTTGAATGATTTGGGGGTGAGGAGTGTGCGCAAGGAGGGTATCTTAGGGAAGGTGTTGAGTCCGTATGGGATGGAGGATTATCGGGGGTTGGTGGAGGAGTGGATGGCTGCCCGTCAGTAACTGATATATATATCCATATACCCTATCTTTCTTAGCTTTTGTCTTTCTGTTGATAGTTTTTGATTTACTGCATAACAAACTGCTCGAATATGCCCACCCCCTCGTAGACCTCCCCGGCTACGTTGGCCGTCATCGTCCCCGTCCACCGCGCATAATACTTGCCATCGCCAGCTACCATAGTCCCCAGAGTGACATTCACCTCAATCCCAATGCTATAAAGAACCCTGAACCCATCCGGCACATCCCCAAGGACAGGCGGATAAGCAGCTGCCACCATCCCATTCTTCCATGGCCGCACAGACACAACCCGCTCCTCACAACTAGACACCACGACCTCCCGTCCAACAGCCACATACCCACTCACCACCTCTGTATCGTTCCCAAGAGGAAGCATATCAAACCAGACGACAGAGTACGCGCCTACCCGGCCCCTTCCCCAGTACCACGTCCGCACCGCCGCCTCAAATGGTCCATCTGACCAGTTCTTTGCTCTCTCGTTAGCCGTAGCCCCCTCCTCACATCCACATCCTACACTCCAAAAGGGAGGAGTGAAACATACTTTATCATGATACCCAACCCCGGTAAATCGTACTCTCTCCCCACCAACCAAAACATCAACGCTCGCCTCCGCATCGGGGAGGAGACTCGCCCATCCGATTCCAACTGCACCTGTAGAACCAGTACCACCACCCAGACGCAACCGGTCGTCACCGCAGGGTGTATGCGGGTTCGATACCTACATCCACATTTTCCATTAGCAAGCTTTACCTTTAGCTTCTAGTAGAGAGGGGGTGTTTGGATGACGAACAGAAGATAGTCTCATCGACCCAGTTACTCCTACGCCTACCCCTCCGTCAATAGTAACAAGATACTCCCCGCTCTCGGATCCAGTGAAGGAAACACCGCTCCCGTGCCATATTCCTCGGGTAACACCACAGTCTGCATCGACCGTCGCAGTGTATGCATCCGCGTAGGTGGCGTAGCTCGTCCCATTTGGAAAAGAAACCCAGATGTAGGACAGGAGGACGGAGTCGGTACTGCTATTGCTGTTGCTATTGCTTGGGAGGAACGGGAATGCGGTAGGTGTGCTGGTGAAGAGGGTGATCACAACAGAGACGTTCGGATTCGAAGAGGAGACGGCGTCAAAGTACCACCAGTCGAAGACGGTGGTGTTGATGGGGTGGACTTTGGGTTTGGAGAGAATCGACAGGAGGGTCGAGGGGTGGTGAAGGTTGCGAGACTAAGATTTGGGGATGGGGCGCTGGGGATTGTGATGTTATAGAAAGAGACTGGGGGCAGTTGGGCGAGGACTAGGGAAAGAAAGAATAGTAGGAGGGACATTGTAGAGGTTGATGTGAGGATTAGTATCTTGGATGTTTGCCAGGTATTTATGTTTCGTTCTTATGTGTTGGTAGTTGTAAGAACTATTCTTTGTCTACTGACACATTTGACTCAGGTCAATACAGTCTGTCTTAGCGGCGTGAATAGTGAATAAGAAACAAGGAATAAGTAATCTACACTGCAACGCTAGAATGCATCCAAACCCATACCAAGGAGTTAGGTGCAAGAAGCCGCTCCATACGCAATAATATCAACATTCGCCGTAGCCTCGTTCAACAACAATAAATAGATGGATAGAAATGGATAGATAGAGATGGAAGACGGACTCGAAATCATCGCTAGTCCCCTACTCAAACGCCTTGAGAACAATGCTCGTAGAAAACTGATCAGCTGTGCCCATTGGTATCAACGCTCTCCTTGTCCTCCTCCTTGACACTCGCCGTGCTCGTCTTGTTCGACGCGTCCGACCCGTCCTTGCCGCATCCTTTGACCAGAATATGTCGCTAAAAAAAAGTCAGTGACGGGACCAAGTAGGAAAACAGATAGAGGGAAGTACCTTCAATGCATCCTTGCGGGAAAAACTCTTATCGCAATGTGTACATGGAAACGGCTTCACGGACAGATGAATGCGCTTATGTCGCTTCAGGTCGTGATTTCGGTTGAAGCTTTGCGGGCACTGATCGCACTTGAATGGCCGGTCGTTGGTCGGCCCTGGCTGGTGGATGGGGTGTGGCGGATGCCCGCCGTACATTTGCTGCATGCTCGCCACGTGGCCACTGTTGAACCCCGGAAGAATGCCCGGTTGCATGCTGCCAAGCAACGACATCTGGCTGTTGGGATTGTGGATGTTCGTCATCACCGGCCCGTTCATCGCCGGGAGCGAATACGATGGCCAGGGCTGCCGCGAATAGTTCAGGTGAGGTGGTGGCCCCGTGGCCGAGAGAGTAGGAGTGGACGAGACGCGGCCTGGAGGATGGATGCCGAGCCCCGGCTGTCCGTACGGCGGGAAATTCGTCTGGTGCGGACTGGGAATCTGCTGTGCTGCACCGTAGACGGGTGCCGACTGTGATTTGGGTCCGTAGGGATCATTCGATGGGAGGAGGTGCGGAGACGGCCCTGGGTTGGGCAATCCCGTGGGATTGCCCAACATGGCGTGCGTCATGGCGGGATGCTGCGTTGTTCCGGTCGGGAGACCTGACGGGGGAACGGAAAGCGATTGCTGGAATGGAGGGAGGTGGTGCATGTCGTAGGGCTGCGCCATGCCTTCGGTCACAGGGGGAGACGTCGGTTGATTTCGGCTCAATGGGTTTAATGTCGATGGCGAAAACGAGTCCCGCGGATATGACTGGTTGCTCCCCGCACTCCACGGTTGCCGCGGCCCGGGAGTGCTTCCATAGCCACTGTGTCCCTGCCAGTACGCCGTCCCATAGGAGGGAGTCACGTCCGGGGCCGCAGACACGGTGGTCGTCGGCGCGGCCGAGCTCGGAGACTGCGTCGATGCCGGCGGTGTCAACAGACTGTTCACACTAGGATGGGTTGGAGGGTGCGCATTGGACTGAAGCGGATACTTGGGGGTCCCGACGTTGATCTGAAAATTCGGCGGGGGCAGCTCAAAGCTGGGGAGCGTCGGCGCCGCCGGCCGCCGTGCGTTCAACGGCGGCGGGGCATTCAAGTCCCCCAACGCCGTCCCCATGCCCGGCGGAGGAATCGCGAGCGCAGCCAGATTGGCGGAATTGTCTCGAGAAAAGGCGATGGGTTGGTACAGCTCGGCCGTCGAATCCGCGGCCTGAGGATGGGACAAGGTGGAGGACAATCCGTTGTCGTCCCCAACAGCCCAGAATCGACTGCCAGACAGGACCCCAGAGACAATGTCTGGAGGATCCAGGAGGGGCGAGCGGATCGCGCGAAAGCGATCGCTTTAGAATCGAGGTTTGGCGTCAAATAGAGATCGATTCTTATAATGACGGCCCGTCTAGGTGAGTCGAGAATCCCGTTCGCTCTCCCGTTCCTGATGTTGAGGGGTTGTTGGATTGATGTGATAGTGTACCCGACTGATGTTCAGGGTCACCCAACACCTATACCGAGGACATACTCTGACCTCTTGTATCAAGTTTAAGACTGTACAGCGCAAGCCTGAAAAATGCGCAGAGCAGATATCGGATGTAGAGATAATGGAGCTGATGGTATTTTGAAATTCACCAGGCGTCAGAGACATGCATTGTCTTGACGAAGCCGACCGCGCGATCAGAGGAATACGACGGTGGCCGAGGTCTATCTTTGGTAATAATTAGCGATCGAGAATGCGCGAATGGACTCGATTCTGATGATGATGAATCAGAATAGAGTCAGCAAATGAGTAGGATGAGGGTATGGTGGTATTGAGACTGTCGTGCTGAGATTGTGGTGGTGATGACAATCGATGAAAGTGATCGGATCGTGGTATTATTAGGAGGACACTGATAGACAAGTCAGAGTGGAAGAGAGGAAAGGAAGAAATGAAGAGGCAAAGCCAGCGCCAGTAATAATAATAATAACAAGAATAATATAAGGTAGAGGATAATAACAGCCAGCAATGGGAATCAAATAAAGTAAAATAAAATACAAGACCAAACCAGACCAGACAGACCAAAATAATAAATGAAGAAGAAACAAGCACAACAACAAAACCAAAACCAAAACCAAAGAGCGCGAGTATCCAGACCACTCCACGGTCAAACCCAGCGACGGGCCTGGGTCTGGCCAGCGCGGGGGAGGAATTTCGGGCGGGAAATTTTGGGTGCTGCTCTGGAAAGGGTCAAGTGCGGGAAAATAATAATAATAATTCCTCCGTAATTCGGGGGACGGTAAAAGAAAAGGGTAATGAAAAAGAAAAAGAAAAAAATTGACCACGAAAAAAAGGGAAATTCAAAAAAAAGAAAGAGGAAAAACTAAAAAGAGGCGACAAAACGAAGAATGATGAGGTTTACCTGTAAAAGCTAGTCTAAGGGGTCTGGTAAGGAGACCAATTTGATTATTTCGGTGTACTTCAGCTGAGGATGATGCGTCTCTAGCAAAAGAATAGGGGATCACGGTGTTTGTAAAAAAAAGAAAGTAGGCACTATCATCTCACAAGGAATAAGAATAGATACAGAGAGAGAGATAGGTCGAAGGGAGATATCTCCTGGCTAATAATAATCGACCCTCAGTCAAAAGAGGGACTGGGACCGATCATCAACAACGTGGTTGACAGGGCTCTCCAAGCAAGTCCAAGGAGAAGGCCATAAACGAACCAAGAACCAGGTTAACTGTATCTTAGACTAGACTGGAGACTACCGGTCTACCCAGTGCCACTCAATTTTGCCCCATTGTTCTAAGCATTCCACGGTTCTATGGAGAGTCCGTAAGGTATCTGGGTATCTGTCATGCGGTACGACCACATCGATCGAAGAGATCACCTTAACGATGATTGGCCGATAAGCATCAATCGCTGTGGTAAAGTCGACAAGTACGAGTCGTCTTTTGAAGGATCGCATTCTCTGTTGTACGGGAAAAACAACCCAGAGTTCTCCGTACTCCGTACTGTAATCTGTAAGCTGTACTCCGTACGGAGTAAGCCCCAAGTCCAAGTACCAGATATGTGGAGTAGCTGTCGACGATCGGATGGCCACCGGGCCAGGACCAGCAGGGGACGTTGCTCAAGTCTGCTGTATGGTGGAGCAGAGAATAAGCTTAGCAGCGATGGACGATCGATTGCAAGACTGTACTTTGATCTACAATAAAGGTACGGTTCTTTGAAGATCAGCTCTAAAGCTACTGGATTCTCTAAGCCTTCAGGAGGGAAAAAGCAACGACGCGGGCACTGACAGCGACGGAACTGACAGTAGGAGATTACCACTCGGTACCTATGTACGGTAAGATACAGACGGTGAAAAGGGGCAATGCTCCTTGCGTCAAAGAGTCCAGATTGACAGTTCTTGAGGACATGGAAGTGAGCCAAATCAATTGCTTCATCATGGAATCGAGTCATCAGTATCATCAGGATCAAAAGAAAGGCATCATCGTCTCGTTCATACGATCCGTAAGCTGAGGCAGAATGTCATCCTGCTCGTCTAAGTGGAGGAGTCGTATGTATGGCCCCGTGGAATAGCATCATACCGACCATGTTTGATTGGCCCACTGGAAGAATGCTCTGGATTGCGGTCGATAATTCCAGCACATTGCGCGCCCAAGGATTCTTCTAAGATTGCGAAAAGTCTGGCGCATCAACCATGATCATCTTCTTCATCCTCATCATCTTCGACCAGATCATGGAGGGCAAATGTCCCAAGGCAAACGAATCCCCGAGTCTGGTTCGCCTACCCATGCATGAGGAATTGTCCCATCTGATTGGTTAGTTGTGTCCACGCGGCATCACCCGAGGTTTAGGTGGTCACCTGAGATTACACTACTGGACGGATTACAAGACACCAACAATAATCAATGCAGACGAATACTCCATACTAGGTAGCTAGAGGACCAGCAATACGAGATGCCAAACCACCCGACTGGCTTCGTGACAATCTGGGTAGCCTGAAGCGAGCGCGCCAGAGAATCGGGTTTTTCTCTGCCAGACTGACTGCCTGGGCCCTTTCAACCAAATCTCACTACCCGTTCCTAGAGCGTGGACTATTCCATTACAGGGCTAGTGCATCCAAAACTAGCTCACAGGGACCCACAGACTTACTCTGCCTGTCGGCCTGCAGCCTGCAGCAGTGGTCTGTCCACTCGCTTGCTTTCGCTAAGTTTTGGCACACACATTATCGAATATTGACTTTCTTCTTCTCCTCATTTTACTCCGTGGGTAGATGGGAAATAAAGTATCGCACCAGTGAGTATTGATCTCATGCAGATAGTCTGGATAACGGTTGCTGGTCGAACCAGAGGCAGGCAAAGGTAAAAAAAGAAAGACAGTCACATGATTAGCCCCAGCCTTCGTCCCGGTGACCACAGGCAAGCAACCCATGGTTCACACAGACGCAGCCGAGGACTGAGCGAATCAGAGCTTGAGAATCTGGTCTCGGGCCTCTTGGCTCAAGCTCTAGACTAGCCTCTTAACCTCTTTGTCCGGTGCCTAGGATTAATACAGTTAGCTTGAGCGGACACATATACGTTGACAGAGTTCTTATTTATTATTTTATTATTCTGTACTTGAGATACGAATTATCGTGTGGACGGAGCAAACACATTAGAGTTCAGCTGAACCTAAATTGTAACTTTGCATTTCTTGTACAGACTAGGTACTACGTACTATCTAGTAGATAGGAATACGGGTGGCCCATGAGGCTAAGCCCCATGAGTAACTGCCGGGAGCACCAATCTGTCGGAGTCGGGGGCGTTGTCGAGGGAGATCGGGGTGGCTGCCACGGTCAGTGTGACAGGTGGCCTGAACATTTCCAAGTACCAGTACCTTGAGCCCTTGACGCCTTGAGGCTGTTTTGGCTTTTAACACTTGTATGTGCGGGTGCACTGTGCAACCGCCACATCCATCCTGGTATTCGGCAATAGTGATGAGCTATCAGTCAAAGTCAGCCTGATCTTGACCCTTGACCCTTGACCTTTTAGACCCTGGGCTTATTTTCAAGCTACTGCAATGAGTGTATGAGTGTCGTCTCGGCCGGAGGATTGCAGCTCTACCTTACCGTACTCCGTATTGGGAAGTGCTCCGTGGTCCCCAAGGTACGGAGTACGTGTACCCTCTCATATTTTCTTTTAACCGACCGCCTTCATGTGTTTCTCCAGATTATCTATACTCTGTATATATAGAAGTGTCCTCACTTCAGAATAACCGATACTAGGTAATCTCTATGTCCTGATCTGTTTCTTCCTACAGACCCCATAACCAATCACATACCCAATCTACTCGTGGAAAATGCCTAATCTGCCCGCCCGTAAAGACCACCGAGGCTACCAGCCAGCAGTAGTCCTATGCACCTACAAGCACACTAGCCTATAACATGCTTCTTGGACCTATCACAGCCCTTGAGAATGGAGTCAGGCACGGAGCAAGCAATAGGAGAACCACCATGGAGGACTAAGACTATGGGCAAAGTACCTACTGAGTGCAGTTTATGCTTTACTTTAGTGGTGGTGATTTAAGCTATGGCCGGTTACGGATACATCTATTACCATTTACCATTTACCATTATTGTCAAAGACACTAAGTCCGTGCAACCGATAAAGATAGCCATGGCTGCTCCGAGGCGCAATAGGGAACTCATGGAAATGGGCTCCGTACGCTGTGTACGCTGTTCTACAGTAGTGTCGACAGTAGTGTCTCCGTAGTAGACGTAACTCTTTTCCGACCGTTAGTTGGTATTTAGTATGCAGGGTTCAACGGTCCGTCATTGTCAGTTTACTTTGGTTATATATACATAAACATATTCGCACCGACTTGACAATGTCGGATAGAGGATAAACGGAATATCATCTCCACGGGATAGATAATACACGAGAATTTATTATCATCCATACCGGTAGTAGAATATAGATAGTATTCTAGGAACCTATGTTCGTCCACTGTGGAGTGTCAGTGGACTGGACGTGGACTGGCCAGCTGGGACTCCTGCATCATGCAAGGATGCAGCGGGGGGAAGTGTTGCAATGCGACAGCGTCCACCGCGGAAGGCGGAAGGCGGCTGGACTGGTCTTTGCATCTGCTACACTCACTACTGGGTTGGTGAGCAGTGATCGTCCTGTAGATAGAGGGTTAAATTGGGGGATTATTCATACTGAGCGGAATGAGCGAGGACACGGTAAGGTACTGCAGAAGCATGGAAGGAAGATAGTCCAGGGCTGTAAATACCAGTCAACCTGCGAACTGCTGAGTCTGGATTGGCGAGACCAGTCTAGACTTGCCCTCGGATCAACAGGGACAATCACTACACCTGCACAAATATGGAGTATCGAGTGGTCTGCATTCCTGGGACGTTATGCAGATATCAGACTAGTATTGGGGCAGAACGTCCTGATATTGCCACACGGACTGGTCACTCTTGGAGCAATCTACCTCGTCAACCTAGAGTACTATCTCATGCATCATCTACATATACATCGTACTTGTATCGACTGCCCGGGTGATCCTCTCGCAGCCCCCTCTGCCCCTTCCCGTACACCCTCTCCCGCGCCGTCAGGGCCTCTGCCTCCTGCGCCGGCTGCTCAGGGTACAGCCCTCGCCGCCTCAGTTCCGGAACCAGCAGCTCGACCACATCCTCAAAAGTCCCCGGCGTCGACACATGGCCGATGTTGAACCCGTCCAGATCCGCCTCCACGATCCACCGCTCCATCTCATCCGCGACCGTCGCTGCGCTGCCAATCGCCACGGGGCCCAGCCCGCCGATCGACGCCTTCTCCGCCACCACCCGCGGCGTCCACCGCGGGATGTCCTTGCTCGTGGTCGTGAACGCGTCCAGGATACTCGCGATCCGGCCCGCCTCGGCCGAGTCCGCCGCCGTGATCTCTTGGTCGAGCGGGATCCGCGAGATATCGATGCCTGTCCATCCGCTGAAGAGGACGAGCCCCCCAACCACAGACGCGTACTCCTTCAGCTCCTCGTATTTGGCCCGGGCTTCCTCGTCTGTCCGGCCCAGGATGGGTGTGAACGTCGCGAAGACCTTGATTGACCGCGGATCCCGCCCCTTCTCCGCTGCTAGTTGGCGAATCCCATCGACTTTGGGCCGCAGCACCGCTGGCGAGTGGCTCGAGACGAAGATCGCCTCAGCGTGCGTGGCGGCAAACGCCGAGCCTGCTGGTGACGTGCCCGCCTGGAAGAGAAAGGGCGTCCGCTGCGGTGATGGGTCGACAATGTGCGGCGTCTCGAGCGTGTAGTATCTCCCCTTGTGGTTGATGGTGCGCACTTTGTCCGGGTCGATGTACGAGTCGGTCGCCGGGTCCGGGGAGACGGCGTCCGAGGCCCAGGAGCCTTCCCATAGTCTGTGCTCGTCAGCCATTGTCGTCATCAATCAGATCACATTTTGATAATACTTGTACAGCACGCGAAGGTATTCGTCCGCCTGCCGGTACCGCTCATCATGCTCGATGGGACTGTCCAGCCCGATGGCCTTGAACGCCGCCTTCTTGTACGAGGTCACGATGTTCCATCCGAACCGGCCCTGCGTCATATGGTCCAGGGTCGAGAATCGCTTCGCCAGCAGGAACGGCGCCTCCGAGGAAGTCGACGAGGTGATGGCGAAGGTCAGATGCTTCGTCACTGCTGCCATGGCCGAAATGGGCTGCGCAGTCAGGTCAGCCATCCCACATACACTGTACTCGGCGGTTGGCACAAAGACATACAATCGACGGATCAGTCACGGGCCATTGCGCCGCCCGGCGAATGCACTCGTCCAGCTTCCCCTGGTATGTGTCGTGTCCTCCAAAGGTATCAGCCAGGAACAGCGCGTTGATTCCGCCCCGCTCGAGAAGCTTCGCCAGCTCAATCCAATACTCCAGGCTGCGCTTCGTGGCCGACTTGTCCTTGGGGTTCTGTAAACAATCCAGGTCAGACAGACTCAGGAAGCGATCAGCTCCGTTCTTACTTTCCATTGCCCGGGGGACAAGTGTCCCACAGTGCTCATATCAAACGCATTCAGCAGAATGTGCTTTTTGCCGTTCTGGTCAGTAGAAGCACTGCCCACGCTTTCTCCCATTTTGACTGTAGATCTTGAGCTTTTTGTCGACCTTGAGTCTCCCTGATTTGAGTTCTGTCAACAGGAGATATAGTTCATCTCTCGTTCAACCTCTTCAATGGGAAGTACGCAGCTTCGATGACCCCGCATCCATTCGCCATTGCTTGTTATCATCACGCAAGATGCACGCGGAGAAGGGCCGCTATGAGACATTTCCACGAAGTGATTCGTCATTATCTCCACAACATTCGTGACCAGCTGCTTAATGACTGCTTCTGTACGTCTCTGTGTGACCGACGTCTCCCGCAGCGTGTGGTGGTGATGATTCCATCCTATATGCTGTATTGCAACATGCTTGGGTGAGTCGGTCTAAGTAGAATGTGAACTGCCGCCGGAAAAGATCATTGAGTCGGGGGTATCTCGCTTGAGAGCATGTATCACTCTCGCAGTATCCTTTTCGGAGTCAACGAATGCAAGCTATTGCCCAGGTGTACCCCTGCATCCAATGAAGTTTCATCATTCGTCTATATACTGCCCTTCATACATAATTCCATGCTGCGTATTTGCCAACTCTATTATACTGAGAAAATTATATTATCGCTTCCATCTACTTCTCAGGATAGACCTGCATGATTGTTCTATCGCCAGGCTCAAGATCCCTGGTTTCGTCTGAGTCGCTGATGTCGGAGTTGCCTGCTGCTCTTTTCGAGATTCCCCTGTAGGATGTTAGACATGATCAAGGAAAATGTGACAGAGTGCATACTCCTCTCGTTTCGAAAAGAACTGAATGACATGCGCCAGTATAATCAAGCATATGGCATTGCCGAGTACAAAGGAGTACCCCTTAGTGAATCGAGGAGCCTCGACGGTCTTGAAAACCAGTAAGGGTGTCCACGCGGTCGTTGATTGAGAGACAGCATTCAAAATGATTAGTGCCACCGCTCGTTCAACAGGCGAGTATCGCAGTTGACTGTTAACCCAGCCATAGAGCACACTGGACATAGCGACTGCAGAATAGGTTGTGGCAAATGCAAACCAGAGCGCGGACTGGGGAACATCCCACACGACGAGTATCACCAGCCCAATAATGTTCCAAGTGTGTGCGATGGTGATAGCCCAGGCAGGACCGAACATAAGATCCGATGAAAAACAGATGAAGAGTGTGTAGAAGATCCCCAATGCTGGAGAGATCGCGTTGAGCTCGTTGATGCGACTGGTCGAGAATCTCTTGAGACTTTTCAGCCAGAGCAGATAACCTCCTGTAGTGGTGTTGACGCATCCGTTCCAGAAGAAAATATCCAGCAGGAGTAAAGCCCAAAATCTCCAATTGCGAGCAATGTTCAAGAGCACCTTCCACCGGAACTGTTCCTGTACACCATGTCCTGCTCGTTGGAGCCGCTTTTTAGCGAGATCGATGTCTGCCTGTTTCAGGACTATTCTATTTGGCTTGTCAGGAGTCCCTGGTAAGATCAGATATCCCAGCAAGCCAATGGGAATGGTGATGACTGCACAGATAATGTACATCCATCGCCACCCTGCCAGCCCATGGACGCCGTCAAGCCTTGCCGACGTGCCAGCTTGGATTAAGCTCGATGTCAACGTTCCGAGAGTGAGACCAACATAAAAGCAGCCGCCTCTACGGCCGATTTCATCCCCGCGATACCAAGATCCTGGACGGCAAATGTGAGCGGTTCCCCTTTTCAAGTCTCGCAGGTTTGACCTACCGAATATGTAATGCATGCCCGGGAAGAATGCAGCCTGGCTTGCTTAGTTGAGACCCTAGGAAAATCATAGAAAGATTTCAAACCTCAAACCACCCGACAAGGAATCGGTAAGCCATCAATTCCCCGTACGAGGTCACTCGATACTGCAGTAACGTAAACACACCCCATGAAATATCCAAAGCCGGAATGACCCAGGACATTGGGAATTTGGTGAAGAGATACGCGAAAGGGATTTGCCCTAGAACTGCGCCAACGGTGTACATTGTCTGCAGATGGACGAGCGCATTCCCGTGCAGGTTCAAATCATCTGAAAGACCTGAAACATATGCGTTGTCTGAGAGTAGGATTAGTCTAGTTCGAGTAGGGCTCATTGATGACCTACTTATGTTGGATTGGTCTATATATTTGGTCCAGTACGCAAGAAAGGCATATGGAACAATCAGAAGATCCAGCTTCAGGATGAGCTGCCGTTCCTCTTTCGTGTCATCGTCCGCAAACCACTTGATCTGATACCATTTTCTGCGTTGCACTGAAGCCATTGCAGGGGTTTTTTCCGCCAGTGGTACTCTCCGGCGATTATCGGTTGTCTAATGATCGAGAAGGATAGAGCTATGGGCCATAATAGGCCTGACTGGCAGCCTGTGAAGGGATAATATATCGACTCGATTAAGATGCCACTACCGATAGTAATGACGTGACGAACCTACGCATCATGCTCGGCACGATGTGAAAGTTCCCTCCTATCTCCAGAGCTCTGACGCACAGAAGTTGAGTGCGACTTCGTGGATGAACCTCCTGTGCATGAATCGGAGAGCCAAGGATCGTGTTAGAAGGTGGAGATAAGACGTGCTTGTCTAGCCTATGTATGCGATATCAGAGCGCATACTGCTCGTTTCGCTTTCTCGCCACTGGTTCAGCCTTCCGATCCCTCAAGTTGACTTCTCATCATCGATGTTTGTACTTGTTGACTGAGAATACGCCGCCCCAGCGCTGGCGCAGGAATCTCGGCCGATGATGGTGCATCTTCTTGCTCCCAACTGTGTCGCTTCATAATTTCTCATGGAGCCGAATGATCAAAATAAAGCGGAATTCAGATACTGATACGGTCATACCCACGCTGCCAATGAAATCGAATATGGAGAGACGGCAGACGACCGGGTTTGTATTCTCCAAGTGGTTCACAGAGAGCAGCGTGATATTGCGAAACCGAGCGAATTTCTAGGGCAGAGATAGCATCTACACAGGTCCTCGGAGAATGAGAAGCGCTATCCCTAAAAGGACGGCGTCTACCACATGAGACGTGGGTATTGGCAAATCTCAGAGCGGGAAAGATCGAGTCAAGACAACATGGAGCACTTCAATCTCGAAGCTCAGAGCTCTCATATCCAACGGCCTCATTAGGCTAATTGACCTGGGCGTTGATGAGTGTTTCCTGGACCATGTTCGTTCAAACGAGCTACCTTCGGTCGGATAATGGAAAGACACCGTCGAGATGAAAAAGAAGCAGAAAACTGGACGACATGTCTACGAGAAACGAGCCACTCGTTGAAATCTGCGTGTGACCGGCATGTGTCTTTTGATTCCCTGTTGATCATTTTCTTGATGAATAACAGGTCCAATCAATGTGTATACGGGTAGCCGCGGTCGGAAGACAGCAAAAGGAGCAGGCGGGTAAACAGAGAGTGCAATTGCCGGGGTGTCGTTCCGATGACGTCGATTCGGCGGGGTTGATGGAGACACAGCAACCAGATCATCATGCTCTCTCCTAACCAACCTTCTACCTCTCTATCTGATCATTGAACGCGGTGCTCGGCTGCTTTCATCAATTGCGAACCGTTCCAAGCGATATCCTTGTGCGTTTGCTTTCTGCTCCATTCCTTCATGTTTTACGGACAGCTTCTAACTACCCCTCTCCGAAGGTCTCTCATCGGATCTGTGAAACCTCGCTCCCTTTACGCATTCAGACCTCTCCACTGTTCATCAGCCAACATGTCCGGTGTTAGCAAGGCCTGCTGCTCGTACGTGATTTTGCCATTGGCGTTGTTCTAGCAGAGTGACCTCAGGCTGACCACGTTCAAGGATCCCTCCCATTGTCGCCCAAGGCTACCAGGGCAAGGGTGAATACAAGACAATCAATGGAATGAAGACATGTCGGTCGATTATGAACCTAGATCTGGAAGCATGGAGCCACTGACATATGTCCAGATGTTACCGGCCCCGACTCTGCCTCCAAGGCCATCTTCATCGTCTACGGTGGGTTATCGTCCAATGGTTCATCCGTCTCTGTCCGCAGACAAACAGCTAAGTGTGCCGTGGAAAAACAGACATCTTCGGCTTTTTCCCTCAGACAATCCAAGGCGCCGATATCCTCGCTACCTCGAGCGAGCAGAAATACCGTGTCTTCATGCCCGACTTCTTTGAGGGCCAACCCGCGGATATCACCTGGTTCCCTCCTCAGACCGAAGAACACAAGCAGAAGCTGGGCAATTTCTTCCAAACCAAGGCTGCTCCTCCTGCAAATCTGCCCAAGATTCCACCTTTCGTCGACGAAGCGAACAAGCTCGCCCCCAACGGCAAGGCCTTCGAATCCTGGTCTATCCTCGGATACTGCTGGGGTGGAAAGATCGCATGCTTGTCCTCTGCCAAGGACACTAAGTTCAAGGCCGCGGTGCAGTGCCATCCCGCCATGGTTGATCCCAATGATGCTAAGAATGTCACTATTCCCATGGCCATGTTGGCTTCCAAGGACGAGAATCCCAAGGACGTCGAGGCTTTCGGTGCCAACTTTAAGGTTGACCATTATGTGGAGACCTTCCCTACCCAGATCCACGGCTGGATGGCAGCTCGGTCGAACCTTGAGGATGAGGAAGTCCGCAAGGAGTATGAGAGAGGTTACAAGACTGCTTTGAGCTTCCTTCAGAAGCATGCTTAAAAACTAGGGCTATGATATGGACGTAATGCTATTATCTCTAATATATATGAATGACGAGACAAAATGATGAATAATAAACCTGACTGCTTTTCTATCATACTGTCCATAGTAGCAAAATTTCATTAATCCCATCGCGTGGCCAGTAAACCAGAGCTGTCATAGAAGCCGGCACTTCCAGATCCGGAAAGCGACCCCGAATACTCCACTCGGTGCCGAGAATGAACGTCATCGTCTATCCCGCGGCCCTCTCTCCCCCTCTCATCTTCAAACTCCTTGCAACAGTTAAGCCATCAAATCATCGATAGATATTCGTCTTGTCTCTTCTTGGCTCTTTTTGTGCGACCTTCTTCTTTTCAAACAGTGATGGATAGTCACCAGTTTTTCTAGCCTTGTTTAAACATCGCATTGTTCTTAGCCGATCAGGTGGCTATACCTGCATCTGATCGTACGATTTGATTCAACATGTTTATGTTTGGTCGAAATTTCTCATGACATCAGGCTTTAGACTCCTTATCAATAACTTATGGACCATTGGGACTATATAAGGATCCTTTTATCTCTGCATGATTGTGCCGATGCTATGATGGATTGAACGACATACACCGCCACTCTCCAAGAATTAGCGTAAGTAATCTGCAATCACATGCTCCTCTTCTCATCAAGCTCTCAAGATCCATCCGTTCGCAAGTACTCCTGGTACCAATACTGAAAATTGATCTAGATCAGCATGCGTGTATTATCTGGCAGGCGTCGTTCAGTTTCGACAGGGGCGCCTTCTACTACCGGCACGAGCAAATCATCGGAGAGCTCGCCTAGGACAGCTTCCTTCTCGCTGGAAAATAGTCGCGATTACAGCGCATCTGGAAGAAACACGTTGCGTAACCTTTTCCAGAAACACGGCGCTGCGCCAGGGACGGAAGATGTGTCGGCAACGGATGTACCTCACGCGTCAATCGAGGAGCACGGTAATGTAAGGCTTACTTTACACTTCGTAGCGCTCCTGGCCAACAGTGTATACTAAATAATATCTCAAGGCTAAATCTACCACGACTCCGAATGCACAGTCGGTAAAGAATCCAGGCCGACAAGATCACTCCTTGGGCTCTTCTAGGACAAAACATACACATCATTCAGACGAGCACGGCGAACGGCAAGATGCGCCGAATTCTACCACTGACACTCTTGCCAGATCTCACAAGGCAGATGTTCACAACAAACCTCCCTCTGAGACTCATCTCAGCAGAGATGATATTCATGCCATATTTTCCGGGGCACCATACTTTCTTCTAGAAAAGGGCAAGCATGAACTCTGGTATCCACAAGTGATATTCCCATGGGATGACCACGACCCTACGATCCAGCATCTGTGGGACAGAAAACTTCTTCCTCATCCTTCATATAGCCTGTGCACCCTTCATGCCCATCTCCCCGTCCCCGAAGGCTTCCTTGAAGGTGACGCTCCCCTCCTCTTAGACAGCTGGAAAAGAACTGGTGCACCAAAGAGAGCTACTTTCGATATTGGTATATTCGAAGTCCCAAACATGCTTGCTATGAGCGGGATAGAGCCGGGGACTGTGGGCTTTCGCCATTTTCTAGAGCTTCCAGTTGCTGATTCCGTTCGATTCGTTCATACCGGAACGCCCCATCTGCATACCAATCTACTGCACATTCATACCCTACCGGCAGTTCAGGCTGACGAACTTCTGGAACACTACCATGAGCCCTACTCGCAGTGCCTCGACGGTACTATACATGATCGAAAAATACTTCTTGGCGATGGCCCGACCGCCTGGAAAAGAATTGGTCTGCGAGATATCAATTTTAAAGCCTTGGTCGACCGTCTTGAGACCTTGAGAAACCTGCGTCACGAGTTACTATATGAAAACACGCAGAAAACAATACTCGACGTAGAAAGTGCGCACGAGCTCTACAGCGATTTATTTTCCAAGTTTCTCCATCCCCCGCCCCGATCCATGCTCACAGATCTTGATAGCACGCACGGCCTCAAGGCCGAGATCAAAGCGTTGACCATGGTTTTAGCGACACCAGGAGCATGGTTCGACTTCAGTCTCGTCGACTGGCGTTTCCGCATCGGACAGCTTCTCTGGGAAGCTCCTCCCCATGTGGACGGTGACTTCTTTGATCCAAGTATCATTCACAAGCCCTGGGCTCATCCGGGGTTGGAACAGAAATGGTTTCTGATCCAGATGCTGCTAGCTGCGGAGTTGCTTCTTCGCCTGGACGCCATTGTCAAAGTTGGGCTGGTTGAGAGCTCGAAGGACGTTAGTGTCTCGGCTCAAGATGTCAACCATTTCGATAAGCTACGCAAGCCTAAAGTTGACTGGGACTTGGTGGTGGTGCGTCGCTTCTTCGACAGTTTCAAGATCTCCTGGGACGACTGCCAATCCGCTGCAGTGTCGAACGCTCCCTCGCAGCCGTCAACCCAGCAGAAGTTGACTCAAAAGACTCGTCGCTTTTCATTCCTTGACAGCATAACACGCAGGCATTCTGTAGCCTCTTCTCCTCACTCCGATGTTCACGGGATGTTCCGACTTACACCCACTCATGTCGAACAGCAAGTTGAAGGACTTTTGACATTTGCCGCAAACATCGGTTGGCCTCGTGTTGACTCGCTCAGAGAAACTTTCGCATCGAGATTACCCCACGGGGATTCAAACCAGAATATTACGGACATGTTTAACCACCCTGTGCGTGGTGCTTCAGTGGAGGACCATACGGAAGGAACCACCAAAGACGACATATTTAAAAGACTCGCTACTCGCCGACTAGTAGCCCTCAGCGGTCCTTCCAGCGACGGTTCTAAGTCAACGATGGGTGGTTGGATCACGAGATGCTGGCTTTCTGGCTTTGTGCTTCCTGGCAAAGCGATCAACCACTTGCTCATGGCTACAGTACTAGAAAATGATCCGGAAGTCATTGCAAGACTCGGATCGGTAGCCAATCTATATGGAGGATTTGCTCTCAATGGAAAGAGCTGGTGGAGTCAAGAATGCATTGTCGGCCGAGTACTCTCCG